ATACAACTGCACCCCCCCATGCCACAACCGGCTTTTCGCCACACATGTTGCTGTTCGGACGGGAGGCTCGACTCCCTCTTGACTTGTTCCTAGGGAAAAAGGAAAGTATGACTGGCTCATACACCGCACTAGAATATGTGAATGAACATATGAGACGAATTAGAGAAATGTACAGGGTAGTACAGGAAAGACTAGAACATGAAGCACGGCGAAGGGAACCGCCGGTACAGACAAAGGACCCGCCACTCAAACTGAACGACAGGGTATTACTGCGTAGCCACCCGTTAGGCAGAAACAAAATCCACGACCTCTGGGGACAGGAGATATGGCAAGTCGTGGAGATGCCTAAAGTAGCAGGTGGCCCCTTTAAGATAAGACCCATCAATCACACCAAACCGGATCGGTGGGCGAATATTGCTCAATTAAAGAAATATTGTCATAGTCAAGAAGAGCAGTTACACACAAGGAAACCTAAGACAATTAGGGAACCGGAAACTATAACGGAAATTCACATACCCATCCCGGAACCATGTCACCATCAACAGCACAACAGCGATACACAAGTGGAGGGTAACGGCAACAAAGAGGATCCCGTTCCTCCCAGAAGCAGAGAGACAGTAGAACAGCAGATAAGTGGTCCGCGGAGAAGTTTGAGAAACAGAAAGAATACGAAATTTTTCGTCAGCAACCATCAATTCTTTCATGGTCGCGCTGGTATGAGAACAGACTGTTCAAATAGTCATAAAAGTGAACTGGTGAAGGCACCAAACGAAAAAAGGTGGATGTGAATTCTAGAACTGCTTTGTGTCTGAGGAATATGATGAAGACACATTTGACATGTGAAATAGGGATAACTGTCAATCTTTTACGAATGTGACGACATTGACAGTGAATGGAACAATAAATTTTTTTTACGATGGTGCGATTGACATTTAAGAAGTGCACCTACCAAGCGTTGTTTGTGGTTGAAAACACACAAAAAAAAGGCGGCGGTGGATGTAACTAGGTGTAGTTACCAGAGACGATAACAACGCAATAGTGCAGGTGTTGGGCTGATAACGATCATAAAGCCACGGCGTATTTTGGGAAGGATACGACAAGCGCTGTCAACTTTGACACGACTTGGCTGACGTAACAGTGCAGATGGCTTATTAATCGGACTGTATGACAGAAGCGGCGTAATTAACATTCTGATGCAACGATTAGAATCGATTACGAATACGATTACGATTACGAATCCGATTACGAATACGAAGGGATATATAGGAAGGCGACAGCTGAGTAGGAGTAGGGGATCAGTCAGTCAGTAAGAGGAGTATCAGAGACAGTGACAGGATCAGTATCAAGTTGGTTATTGAACGGGTTAGCCGTATTGTGTTAATAAGGACGATAGACATGTGCATTCAGTTATGTGAAGACTAGTGAGGACTGTTGGGGGTCAGTTGATTCAGACTATTATTGTGAAGCATTTCTTTTGATTCATTATATTATTGTGAAGCATTTCTTTGATTCATGTAATAAAAGGATCAATAGTGAACCTGCATCTTCGAGTATCTATACTGTGGTCGATGTTGTGTAGAATGAGTGGTTAGACTCGTTAACATTTGGCACTACAGGCAAATAGACTCGTTACATATACGTTATATGGTGGTTTCATCTGACCTAAGGTTGTAATCAGCTGACAGTGAAATAAGATGGCAATAAATTGTTGAGCCGTCGGTAGAACTCAATGTCTGCAGATTTAGACATTTGTTAGTTGGGGGGGGGGGGGGAGGCAGGTGTAGGTAAGAGGTGGGTGCCTGGATCCTTTACATTCTGCTTGTGGAACTCACTCCGTCGTTTTGTATGTAGCCTGTGTTTTTATTTATCCTGTGATATATATTTCAGTGGATGTAAATCTGCTATAGACTGAGTGTAGGTGTATATGTCTGGTTGTTTACATAAAGTTTATATGTATGTGTATATGTGCTACGTATGTGTGTATCTACGTGTGTGGGTGTATGTCTCTTATACGGTCTGTATTAGCTAAGCTGTATATGTACTGTGTATGTATGTGGGTAGAATGTGCTTGCAAGCGTTAGCACATGGCAAAGCACTTATTACACTAATTAACTTAGCCAGATAACTAACGTAGGTGTGTGTAGGTGTATGACACAAAAAAACAGTTACCTGTTTATATCACACCCCCCCCCCCCCACACACACACAGACACACAGTCCCCACCCCGCTCCCATACCCTCCCAGTAACTCACTCGAGTTGAGGCCTCTACTGTGCGCCAAACTTTCATCGTAAAATCAATATTACCACATAATCAACAGTGTCCTTTGTCCCATCTACAGCCCGCATCGTATATTGTTTTTACCAGTTAGATTTCGGTGCTTAATATATGTATCAGATATCAGTATAACATGTGTGCAATAAATAATCAATACTCTTGAAATCACTAATTAAATATTAGGATATCCAACGCCCTTGAAACAACTAATTAGATTTTTTTTACTAACGGAGTTGACGTTCTGCGGTATAAGCAACTGTGTGCGTACACTGTACAGAGACAGCTATGTTTGATAGAATCGAAACTATGGTGTAGTTTGATTAGGTTAGACCGTTAGGGTTGTCAGCTGGTGTCAGTTAAGTCTAAGTCTATGTATGAACGTGTTTAATGTTATGGTAGGTTACATGTTAGAGGTAGATATGATGAACGGGTAATGCACTATGAAGCACTGGGGAGAGTTATGTAAAAATCTAGGTGCCAACACACCTTCATACATTTATGAAATGTCATTTTTTCGGTAATGTCGCTAAATTTTGTTTCGGTAATGTCGCTAAATTTTGTTTCGGTAATGTCGCTAAATTTTGTTTCGGTAATGTCGCTAAATTTTGTTTTTCTGACTGAATAAGTGATATGTGACGTGGCTACAGACACCTGACACTCCACATTTTTGGTGGAATGGTGTGGTAAAGTTGAGGAAGGTTAATTAAGGCGACTGGGCATAAAATTGACCACACTATCATTTCATATGTCAAAGTCAAGGAAAAAATGTGAACTTCATCTGCCGTACTGACAGATCTCAAATGGCAGAATTTAAGTGGGTCTTACTTGAATCTGTGCTCGATATTTGTATAGGACAGTTGTACTACAGATAGTGATAACATTCTTACTACCTTTCTTCAACAGCTCCAACATGTTCTTACATTCTCCAGAAATATAACAGAGTATTGAGGAAACAATATATTTTACATTATTTTCATGTTGTTTTTTGTTGTTACAGATCAGAATTTTTTTTCCAGCTAATGGAGTTCTTTCAGATCTTTCAGTTTTTAATTCCCCCCCCCCCCCCCCCCCCCCCCCCACCGCCAGCGTCCCTTCAGCATTTTTCAACACGCGAACTAATTAACAACACGAAGAAGGTGGTATTCTTTTGAAATAAAATAAAACAGTAAATATTTATTAATAATTATCACGCTTGAATACATTCACAAAAAATTCATGCAAAGTCACGTTCATTTACCAATCAATTGATTATCTGTATAGACAATTCATAATCTTTAAAGTAAAAATTGGCAAAGTATTGCTAAGCAACCAGCACAATAAAAGAACTAGAATTTAAGACTTAGTGTATATTTCAATACTTAACATTTCGCTTTTTCAAAAGGCAATTTCTGAGTTTTATTCTTTTTACAAAATGTAATTGAATAAGTTTATATTATTCAGAAGGCTTAACTGATTTTTTTTAAATTTGAAATACCATAAATATTATAAAAACAGTAAACTACCAATCACTTTGGCAACATATCTGCTATAAGTCGCAAGTCAACAGAGTACTCTGTAACCTACTTCTCTGTCCAATCACCGACTGCCAGCTACAGACATGTGATGTAATAGCTGAGAGCGACGATCACAAGGCCAACAGACAATGTGAGGGTGCTGGTACTCACTGTTTCACGTGCTGAAAGATGGTGTAAATATGCATAAGTATAGGTTAATAAGTGCGTGATTTTTCAAAACTAAATTAATGTATGGATCAATCAATCTTAATTATGTTAATAATACGCAAGTTGAATTTTCAAAAATAGTTAGGTTAATATACGAGTGATCATTCAACTTTAGTTAGGTAATTAATTGCGCAATTCTTCATTAGTAGTTAGGTTAATACGTAGGTTGTTTTTTTTTCGGTTGATACCTTTGTAGGTTAATATGTAGGAAACATTTTTATGTTTACATAAATACGTGAGTATTCATTCAACCTTAATAGGTAGATATGTTGATATTTTTTTACCCTTTATTTGGTAAATAGGTGGAAAATGTTCAACATTAATTAAGTTAATATATAGGTGATATTTAGATCTAAATTAGGTTAATGTGTGGGTAATTACTCAACATGATTTATAAAAAAAGGGTAAATGGTAACGTTATGCCATTTATAGAGGATCACCATAATTATTCGTTTACTAACAATACTAATTTAAAATAATACATAATACATTGAAATTCGTTAGCATTATTCAAAGCAGTTTTAAATTGTGTATATCTTTCTTACCTCCGCCAGTACCTGAAAAATATTTGAAAAAATTGGCTGTAACATTGTTAACAATAAAGATTCTTCCGAAAACCTTAACTGTGAAAGTTGAAGCTAAATATACAACTCCAAATAGGAAAATGTGGCTATAATATTATTACCGTGGTTAATGTTATCAATAAAGATTCTTCAGAAAAAATTATAGTGAACGTTGAAACTAAACCTACAACTCTAAATAGAAGATGTGGCTATAACATTATTATCGCATTTAAAGAAATCCATAAAGATTCTTCAGAAAATATTAACAGCGAAATTCGGAACTAAAATAGAAAAATATGGCTGGAACATTATTACCGCAGTTAAAGAAGTCAATAAAAATTCTTCAGAAAATATTAACAGTGAAATATGAAACCAAATCTACAACTCCCAAATTATAGTCATTAAGCTGGTCCCGTGTGTTGAACTTACAATTAACGACTCTGATTTTGACGCTGAGCGTTTCGTTACGTCCTTCTAAACTCGCTGTACAATCAAAGATGTCGTTAAATAAACAGCTGGCGGGTTTTTTGAGAAACATTGTTTTGGACAAGATTTTGATACCCTGTAGAGCGTCGTAACCTGAAAAGTTTCTTAGATGGTTATATGTGATTGAAAACAAAGTGAGTCTATAAAGTATTCTGTTGAATTAATGTAGGACATACTTCCATTCAGGCAACTCCGCTCAATAAAACATGAAGTGACAGTCTAAAAATAATGTCATATTAAATATAAGTTGTTGAGCCTCATCTGACCGGAAGTTCTTCGTCTTCGCTCTTAATTGTAATTTTGGAAGGAATTTTTAACACAATTTAAATTTCAAGTTAAATTACTATGCGCCATATGGCCCGTTAACTCCGATTTCAGCCTGCTTTTCTTTTTGTATTTGATCCCACAGTCTTTGTCCAACCAAGAACAAACTACAAGGCAGCAGTTGTTTGATTTTGGAGTTGTCTCTCCTTGATGGGTTGTTGTCCCTAGCTATCGAGACTCATCTGCCCAGGACTTTTTACATCAAAAACTATATTTAAACTTTAGGTGTGTCATGTCACGGGAGCAAGTGAAAGCTTGCAGGTCAGTGTTATGTCGAGGAGGCTTTACTTTTTCTAGCTCTGACGGTCAGGCGAACTCAAGATATTCATCATATTAATCATGTGCACTACAACTGGACCTCACCCATTGCATAGTTATCTTTCAAGCCTACTCCAATATATCTCAATAGACAATAACTTTAAAGGATAAACTTTACTGTTATTCTTATATAAAAACTTATTTTTCCAACCAGTATGTATAGAAAATGTGTGTAAACAAAACCTACCTGCCGTCCTGCCTTGTATTGTCCAGTGTGGGTTGATAGCCTCCCCTACCATCTCGGCTTTAAATATCAGATCATCGTCTATCTTAACACTGACCTCCTTAGCTTGATCGTTCACGGTGAAGTAAGAAAGCAGGGCTAAAAGAGAACGATAAAAAATATGCGGGCTTTTGTTTTCAAATTTCGAACATCAAAAAACTTACTAATACAACAAAGGTATGTTTTACAACAAACTCCCGGAAACTTTAGTGTAAAATTACAATAAAACAACAAGTCGTTAACTTTTTATACTTACATCCAGATTCGACTGTGGCGCATAGAAAACCTTGAAAGAAAATAGATTTAACAATGCAAAACCAAGATAAATCGGAACATTCTATCATTAAAGTATAAAAACAATGTACTTTTCCACATATCAATTTTCCCACGTCTGTGTTATAACTACATGTTTTCCTATATCAGTGTTGCCTGTATTGTAGAATGACTATAAATGTTTTATTTGCTAACTGTGGCCACGGATAATCACTACGCCAAATGATTCACTGTACGCAATTGCAGATTTATCTCCAATGTATTGTAATGTATATTCTAGACATTATACTAACATGTATTATTACTAAATGTAAGCTAGTTCAATTATTATCTAAACTATTACTAATAATTTTTTTCTTAAATATGAGCCATTGGGTGTTTTTGGTCAAGTGCTATTGTACAGTGCGGTTTGCTTGTTGTTTTAAATCAACCTTTAAAAAAAAATATTTAATGTTGTACTATGATAGGAAGATTGACACGTCACTTAAACTATAAAACCATTAGCACAGACTGCTGACATTTGCAACGTCTGCAACACCAGGCTAAGGAGGAAAATATATGCAGTTTGCAAAGACATGAGCGGAAAACTACTGCCCCACATTTCAGTTCCTTAAAGATTTCGGAGGAAACAAACTTACTTACTGTTTCAAAAGTATATATATATATATATATATATATATATATATATATATATATATATATATATATATATATATATAATGAACAACACACCGGTTACAAGTAATCCCACTCGCAAGTGTGACATTAAATTATCCATGTTATGTACTCTGTATCTGGAGCAATGGAATTACAGTTTCTCCTATCAGTGTAGACACTACTGCATGTGACATACCGTACACACACTGTAATTTAAACAGTGAGTCAGTGCCTGATAACATGAGTGTTTGTGTGCGTACATACATATCTACAGATGTAGACTTACATTGAAACAAACTGAATCCACTGGATTAAATCCACACATGGTGCACTAATTACTTCATCACACACCACGTCCTATTGTTCATATAAGAAGGACGTGTATGCCTGTTAAGCCTTTAATAGCAAAGGCAAGATATAACTTGGTCAAAGTTTTTGAAACACGTGTGTACCTCCTACTGTGTGAGCTAATCTCCATTCATCTAGTATGCGGTAATACTAGGCTGACTATACTTAAATATGTTCTAAATTTGTAGCATAACATTGTAGCACACTACCAAATCTGACGGCCTGTATTCCAACTTGGAATGCATGTTTTCTAAATCGTATGACCTTATGTTCGAAATCTAATCAAAATTTAAAAGCTAATTATTACAAAGTATTTAATATTTGTTATATTTTTCAATACCATTTACACTTGATTTTTTTTCTTTTTTTTTAATGAGTTAAAAGACGTCCAGCATTCCTGTTTTTTTGTCTTTATTTAGGAAATATTTTTAATTTTCAGTTCAACTTATGGGTCAATCCTTCGAGATACTCTTGTTGGGTTATAAGCATTATTATTGTACTTATTTATATACTGGTAGGATGTGTGGTTGTGCGGTAGGGCTAACGTGAAAGTTTCAAGTTTCCAAGCTCGAGTTTGTAAAACGTTCCTGAAGACCACTAGCCATAATGCACAACACATCGCTGCAAGTGTAAAAATAACAAACTACAAGTGATAATATTGATTAAGACTTAGTGAAATAAAATAATTTGAATGTTTATGTTATTTACTTTAATTAATAATCAATAAAGACCTAACTTCATGATCCTTCGGGTATAAAAAAAAAAAAATTCTGCTCATAATCTTCTAATTTGGACTTTGGCGGGTCTATCTTGGACTGGCCGGCCAAAGGCCGAAATAAAGTAACGTTTTGGACTTTGACCGGTCAATGGGAAGCGAGATTGGACAATACATGCTTTGGCTGACTTCGGGCTTTGATCGTAACATATACACACACTAGCTGTATACCCGAGCTTCGCTAAGATATGGAAATTACTCTGTTGGAGTCCCCGCTTATAGACGTTCTTCGCTACGGTGTGGACTTGGATATTACCTCAGATTTTACCGCACTTGTGTCGGTAGCCCTTTGGTGCAATTATGGATATTCAAAAAAATTAAATTGCGGTAGTTTAGCCTTTGCCGCCGGTCATTGATTGTGAAGAGGCTATGGTTTGTAGTGATCTTTCCTCAGTAATAACGGTTGACAATGAGAGCCGTTTTTCGCGAAGAATTGAAAACTCACTTCTAGGATATAGTTGTTTTGGAATACCATGTTCCATTCCTAGCTTGTAAAAACGTGAAAAGAGTAGACTAGTAAACTTAGATTCTAGATCTAACTAGATCTAGAGTAGGTTGAGTTATGGATTTTTCAAATGAAAATATTCTGTTATTTCAAATACACTATTAAGTTCCTTACCCCTTAAGAGCACATTTGACACCACTTTTAAATATCTAGATTACTCAGTGGCCGAGAAAAGAGGTAATTTAATTGCGGTAAAAAAAAATTGAGAGCCAACACTAACCCTAACCCTAACCTTAACTGCATACCCGTACTCAGGCACGGTGAATCATTTTATTCTTTCATATATGGATATTACCTCAGAGTTTACTGCGCTGTCCTCGCATAGGGGCTAATATTCCTTCAACGCATCGCGCTGCACGCGGGTGTCGGTAGCACTTTGGTGCGAATATGGATATTCACGAAAATGAAGCTACGGTAAAAAAAAACTGAGAGCCAACGCTCTCACGAACGTCCGCCCAGACATCTTTCCTCCCCGAACCCAGGGCGTAATTAAAACCGCCACCGAAAAACAACATGTTTACTCGGGCGTCCGCCCCCCCCCCCCCTCCCCCAGGTCCCCACGCGCGACCGCACGTTCCCAGCTCTATTCACGAAGACAAAGTGGATATAACGTGGACGGAAGTGCGAAACGACACTGGCGGCTTATATTCGAACAACCCTTTTCATTTTAGTTGTTTTATAACATGCGAAGACCATTTACTATAGCAACCAGTGACGGAACTAAGTATTCCGAGACGTCCGACCTCCAAACTAAACTACTTTAAGCTTATTTGTTGACATATGGTTGACTTATTGGAACAAGGCCTTAAGGTATTTGACACTGCTTGGTAGACTGAATCAGTGAACCAAACAGTTTCAACGCTTAAAATCTAGCACCAATAAGTCAACCGCAACAGTGGCAGCACCTGAATATCGTGTACCAATCAATCGACCAGTTTCTTTTGCTTAATATTCTAAGGGGACTTCAGAATTATGAACACCATGTCATCGTCTGCGAGAAGACTCTTGAGTGTTTTATTATCTCCAAAGCGTGGTGAATCGACCAGTTTTGTAATCCGCTACCTTGATAGCTAACCTTCAAAGGTGCAGGATATTTTTGTTAGCTTTTAGGTAGCAAATGCGTACTGCCTAGCTTGAAACAAAGACGACGTTACAGATAAACTGCTATCGAGTTAGTTTAGCACCGCTGCTCTATACTCTACCTCTTGTGAGCCATGATAACACTTGTATGAATAACTCAACCTTGAATGGTGTTCAGCTCATGTTTAGATACCTAGGATATACGTCATCCATTCATCAATTTATTCAAGTTTTGCTACCATTAGTTGGCTGATTGGTACAAGGCCTTTACGTGTTTGACACTGCTTGGCTGAAACGAATAAATAACTAATGCTAATTAATTTACTTGACTCAAAATAGTATCTATATATACTAGCTGCATACCGTGCTCCGCCACGGTGAATCATTTTATTCCTTCAGCGCACTGCGCTGTGCGTATGCACGTGCCTCGCCACAGTGTGGATATGGATATTACCTCAGAGTTTACAGCGCTAAGCGCGGATGGGGGTCACCGCATTGAGGCAAATATTCCTTCAGCGCACCTTAAAGTTTACCGCGCTGTGCGTGGTGTGAGTCCCCGCATTGGGGCGAATATTCAGTTTTTACCGCATTGTGCGCGGATGGGGGTGCTGCAAGTCATCCGACCACCTGGGCGCCGGCTGACGCGCCTGATTCAATTTAGTCAACGATTAAAGTTGCTATTGTATCTATAGTGTATAATTAAATATTATGATATCCAAAGCCCTTGAAACAGCTGGAGCTATGTATATGCTGATGGTGCTATTTATATACTGGTGGGACGTGTGGTTGTGGGGTAGGGATAACGTGAAAGTTTAAAGCTTCCAAGCTCGAGTTTGTAAAACGTTCCTGAAGGCCACTAGCCATAGGAATCTGATTTAAAACTGATGAGGGTAAAGGTGACTGTGTATAAAATTGATCACACTATCACTCTATATGCTAGGGTCAAGAACGAAATTGAACTATCTGACCGTTAGATCCATTTTAGTGGAAACTACCTGAATCTGAACTTAAAATATGCATGTTTGTATAGTACCGTTGTACTACCAATAGTTATAGCATTCTTAGTTCCTTCTTCTAACAGCTCTAACATTTTCTTACATTCTTGAAGAATATAAAAGAGTCATTTAGGAATTTTGTTTTTACTTTATTTTCGAGTTTGTTGTTACAGATCAGAAAAATATTTCCACCAATTATAGGTCTTTCAGATTTTTATCCGTCCCCAGTTCCTCATCCATTTTCTACACGCGAAACTAATAACATTTTTTAAAAAACGAAATACAAGTATGCCTACCAATAAATTGATGATCTGTACACACATTTCATACTCTTTTTAAAATACAGATTTCAAAGTTTTGCAAAGCAACCATCATAATAAAAGAACTAGCATTTAAGACTCCAGTTATATTTCAAAACTTAATATTTCTCTTCTAAAAACAAATTTCTGTGTTTTCTAGCTTTTTACAAATGTGATTTAAGAAACTTTATATTACTCAGAATACCAAACAGATTTTTTAAAATGTAAAATACTATAATATAAATACAGTAAACTGACAATTACAAAAGCAATTTTATGACTTTAAGTAAAAAGTCAACAGTGTTCTGTAGCCTACTTCTTCGTCCATTCAACGACCGACAGCTACACACAGGTGATGTAATAGCTGAGAGCGACGATCACAAGGCCAACAGACAATGTGAGGGTGTTGGTACTCACTGTTTCACGTGCTGGGAGATGGTGTAAATATGCATTAGTATAGGTTAATAAGCGCGTGATCATTCAACATTAGGTTAATGCATGGATAATTAAATCTTAATTATGTTAATATACAAGTTTTCAAAAATATTTAGGTTAGTATGCGAGTGATTATTCAACCTTATTTAGGTAAATATTTGCGGATTCTTTCAATAGTAGCTAGGTTAATATGTAGGTTAAGTTTTCTTTTTCAATATAGGTTAATGCCTTGTTAGGTTATTATGTAGGTAACATTTTTATTTTTAGGTAAATACGTGAGTATTCATTTGACCTTAGTAAGGTTGGTATGTTGATAATTTTTTACCCGTTATTTGGTATATAGGTGGAAAATGTTCAACATTAATGAAGTTAATATATGAGTAATATTTATATCTAAATTTTTAAATGTGTGGGTAATCACTCAAATTCAATATGATTTTTTTTTTTTAAAAAAGGTAAATAGTAACGTCCTGCCGTGTGTAGAGGATCAACATTATTGTTTACTAAGATTACTATTTTTAAATAATACACAATATATTGAAATTCATTAGCATTATGCTCGTCAGCAGTTTTAATTGTGGTATATCTTCCTTACCTCCACCAGTACCTGTAAAGTATTAGAAAACAAATTAGCTGTAACATTATTAACAATAAAGATTCTTCGGAAAACCTTAACTGTAAATGTTGAAGCTAAATCTACAACTCCAAATAGGTAAATGTGGCTATAACATTATTACCCTGGTAAATCAATTAAGATTCTTCAGAAAATATTAATAGTGAACTTTAGAAAATATTAACAGTGAAATATTAAACCAAATCTACAACTCCCAAATTATAGCCATTATTCTGGTCTCGTGTGTTGAACTTACAATCAACGACTTTTATTTTCACGCTGTTTCGTTACTTCCCCCTAAGTTCGCGGTACAATCAAAGATGTCGTTAAATACACAGCCGGCAGGTTTTTGGAGCAACATTGTTTTGGACAAGATTTTGATACCCTGTAGAGTGTCGTAGCCTGGTAAAGTTTCTTACACAGCTCAAGCTGAAGGGATAGTCTAAAATAAGTTAGAGGATCAAATGTAAGACTACACACCCATTCAAGCAACGCTGCTCAAATAAAACATTCTAAAGGTAATTTCATACACAAATGAAAGGTGCTACTTTCGTCCAATCAACTATGGGCAAATTAAATCACATAAATAAATGTAGGACACAACTTCCGTTTAGTTAACGCTGGTCAATGTAGACTTCTATTGTAACAAATTGAATCCATTGGATTAAATCCACACCTGTTGCACAAATTGCCTCATCACACGCCACGTCCTTTTGTTCATATATGACGGGCGTGTATGCCGGTTGAGTCTTTTAAAACACATGTTGCAGCTAATCTCTATTCATCTAATATGCAGTAATACTAGACTGACTACTTAAAATATGTTCTAAAATTGTAGCATTAACATTGTAGCACACTACTCGCGCCTGTATACAAAACGTCATCAAAAATCACAGCATGATGGCCTGTATTTAAAATCGGATGGCATATGTTCAAAATCTAATCAAAATTTAAAACTTAATTATCACAAAATATGTAATATTGTTTTATTATCCTAAACCATTTCCACTTGAAATTTTTCTCTTCTTATTTTAATGAGGTCAAAGATATACAGTATTCCTGTTTTTGTCTTAATTTAGGAAAAATTACTAATTTTCAGCAGGTCAATCCTTCGCCCGCCCCTATTACCCCCCCCCCCCCCCTCCCCCAATCACAAATCAGTATTGACAGGGTTCGGCGACATCGAGTCTCCGTTGTATTTTGGTTCAAGGCTGCACTGTTCAATAACAATATATATGTTAATTCAAGGCCACCACTTTGAAGGGAGATCTAACACACAACATCATCATTGTTCCTTTACTATAACCCTCCCAGTGTGCGTTGATGGTCTCAGTGTATTCATGTTAATTAATAAATCAACAGTATATTTTAACAAAGCTTTAGTAGACTAAAAAAAAAACAAATCTGGCGCGTTTTAGCAAGTTATTCTGGTCGACAGGACAAGTTTGATAGAGTTGTCCATACACGATTAGGTGAAAGTGTGCTATAAATAGCACATCAATGAACGACTTGTGGACCGCTTTAGAAAGAGAAATCTCGCCTCAATGGCCATTCAATAACTTACGCCTACACATGAGGATATTACGTGTGTACTATAACGGGGAAGGTAAGGAGGATGTAGTAAAAACAGACTGGGATTGTTGGGGTGGGGGTGTCTTACTTCCGTTTTGGGTAGGGAATAAATATACAAGGGATCATAGACAGGGTGTAGTTGTCCTTGGGTAGGGTGATTCACGGGGTAATGTTCAGCTCTCCACATCTATGGTAAATACGTTTGTGTTAGAATGTAATAGTCTTATAACATGGTATGCATTATGTCTTGCTTCGAACATGACTTCCATTCAGATGATGCAACCATAGCCTTACTACAAATTAGCCCCAATACTAATCTTAACTATATTCTAACCAATTCTATCGTAAACAAACATAAACTGGTATAATCCAAATTATAATTAACCAACAATCTATCAAAGCATCGCCTAACAAATTTGTCCTTCCCTAACCCACATTTAGACAACACTTTCGCGTTCTTGTTTAGTTTTCTTTGGGTTTTTTTTCCAAATATTGCGACTGTAAATGAAAAATTCATTTGTTGACTTGCATTAAGAATTTTTTTTTTAGTTTTAGTTTCTGTAACGTAACTTTACACTAGATTTTCTCGATAAACAGAAGCAGGCCGTGTCAAGCTAAAACATGTATCAAACTTTCAGCAGACGACCGTGGACCTACCAAATCGTCTGGGTGTCTTTGAAAAGTTCCAGGTATGTTCACCCTCTGCTTAGACGTGTTTGAGCGTTCTCTATTCCCTGGGAAACCAAGAGACATTCCCACGTCGAATGTGTCGCAACTTGTGACAAGTTTCCTCAAAAATTTTAAGACGAACGACACCGTGACTGTTCTATAGAATTCACTCAAACTTTGTATTATGGGAACCGGTGAAAAGAGTTATCAATGCAATGTGCACCAGTTTGTTGAATGTTTACCTTCTGTTTGGACAGTTTCCGTAGTGATGTCCTGCTCTACAGATATATAAATGGAGAATACGTTAGATAAGTAAACGATAACTTCACAATACTAAAAATGTTTATATTCGTCTTTTTTATTCCCGTTCTCTTCGTTGCTGGTAATTTGTTTAGCCTTGTTGTCGCCGTGGTCGAGTTGGTAAAGCTCACAGTGCTAAACCGAAAAATCTCGAGTTCGAACACTCGGGAAGATGAAGTTCGATAGCTGGGGACAGCCACTCCTCTAAGAGAGACTAATCCAAAATCAAACAACGGGTGCCTTGTAGTTTGTTCTTGGTTGGACAAAGGTTAAGGAAGCAAATCCAAAAGAAAAGCAGGCTGAAATCGGAGTCAACGGCCTATATGGCGCATAACCAGTTGACGCGTGGAGGAAATCCCCTTCAACACTAAAAAACGAAAAAGAAGATACAGATTTGACTCGATTGAAATTAATTTATTTTTCTGTTTTAAATCACTTTATACTCGTATCTAAAGATAGTTCTGTGTTAAAACTCTAAGATCACTTTATTTTTTTCAGTTTCACAAATTTCTTATGCTTGAATATTCTTTAACTTTCAGTTCATGCCGATTGTTCAGGAGAAACAGCAAGTATGTTACCATATATTTCGTGCCTAATATCTAGCATCTTTTTTTTAATTAGTCATTCATTTTTGTTTTACAAAATGAGTTGTTGTTTTTTTTAGCGTATCAGCCAACTTTCTCTTTAAGCTTTTTTTATACTGTCTAGCTAGATTTAAGCAGCATTTTAAGTTTTAAAATAATATGTTGTCTTTTTTATTTTTCGAAGCGTATAAAATGTAGAGGTGAATGTAATAAAAACTACAAGTAATGTTTTTAGATCTGCCAGACGCTCCCGTTGTTACTGTGGATGGAAAAACAGTAAAGAACGCAACAATATTTACCAAATCATTAGGAAACAACGCATTTTATGACGCCAACATCACTTGCAGCGTGGCTGGTGGGACCTCGTCAGTATACCGGGTAGGGATCATCTGTGGGACGTCACTGCCAGTAATATCCACCGGACAAGTCGTCAGCAGTGTTTTCAGAATACCGAAAGACTTTGAAGAGCGGTGCGTGTGCAATGCTGATCATTCGTCAGGGTGCTATGACAAAGCCACATCGGTCTACTTTAATTTGCAATGTAAGTACGCCCACTTCAACACTTTATTTAATATCGTCTGCTTAGATTAATTAACTTCACGACGGCCACACAAACAAAATAATATTTACCTGCGAGGTAAATTCAATCCGCGTACGTGTTCAATTAATTTCGGGTATATGCTGATAATTACATTATGTGTTCAATAAACGTACGTGTATATTCCGATATTGAAAACAGCATTTATTTTATTGATTTTTTTCAGATATCCCTGTGACAAAGCCTGTAGTCGCAATAAAAAACTCCATCCTAGGTGACGGTATTTTTATATTAGACTCTAGCTCCTACAGCTCAGCGAAGGTAAAGTGTGGTGTTTACGACGGAAACCCCGCTGTGTCTGAAATCATTTTGGTGTGTCAGGCTGCAAATCTTCTCGTCCCGCCGTCGACACAAATAGAAGAATCATTTCAAGGGAGCTTCACAGTTAAAGGAGACCAAATATGTACCTGTTCGGCTACACATTCCACTGGCCTATACGATCTAAAAACAACATTTGGTGTCAAATTTCAAGGTTTGTTATCTTCATTTCCCGCCCCCGTATTAACAAATATTGCTAAAATTTTAATCACTGGTTATTACCTACAAATGTTGAGTCGTTAAAGCTCCTGGCTTCTAAATTGAGAAGTCTTGAGCTCGAACCCTCTGGTAGATGAGGTTCGACATCTGGAGAGACAACTCCAAAATTAAACAACTGCTGCCTTGTGGGCTGAAATCGGAGTTAACGGCCTTTATATGTGTTCAAGGGAATCCCTCCTACACAAGAATTAAAGAGACGAAAACAGAAGTAGTCCCCCGTCAAACCCATTAATTATCACGTGACTCTTGCATAAACGGACGTGAGGTCATGTCTGTAATAACTAAGCGCTGGGTTCGTTCAGTAACACAGTACTACGGTGCTTACTGTCTCGGATGTAGGTACACGAAATATACGTTTGATGTGTCGCAGCTTAGGAAAATGTTATTACTGCTGATTACACATTTCAACTTTAATTTATGATTTTAAAAGAAACTTTAAAGTTTGCTAGTTGTTCTCAGCACAAACAGATCTAATTTCTAAACCCTTAGAGAGAGAGAGAGAGAGAGGAGAGAGCGAGGAGAGAGGGAGAGAGAGGGAAAAGTGGTTTATCCTAAGAAACAAGTTAATAAAAAGTCTAGTGACAATTTAAGTGCAATTTCCTTACTTAATTGTTTAGAATTCACAGACCTACGTAAAAATCCTTTCGAACCTCCGCTCATTCGCTATGGTAAAATCCTTTCGAACCTCAGCGCTTTGCGCTAAAAACCTACACGATGCTCAGTTTAAATTAAAACTAGGCCTACAAGATGCTCAGTTTAAAATATATTTTAAAAAATGTTGTGACCGAACGAAAGGATATTTTTGAAAACTTTCTTCGGCAATATTGGTTTAAATTATGGCAGAAATCGATTGGTAAATGTTTCAAGTCGCTAAGTGGTCTAGTTGCCGAGATATGGAGCAAAAACTGCATTTGTTCGAGGTTTTTTGGCTTTTCCGGGAAATCCAGGAAGGAATTCCGGGAATTTTTTTGGCCCACAATCATCCTTGGAACTTGCTTAACATATTTGCTTTTGGAACTAGTCCTCGATATTGCTTCGTTGAGGAGGAGATACCACTTAAAGCTGCGGACACACATCCATCCATCCATACATACATCCATTCATACATCCAGAAATGACGAGTTAATAATCGCAATTGTCCGTATGGAAATTGCGCTAAAATGTGGTTTAAACAAGCGGCCCACGCTTTTATTTATAGTGAAATAAATAGTAGTGCATTAATATATTTAAAGAAAGTAAATTTTTTTATATTTAAAGTAACAGCAGATTTATTATATTTTTAAAAATTATTTTATATTTAATAAAAATTGTATTATTTTCTTCTTTTTATTGCATTTATAAAAGCTTGTAATTATAAACGTTTTAATGTATTTATTATTTTAAATTCTAGACCTTAGACCGACCGTGAAAGTGAACGGGCAGGAAGGGACCAGCTTTCAAGCCGTCACGAACAAAACAGCCAGCACAGTCAGCGTGTCCTGTCAATCAGAATTTGGTGGTGGTGTGGCTGTGGGTTGTAACATCAGCGAAGGTCTGGCATTCAGGGCAAAGTCAAGTCCTGCTACATTTCTTATCAACACCGTCACGGACGGCTGCGCACACTGTTACTGTGTTTCTAGTCCTGATGTGTACAGGAAGTTTTACATCAACTTCGTGCAAGGTAAATAAGTTTACATTTTAAATTATTTTATGTTATAGTTTCTTTATGTTCTAAATTATGTTGCATTCTAAGTTGTTTTATATTCTATATTACTTTACTTGATAAATTATTTTAGATTATAAAATGTTTTAACCCTATTTTTTTATATTTAACATTATAACGCATTTAGCCTATACGATAAATTATTTTATATTCTATTATGTTCAATGTAACATTATTAATCGTTCATTAAAATTTATTTATTTACAAAAAATTATCACACATAAATGAGATTATCATTACCGATTAATTTCTTTTCGTTGAAAAAAATAATCAAATGTTCTCACTGTTTTTAAAATTAACTTATGAAGCGATCATTTCTACCGTAATATATTTTTAAATAAACTTTTTATTTTCCCCAATTGTATCGTGATGTTGATGCTGGGTGGGGTTGTTACTAGAAATACGACATAATATGCGGGGTAGTGAAATAGGAAAACTAGTGGGTGAAATATGTTCTATTTGTGTTCTACATTATATACACCGTCCCATGGGATTAGCGCGGTGCACCTCCAAAACGGCACGGGATAAATCGGACCCCTCAAAACGGACCCGTTAATATGACCCCGTCAAATCGATCCCCGACAAAACAACCCCGTCAAAATAGCCCCTTCAAAAGGGCCCCGACGTATTGGCTCCCGTCAAATGGGCTTCCGTCATAATGACTTGCGACAAATAGGCTTCCGACCAATGGGCTCCCGACATTTAGGCTCCAAACAAATGTACTCCCGACATATTGGCGCCCGACATAAGGGCTCGCGACATATTGGCTACCGACAAAAAGGCTCCCGATATATTGACTTCCGACAAAATGACTCCCGACATATTGGCTCCAGACAAATGAATCGCATTACCATTATTGGCATAAAAGTAACCATTTTGTCCTACATCCACTACCACTATAACCTCTTTTAAATGGCTGCATGAAATTGTTTTTCATGAACCAACATCAATTTACAAACAAATCTAGCCCTTAACAGCTAAATTCCACCAATTCTAAAATTGTGATGTTTAATTTACAACAGTAAAGATCTGTTGCTTAAAAACGAGCACAGAAGTGTAAATGTATGATATACATGATGTTTACATGATAACAGCATTTTGTTTTGATAACCTACAAGCATACTGCAGGTAGGAATGTATAGCGTGGACCCTTATCTCCACACACTTCAGTTGGAACAGCCTATAATCGACTCATTAATGGAAGTCATAGATAGATGACCCTTAAATTAAAACATACTATTTCTTATAATAGATAAAATATTATAAAAATAAGGCCTGCCGAACAAGAAATGCATACTTTATATTACTTAAGAGTGTTTGATAAGCTAACTCTAAAGAATATTGATTAAGGGGTCCCACTGGCAGGTGTCATATTCAATAAGACCGTTTTGCCAGGAGACTTAGTCTCTACGGAAACCGTATTGTCAGTGGTCCTTTTGTCGGGAGCCAAATTGACAAGAGCCTATTTGTCCTGAGCCAAGATAACGGAAGCCTATTTGTCGGGAGTCGTAATGAGGGGAGCCGTTTTGTGGAGAAACTAAATTACGGGAGCCTATATGTCGGGAGCCTTATTGACTGGAGCCCTTTTGTCGGGAGCCTTTATGACAGCAGCCTATTGACGGGGCCGTTTTGTCATTGGCCATTTTGACGCCGCACGGATTAGCGCAATCATCTCTCACGTTGCTGCATGTCTAGTCTATGCTGATGTTGTAAATAAAACTTGTCTACTTACAGATGGTCAGACACCACAAGCCTGTGGACACGCAACCTTGGGAGCTCAAGTCTCTTTCGTTTTGGTCATACTGTCAACTGTCGTAGCGTTTAGACAAGCTTATTTTTAGACAACTTTAGACAAGCGTATTTTAGACAACTTTTAGCAAGCCTATTTTTAGACAACTTTTAGACAAGCCTATTTTTAGACAACTTTTAGACAAGCTGATTTTAGACAACTTTAAGACAAGCTTATTTTTAAACAACTTTTAGACAAGCGTATTTTAGACAACTTTTAGCAAGCCTATTTTTAGACAACTTTTAGACAAGCCTATTTTTAGACAACTTTCAGACAAGCTTATTTTAAACAACTTTTAGACAAGCCTATTTTTAGACAACTTTTAGACAAGCTTATTTTAGACAACTTTTAGACATGTGTATTTTTATACAACGTCTAGACAAGTGTAGTTTTAGTCAAATTTTAGCCAAATCTATTATTTGTACGACAAAACTTTGTAAATATTGTCAAAATGTTAACCTAAACTTATTCTAATTCTAGTAATGTTGAAATATTACAATTACTTATAATGTATTGATTATACCAATAACTGTAATTACTTTCTGTTTCGTTTTGTTTTTTTGTTTACAAACAAATATAACGACTTATTGATTATAATCGTTAATTAAAATAAAACTGCACTTCGAACTTATAATGTTGAACTAACACTTACCAAACTAGAACTACCTACAACAAACTACGCTGAAGTCAAACTACAGTGGAGCTAACTTCACGTATCATTATTATCCTATCATTCATAGGACTAATTAGTCGTGAATACTCAAATTGTCATTGTAGATATTGTCAATTTGTTTATTATTAAACAACTATCCTTTGTATTTAATATTATTTTTTATGAATATTATTTACATTACATGAGTGTTAAAAACTGTGTGTTATGTTTAATTTTTTATGTAGTAAGTGGCACTTTTTTTTAATGACGATAAAAATTAATCAAAACAAACATAAACAGTCAGTGATGTATAACTAAAATAATGTGCTTCAAAAGAATGCGTGTATCTTGAGGTCGGCTTAGTTACAAAACTGTTGGTTAATGAAAGTGCTTATCTATGAAAATGAAAGTGGAAAATGTTTCAGCAAAAACATATATTACAAAATGAAAACCATTTTTATTTTTTCCGACAAGGAATGTGAGTCAGAGTACAAAAATTATATTTCATTCTCACCTGCCTTCCCCCCCCCCTCCCCAGCCTGAAATTGGATGACTTGAAACAGGTCCCTGTGGTATCTGCAATATGGTGTTCCTTGTAATATGAAAAACGAAACTTAAAAAGAATAAGTGCTAGAAATCTGTTGTTTTTTTTTTTAAAGAAAAGCAGGAGTGTTTAACCTAATTAATTACTTTGAGAGAAGAATAGAGTTGATACTATAATTTATATTTTGTTATTAAGTATAATGCAAAACAATAAACATAACGTCTAATAGGTCCCTAAGGTTGTTGCGATACGGTAATCCTTGTAATATGAAAAACGAAACTACAAAAAGAATAAGTGCTAGAAATAGTTTTTTTTTTATAAGCTGTAAACTGTAGAAAAAAATTGTTTACCCTAATGAATTACTTTGAGAGAAGAATACATTCTAAAATTAATATTTTGCTATTTATTATAATGTAAAACAAATTTCATAACATCCAACACATTACCATTTGCCCCAGATTAATTAACTGTCTAAACATGCATAGTGTCGGACATTGCTTTTAATATAAATAGTTAGCCAATTAATCATATCACAAATCATGTTTAACTAGTTAATACAAATACTAATGTAAGAGTATTGACATAAGGTGAAATTACTGAAGCCAACTTGCTCAATTCAATTTACAATTATTGTTTTACTGTTATCACCCCATCTCTCCCCCCCCCTAGGGTTGCCAGGTGTCCAGTTTTGAACTGGACAGTCCAGTATCTGAGCAGACTGTCCAGGATAAAATAAAAATAAATACTGTACAAGTATATGAATAATACTCTGTTACCCCCCTTCTTCTGCTTTGCGGCATACCTGAGAAGGGAAGGATGGAAAGGTGTCCAGTATTTTCGGAAAAGGTATCTGGCAACCCTACCCCTCCCCCCATCCACTCACACGCACACTCTACATACACGCTATATAATACTATTGTTGATAAGGAATTTAGCACTGATATGTTATATAGCAGTCACGTAGCAGCATCTAATAATATGTCAATTTGCAATTCTCCAATGTGGTTTCAAGTCAGTCTACTTCAGTGGAAGGTGTATTGCGTGCTGATCAGTACATTTTTGTGAAAGCTCAGATTGTGCTTAATGGCGTCAATTTGTCCACACATTATATTAACCAATCTATTAAGTCAAGTGGGGGAAAAAAGCATTGTTTTCGTAGTAAATTATTAAATATGAAGTTGTTGAAAATACGCAACCAATAAAACAAGTCAGAAACAAAATTTTGCTAAGTTTTTAGTTAGTGTCGAAATTTGTCAATTAGTACTTAAAGCCTATTTAAAGTATTTATTATTAATTGAAATAAATAAAAAAATAATGTTACCTCTATTTATTCTACAGTGCTTTACCTTTGTGTCGCCTCCACCTCCCCCTATGATATAATAATGTTCGTCCCCTTACTACGCCTATGTCCCACCAGAGGCGTAGCGAGGGGGGGGGGGCGGAGGGGACATATGTCCCCGGGCGCCGACCTTAGGGGGGGCGCCAAATTGAAAGTTTGAGGGGGGGGTGCAAATGAAAAGTTCGAGGGGGGTGCAAATCGAAAGTTTGAGGGGGGTGCAAATGAAAAGTTCGAGGGGGGGGGTGCAAATCGAAAGTTTGAGGGGGGGTGCAAATGAAAAGTTCGAGGGGGGGGGGGGTGCAAATCGAAAGTTTGAGGGGGGGGGGGTGCAAATGAAAAGTTAGAGGGGGGGTACAAATCGAAAATTTGCTCCCGAGGGGGGCGCCAAATTGAAAGTATGTCCCCGGGCGCCAGGAAGGGTCGCTACGCCTCTGTGTCCCACCACTTTCCACGGGCACAACAAGGAAACGTTTTTTGAGGCTGTTTATTATGATCCACGTAACAACAAGAAAGATAACTCACTAAAAATCAATCATTTGATATTTACACAGTTATTGGCGTTCACTTGCAAAATAAATCCGAATTAGCAAAATGAAAAACAAGTAAGATATTTCATGACAAATTATTGCCTATAACAAGCATGGATTCTTTGTATTATTTCCTTATTTTTAGTGTACTTATATAGGTTTTTAATAGTTGTTTTATTTTTCAAGTATTTTAGATCTGTTAGTGTTTGAAAATCTGGTTGTAAATAGCAATCTAGATCAGTTGTTCTTAACTTCTCTGTATGTACCGTACACCACAAGCTTCATATGCGCATTCGCCGAATCCTTCTTATTATTTTTTTCGCCTCAGACTTGTAATTTACAGCGTCATTTTGCCTTGCATATTCACTTAAGTATTTCAGTTTCCATTATCGGCTTTTGAGGACTGATACAGTTCTATAGTAATACTTTTTTCTTACGTGGGTTTCTTATGGGTTTGGGCTTTTAAGTAGAGCTGAAATAAATTTGGGATTAAAGAAAAATAAAATTTGAAAAAAAATTTAAGCAACCGTAAAATGAGCCACATCAAATGAAACAGTCTTCCCTTTCAAACATCTATATCTATAGCAGTTCTCCCAGTTTCCGTTTCTATTCACTGCTTAGTTTACTGTGCTCTTCTTCGGCTGCGAAGTCAAAAGTACACATTGTTAGAAACGATCGTGGGAGAATAGTCTCTGTAATACTCAGACTGATCAGTGGCGTAGCGAGGTCGGGTGTCACCCGGTGCGGCACTTAATGGTGTCACCCCCCCCCCCCCCCCCCAGAGGCATAGCGACCCTTCCCGGGGACAAACTTTCAAATTTTCGATTTGCACCCCTCCCCTCAAGTTTTCGATTTGCACCCCCCCCCCCCCCTCAAACTTTCGATTTACACCCCCCCTCAAGTTTTTCTCTATATATTTTGCTATTTTTTGCCTTGGTGTCACCCTCCTAAATGGTGTCACCCGGTGTGGTCCGCACCCCCCGCCCCCTCCTCGCTACGCCCCTATGATTCCAAAATTCTCCATGACACAAAATTGACCCCTGGCGATGAGGCTACCCCCTGCCCTTGATTTATTTATTCGCCAGTCCGGTTGGGTGGGTGGGGGTAAGTGGGTTGGGGGGGGGGGGGGGTCAGGTACATTTTTAGAATGCTCTTTGTTTTAACCCAATATAGTATTGTTAATTTTATTTAATTTAAAAATGCGAGTACAATGGATAAATACTATTGAACGGTTTGTTGTGCTTTGATAATGATAATAATAACCTAAAAGTTCGTGTCGCCACCTAGCGGCAAGGTTAGCTACTCTGTCCAGCAAAATTAACCATAGTAGAAATTGTGGTTCTACTCTTATTTTCTTATTTTCATTAACATCACTGTTTTCAAAAAGCAAAACTATTAAAATAAGAATTCGACACAAAAGTATAATAATACATATTTACTGCAAATTAATTTAACTTTTGCTGTTGCCTTCAAGGCACTAGTACAGAAATACGCGGCTCCACTTTAAAATCAGCAATAATAATAGAGGCAACATCTATGTTAAATTTGTAGAATTATCTCCCTTTATTTAATTAGGTAATCATATAATTAGATTTTAAAGACTAATATAATGACTAATTTGATTAAAAATGAAATTTCTTTGCATTAGATCTTGTCTGGGTTAAAATTGAGTTACATGATTCGTCACAACCCACAAAAAACAGACCGATAGGAATAATTTTTGAATAAAAAGGAAAGCTTTTGAAAACTATAAGGTGAGCAGGTATTTACCTCAAGTTCTGCGCTCGATTTACAGTGACAAGAAAGATAACCCATTTTAATGTATGATTTTATATTTACCCAGATGTCTAACTTTATTTTGATTTTTTATTAATTAAATAAAAATGAAACCTTAATTATTCAAAAGAAGTATTATTGATATTCATATTTTTTTTTCTAGGTAAAGTAATTTTGTTAAAGATTTTCTGTAATTTAAAACACATGAACTGCGTATAATTAGCTTTAAATGAGCACAAGCTAATAAGCTCAAAAACGGGCGATGTATACAACGGCACTTACTGGCAAAATATTTTCAGATATCGTTTCATTAAAATGGATGCATGACAGTGGCGAAAGCAGGCGTTAAATAGAATAATCGAATGTTGTTTTTTTTTAATGCCTCGGAAATAGTCATTTTAAGTTTAGCCCCCAATAATATAGTCAGATGTGAATCCAAGACCACCATTCCACACTAAATATCGGAATTCAATTTGTATTTAGCTTAGCAAGCTATTGAGGAAATACTATTGCAAAATAGCGTAGCACAAGTCGGATATTTGTGGTTCTTGTATACAGTGACGCACTTTATTTGACGTCATCGCAAGCGTTGTGGGGTCAAGGACGAAACAGGATGACTCAGTGCTGCAAGTTATTTCGGTGAAGCGGGGTTTTTTTCGGCGGCCCAACATTGGTTGTTGACACCTCAAAGGCGGCGACCTATTCATTGAACTTGTAGTGTAGCGGGATATATTCGTCACGCTCTATTGAACCCACGTTTACAAGACTGATTCGCTTCCAACACAGCATTCAGAATTTATACGACAATGACTAGACTCATTCAAACCTTACACCCCAATGTTTTATTAGAGACTCGACTCATTCAAACATTACATATTATATATATATATATATATATATATATATATATATGTATATATATATATATATATATATATATATATATATATATATATATATATATATATATATATATATATATATATATATATATATATATATATATATATATATATATATATATATATATATATATATATATATATATATATATATATATATATATATATATATATATATATATATATATATATATATATATATATTTGAACCCACCCCCCCCCCCACATGAGACGATCCTGGCTTCGCCACTGGACTAGACTCATTCAAACATTAAAAAATAAACCAGTGTTTTATTAGATACTCGACTCATTCAAACATTAAAAAAAACAGTGTTTTATTAGATACTCGACTCATTCAAACATTAACAGCCAATGTTTTATTAGAGACTCGACTCATTCAAACATTACACCCCAATGTTTTATTAGAGACTCGACTCATTCAAACCTTACACCCCAATGTTTTATCAGAGACTCGACTCATTCTAACATTAACAGCCAATGTTTTATTAGAGACTCGACTCATTCAAACCTTACACCCCAATGTTTTATTACAGACTAGATCTAGACTCATTCAAATATTACACCCCAATGTTTTATTAAAGACTCGACTCATTCAAACATTACACCCCAATGTTTTATTAGAGACTCGACTCATTCAAACATTAACAGCCAATGTTTTATTACAGACTCGACTCATTTAATTATTACAACCAATGAATCGTGAAGTCCGGCGTTAGTCGAACCGGCGCAAACAGGTATTTGTTGACACTTGTGTGCCCACACGGGATAAACCTCCCCTGGGTCAGAATTCTTGGTGAGGCCTGAAATAGGTCACGTGACTGTCAACACAATCGTAGGTGTATCTGGGTCGGGTTAAAAGGTCAGCAGCATCCGAGTTTGGTCGGTGTAAGGATTGAACCGTGTAGGTCTTGATTCGTCGAGTTTGGTCGGTGTAAGGGTTGAACCGTGTAGGTCTTGATTCGTCGAGTTTGGTCGGTGTAAGGGTTGAACCGTGTAGGTCTTGATTCGTCGAGTTTGGTCGGTGTAAGGGTTGAACCGTGTAGGTCTTGATTCGTCGAGTTTGGTCGGTGTAAGGGTTGAACCGTGTAGGTCTTGATTCGTCGAGTTTGGTCGGTGTAAGGGTTGAACCGTGTAGGTCTTGATTCGTCGAGTTTGGTCGGTGTAAGGGTTGAACCGTGTAGGTCTTGATTCGTCGAGTTTGGTCGGTGTAAGGGTTGAACCGTGTAGGTCTTGATTCGTCGAGTTTGGTCGGTGTAAGGGTTGAACCGTGTAGGTCTTGATTCGTCGAGTTTGGTCGGTGTAAGGGTTGAACCGTGTAGGTCTTGATTCGTCGTTTTGAACTACCGTAGTGACATACAGGTTAATTACCGTCCGCTCTAATTGCACTAGTCCGCCTTAATTGCACTACTTGAAATAATTTACAGTGAAAAAAAGGTAGTTACGTTTGATAAATATATACATCAAGTCCCACGCTAAATAAAGAACCCAAGAAACAACATCACAACCCCTCAACACATAAGTATACTAGTAAAATGAAACAGCTCAATCTGCATAATCAATGAGGTGTGACCAGGCTCTTCCGATCTATTTGTGGTGGTCTATAAATATCTCACTAATAATAATGTAAAGCACCCCCCTCCCTCTACTGTAGCTCATCGGCGAGTCAGAGTGATTGCCCCCCCCCCACCCCCCCCCCCCCCATTAGTGAGTCTACTCCATTTGCATACAACATGACTTCTATGAAGATAAATCTAACTTTATTATATTACAAACGACTCGTGTTAAACCGACAAGTTACTCTGTAACTAAATGTCAAATACCTACCGGCTTGACCTTCAAGTAATTTTAAGACGGTGTGTTTGTTATTCCAACGTACGGGGCGGTGTTTATTATTCAACGTAACGGTCTTATCTCAACGGTCAAATCGCTGGACACAACTGGTCAGGGACAAGGAATAGAGGAATGTCCTCTGTGCAGTAAAAAAAGTTTTTCATAAGCATGAGTGAGAGTCGTTTATACATATTGGCCATGGGGAAAAACCAAAAGCCGAATTTGTTAAAGCAGTTTAGATAATTTTGTTACAAGTTATTGGCATTTACCTGTCCAGTATTACTAGTTGCTTACTGGTAATTAACATAATTTTAAATATGTTTCTTTTAATGTAATGAATTTCGACACGACCAAAAGCGCGATGTCTATACGCAGGCAATAGATTTATAACTAGGATTTAACAAGGTTAAATTTAACAGAAAATGAACCGAGTATGGTTGTCCTATTGATTTCAAAGGTAAATTCTTTGAGTTTGTCCGAATATAATTGTTTCTATTTTTTTTTTCTCGTTACATTTTTTTTCAAATTTGATCATTTTTAAACTTACTACACGGAATCTGAGGGCAGCTTATAAAAAGCTCTCAATATTTTTCGTGTTATCTGAATACTCACTCAGCCGCTTAATTTATTCACCCCCCCCCCTCTAATCTCTGACGATAGGCCTACACACCTGTGTCAGTGAGTTGTGTTTACATATCGTCACACCACGCAGACCTGCACACACCAGTTGAATACTTGCAGACCACGAATGTGTCCACTCTCTATTCAACAGTCCGTGGTGTGACGCCCCCCTCCGTGTGAAATATGTCATCCCTCCCTAGGTAAGCGTCCGTGTCCGTCCCAGGTCAGCCTGCCCGGGTAGTGACCAACACACCTGATCGCTGGGGTGCCGTGCTGTCTACCTGCCGTCCCCATTACCTGAGCACACCGCCACCTCCCCAGTGAGCACGCTATATAAGAGGGTAGTGGGTCAACCGACGCCTTGACAGGAATCTTTCTAAGTGTACACTATCGTGAGATGTGAGTTGGTATTTACAATTTTGATTTGGTCATATACTTGAGTTTTAACTGAGTTGGTATTTTAATTTGGTCTTCTTCATATTTAACTGAGTTGGTATTTTAATTTGGTCTTCTTCATATCTGAGTTGGTATTTTAATTTGGTCTTCTTCATATTTAACTGAGTTGGTATTTTAATTTGGTCTTCTTCATATCTGAGTTGGTATTTTAATTTGGTCTTCTTCATATTTAACTGAGTTGGTATTTTAATTTGGTCTTCTTCATACTTAACTGAGTTGGTATTTTAATTTGGTCTTCTTCATACTTAACTTAGTTGGTATTTTAATTTGGTCTTCTTCATATTTAACTGAGTTGGTATTTTAATTTGATCTTCTTTATACTTGAGTTTTAACTGCATTATTTAGGTTTGGTCATCTTTATATTTGAGTTTTAATAATGGATAAAGTCATTTTGCTAATCTTTATATTTCGATTTTATGTATTTTATTTGTCATCTTTTCATTTTTGTCTAATTTGAATTGATTGTTTGGTATTACCTTGGCTAATGGAAACAGCATTTTTATAACGAAAACTCTTCTTAACAATAATTGTCTGATTCTAAAGAAGTGGTAAATCTGAATGGTTAATAATTTAATCCTGAACTTCATACTGACCAACGAGCCAGGCTACCGTTTATACATTAGCCAACGTTTAGCACCACGTTGTAGTGTTCGGTTAGTGTTACAGACGGAATAGATTTGTTGCATTTGTTCAACTTATTGAATTGCTATAACTTGTACAATATGTTTTTAATTTTAGATTTTACATTGGCTATTTTGGATAATTGTACAAAGATGCATCTCATAATTTTATTTAGCCTCTTCACATTAGCAAGTAAGTACCAAGAATTTTGTTTTAATTTTCTTACGTTAGTCGTTGGAAGGAGTGTCTTGTCAGACTTAAAAAGTAAATGTGTAGTTTCTTTTTTTTTTTAAATGTCCCTGCTGTGAATCTTAACTTTTTAGTTTCTCTTAAAATATTTTCCCAAATACAACTGCGTCAACACTCGGAAAGATTGTTTAAAAACATACGCGAAGTCACTGAGTCAGTGTTATTGTTTTCAAGCATACACTAAACCGTATGTTTCAGTTCAAATCGTATGAAGTATATTATAAAGCGTAATACTGAATTTTATATTCGAAACAAATAATATGACACAGTCTTGTATTCACCTGTTTGTGTTGAACTAGTTTGCTGTTAACTTTTTTTATGAATACTTTTATCTTTATAAAGTGGGATTGTTTATTCTCTTTTAGACATGCATAAAAGTTTATGAGATCATTAAAAAATTGGGCGGTTAAAAAACAAGTGGCTAGAAATTAGTGTGTGAATGCTTTTAGAAATCAGGGCGGAAATATAATGCATATTTCATCTGCTGAGTGCATACTATAACTGATATATTTTTGAAGCTTTGGGGGGGGGGGGGGGATAGTACACTTAATCTACCGGCAATCATTTTTTGTATAACTGTCCATCGAACTTTTGCAGGCTCAGCGTGCGATTCGAACCCAACTACAGCCAACTTAGGTAAGTGTTTATACATGTTAACAACTTAGGTGAATGTTTATACAATATACATGTTAACAACTTTGGTGCGTGTTTACACATGTTAACAACTTTGGTGAGTGTTTACACATGTCAACAACTGAGGTGAGTGTTTACACATGTTAACAACTGAGGTGAGTGTTTACACATGTTAACAACTGAGGTGAGTGTTTACACGTGTTAACAACTTTGGTGAGTGTTTACACGTGTTAACAACTGAGGTGAGTGTTTACACGTGTTAACAACTGAGGTAAGTACAGAGGCGTAGTGACCCATCACGGCACCCGGGGACAAACTTACTTCCGATTTACACCACCCCCCCCCTCAAACTTTCGATTTGCACCACCCCCCCCCCTCAATCTTTCGATTCGCACCCCCCCCCTCAAACTTTCGATTTGCACCCCCCCCCCCCACAAACTTTCGATTAGCACCCCATTCAAACTTTCAAATTTGTTTTTCCAACCCATTTTGGCGCCCCCCTAAGGTCGGCGCCCGGGGACATATGTCCCGCCCCCCACCCCCTCGCTACGCCTCTGGGTGAGTGTTTACACATGTTAACAACTTATTCTATTAGAATAAAATAATCTCACTGTACTTAACCAATGAGGAGTGACCTGACTTTTTCGAACCATTGCTGTTGGTACTTAAACATGGTAACCAGTGTTTCTTCTAGACTTTTTTCTTCGTGGGAGGGGGGTCAACATTTTCCTGGGGGAGGGGGGCGGACACTAGTACAAGTATGCTTTCTATATAAATAAAAATTCCATTTTGTTCGGGGGTGGGGGGCTGTAGACTTTCTTCCGAAGAGATGCCTGGAAGAAACTCTAGTAACTAGCACCCAAGTCGAAGGTTTCTCCTAAGATTGGAGAAAGACACGATGTCAAACAATTAGTGGTTCGATTTCTGTAACATACTTCAACAGAAGACTCAATGTTGTTTAACACTACTGGTCTAAAACTTCCCTTCTGAACCTGATGGTAATAATAGGACAGTTCACAGGTATGGTTTAGGTTACCTGGGCATGTGCTGGGATAGTGTGGCAAGGTCTGTGCCAGGCAGTTGTATATTGTGTGTGCTGGGTATCCTTAAGAGCTGAGTTAACTCGGGGACGTCCTTAGCACAACCTGAATCCAAAAACAAAACTATCAGTGGTGCCAAAGTCTTAACTAGTTTATTTGGTAATGTATTTTTACTATTTTATGTGCATATATATATATATATACATATAAAGAGGTCCTAGCATGTATTTTTTTTCTCTCCCCAGGGTTACCCATAACCCCACCCACCGTCCAAGTCGATGGCATCCCGATTAAAAACCGAGGAACGTTCGTCATCAAATCCACATCGACCCAGTCTGTCGTGGAGTGTCTGGTTTCTGGGAGGATCACTACAGACTTCAGGATCAACCTGCAGTGTGGTGCCTTGTTCAACAAGACCATAGATGGACCAAACGCAGCCTTCTACCTGTCCTTCAACAGGACCTGGTCTGGCACCACCTGCGTCTGCTCACCTAGTCACGTGAGCGGGTGCTACACGGAAAAAAGCAGCTTCCAGCTCAGTGCTAAATGTAAGTACAAATACTCGGTGCTAAATGTGAATTCAGCTCATTCTAGCTCTGTGCCTTCTATCTGTATGGTACTATGAATGTACCTTCTCTCTGTATGGTACTATGAATGTACCTACTATCTGTATGGTACTATGAATGTACCTACTATCTGTATGGTACTATGAATGTACCTACTATCTGTATGGTACTATGAATGCACCTACTATCTGTATGGTACTATGAATGTACCTTCTCTCTGTATGGTACTATGAATGTACCTACTATCTGTATGGTACTATGAATGTACCTACTATCTGTATGGTACTATGAATGTACCTTCTCTCTGTATGGTACTATGAATGTACCTACTATCAGTATGGTACTATGAATGTACCTATTATGTGTATGGTACTATGCATGTGTATGGTGCTTTGAATGTGTATGGTACTTTGCATGTGTATGGTACTGTGCGTGTGTATGGTACTGTGTGTGTATATGTACTGTGCATGTGTATGTACTATGCATGTGTATGTACAATGCATGTGTATGGTACCTTGAATGTGTATGGTACTTTGCATGTGTATGGTACTATGCATGTGTATGGTACTATGCATGTGTATGGTACTATGCATGTGTATGTACAATGCATGTGTATGGTACTGTGCGTGTGTATGTACAATGCATGTGTATGGTACTGTGCGTGTGTATGGTACTGTGCGTGTGTATGGTACTGTGCGTGTGTATGGTACTGTGCGTGTGTATGGTACTGTGCGTGTGTATGGTACTGTGCGTGTGTATGTACTATGCATGTGCAGGGTACTATGCATGTGCAGGGTACTGTTCATGCACCTTGTATTTGATTCAATACTTGTGTTACTTCCTTCTATCTACAGCTCAGACACTCATCAGAAAATTTACAGCCAACGGGAACAGTGATAGCTACCTGGAGGTGCCTGTTGGTCAAAATGTAACACTTGATTGTGAGGTGGATGGCCAGGCTGGAGCTGACATGAACATTTCAGGTATTGCTGACGTCAGTCAGGTGTCTGAGGTGGCAGTGGTGGGCGTCTGAACTTTTTACTGAAACTCTAAGTTGCTACCAGAAAAAACTTGTAATCTCATCCTTTTCTAAATGTAGGCACGCCTGCAGCCTTTAAAAAAGTGGTCAGTCAAGGACCAGTACAAGAGCTGAACCAGACCTTCATCGCCAGCCTGGATAAGTCCGGCACCTACACCTGTTCTGCTATCAGCAAGGTCCAGACCTTTGATCCTACTCTCAACAGGGCGGAGAGCTCCGTTTCAGTTGATGTGAAGACAATCGACATCAGGATATATTCTGGTAAGATTTCCAAAAAAATAAACTGGCTTCTGTTTTAAGAAATCTTTTAAAAGTGTAAATAATTTTTCTCCTGGCGACATTTTCTATTTCAGCACTAAAATTGTCTTTATTTTCAAACTTAAGAGATTATATTGTGCATGCTATTTAAATCAGATAAACACTTCTGTGACATCTTTAAAGCTGTTTAGCTCAGGTTAGATACATACACAAACTAGCAGTATTTTCTAATTTTAACATTAATAAATATCATACCCAGTTTCTAAAAAAAAATTATTTAAACAGCCTTTGTCAAAACAGATCTAGTTTTCATCTATTTAAAAATATTCTTTTAAGTTAAGTAGTAGTGGATGTAGAATATGAATTCAATTTAACAGTAATTAAATACCAAATCAGTTTTGGGCAGTATATCTGGATTAATCTAGATTCCCAAAGTAAAAACCACAAAGAACATTCCTTTATCTCTTGAAATATAAGTGCAAGAAATCTTGTCCCTGTAAGGTGCTCAGAAATGACACATAAGGTTAAAAAATGTCTATGCTGAAGGTTTGCATCATCTGTGATCAGGGGCGTAGCGAGGGGGGGTGGGGGGTGCGGACCGCACCAGGTGACACCATTTAGGGGGGTGACACCAAGGTAAAAAATAGCAAAATATATAGAGAAAAACTTGAGGGGGGGATGCAAAACGAAAGTTTGAGGGGGGGTGCAAATCGAAAACTTGAAAGTTTGTCCCCAGGAAGGGTCGCTACGCCTCTGGGGGGTGACACCATTAAGTGCCGCACTGGGTGACACCCGACCTCGCTACGCCACTGTCTGTGATTGCACAGAGTGAGCAGTGGAACATTTTCTTCAGCAGGCAAGCTAATCAGGACTGAGTTCACTGCCAACAACCAGAGTGAGAACGTGGTGGTCAAGCCTGGCACAGTGGTCGAGTTTGTCTGCAGGAGCAGCAAGATGCCTCTCGCCATCAAGGACCATCACAATGGTAAATAGACTGACTGATCACTGCATTAGTAAATAGACTGACCACTGTATTGGTAAATAGATTGACTGATCACAGCATTAGTAAATAGACTGACCACAGCATTAGTAAATAGATTGACTGATCACTGCATTGGAAAATAGATTGACTGATCACTGCATTAGCAAATAGATTGACTGATCACTGCATTAGCAAATAGATTGACTGATCACTGCATTAGCAAATAGATTGACTGATCACTGCATTAGCAAATAGATTGACTGATCACTGCATTAGTAAATAGATTGACTGATCACTGCATTAGTAAATAGATTGACTGATCACTGCATTAGAAAATAGATTGACTGATCACTGCATTAGTAAATAGATTGACTGATCACTGCATTAGCAAATAGATTTACTGATTACTGCATTAGTAAATAGATTGACTGATCACTGCATTAGTAAATAGATTGACTGATCACTGCATTAGTAAATAGATTGACTGATCACTGCATTAGAAAATAGATTTACTGATTACTGCATTAGTAAATAGATTGACTGATCACTGCATTAGCAAATAGATTGACTGATCACTGCATTAGCAAATAGATTGACTGATCACTGCATTAGAAAATAGATTGACTGACCACTGCATTAGTAAATAGATTGACTGATCACTGCATTAGTAAATAGATTGACTGATCACTGCATTAGAAAATAGATTGACTGATCACTGCATTAGAAAATAGATTGACTGGCCACTATATTAGTAAATACATTGAGTGGCAACTGTATTTAATAAATATATTGCCCTACCACTGTATTTATATATTGAATGACCACTGTATTTATATATTGAATGACCACTGTATTTATATATTGAATGACCACTGTATTTATATATTGAATGACCACTGTATTTATATATTGAATGACCACTGTATTTATATATTGACAAACCACCAAGGAAAATCATTTTTTAACAAGCCAATGTTATTCTTCTAGTGTTGAGGTCAAAATAAGATTGTCAATAGTTTATTGAATTGTTTCATGAGGGACTTCATAACCTGATTCATATTCCCTGTAAGTTGAATTGTTTCTCTTGTCCATCATGTAGGAAAATTCATGTTTTTCTTTTTTCCACCCTACAGGGAGAATCATGTCTGAGAGTACTGCAGCCAATGCCATGTTTAAAAAGATTTCTGTGTCTGAGATGGCAAACTGCACCACAGCTGGCAAATATGATTGTACAGCAGGCGATGAAACAAAATCTCTGTATTTGATTGTAGCCTGTAAGTTTTGTTTGCCATTATCACATCAATCAACTATAACTTTACTAAGTCTATTTTGTAAGTAAGGTAGATCACATGTGTTATAGCTTGTTTAAATTTGACTCAATAATTGTTCAAATTTAACTGGCTCTTTGTCCGACATTGACTGGGTCTTTATTATTGTCGGACATTGACTGGATCTTTATTGTCAAACATTGACTGGGTCTTTATTGTAAACATTGACTGGATCTTTATTGTCAAACATTGACTGGATCTTTATTGTCCAACATTGACTGGGTCTATGTCCAACATTGACTGGGTCTATGTCCAACATTGACTGTGTCTTTATTATTGTCCAACATTGACTGTGTCTTTTTTGTCCAGTATTGACTGTGTCTTTATTATTGTCCAACATTGACTGGGTCTTTATTGTCCAACATTGACTGGGTCTTTATTGTCCAACATTGACTGGGTCTTTATTGTCCAACATTGACTGGGTCTTTATTGTCCAACATTGACAGGGTCTTTATTGTCCAACATTGACTGGGTCTTTATTGTCCAACATTGACTGGGTCTTTATTGTCCAACATTGACTGGGTCTTTATTGTCCAACATTGACTGGGTCTTTATTGTCCAACATTGACTGGGTCTTTATTGTCCAACATTGACTGGGTCTTTATTGTCCAACATTGACTGGGTCTTTATTGTCCAATTTTCACTTTTCAGGTGGACAAACTGGTTTACACAATGGTGTGGAGAGAAATTACCTTAATCTCAAGGTCATGATGCTGGCTGCTGTATTTCTGGGTTATGTCAGATTCTTCTAGAGCTGATCCCTTGACCTGGATCCCAATGTTGTAAACTGTTGTTACAATGATATGCATTTAAAAAAATGTGTTTTAAAATTAATTTTTGCAGAATATATTTTATAGATTGCATAATCAAACTTTTAATGAGAATATTTTTATTGATTTTTTAATGCTTGTAAATAATTGTTGTAAATATCGCAGTGTTGCGTTCATATCTAATTCTCAAAACTCTGTTAATATTTGATTGTAAAGTCGAACAATATATAGTGCAGCATTGTGTATAATATAACATGTTTTCATTCATTTTAAAAATTTTCTTTTAATCATTGCAGAATTTTTTTCTTTGTAACATTTTTCATAACCAAATACACATTGTTTCTTACTGTTGCCTTGGTTTTAACCCCCAATTTTATAACATTTTATCATGAACGTCATGCTGAATAAATTTGTTATAGAAATTTTTTGTTTCTTATTGACTTGAAAGAATGGGACGTGGTCAACATTATGTTGTATGTAGTTCAAGCAACAGATGTAATGTAACTGAAGTTGTAACAAGATGATTGTACACAAAATAGATTGTTTACAGTACCCACCACACTAGTTTGAATCCTTGACGTGAGTTGGTAGGACGTCCTTGAGTCTACCCAGCTCTTATAAGTACCTGCCTCATGTTAGGTAACATTTAGGCAGCTTGCCACAATATTCAAAACATTGTAACTGTATATGCCTAGGTCATTGAAACTGATGAACTCTACTTCAGCTGCTCTACTCAGGGAAGCTAAATGTGCAGTGCTGGTAATAAAATCAAGGAGACAAAAAATGTGGAATAAGATTTAAAAGTTGTGTGTGGTGAATTAATGTATACTATGGATAAGTTTCGATGCACAAACAAAAACTCATTAAAACATTCCGCTTTGACACTTATGTTAAAATAACTTACTTTAAATACCCATAACTCTGTACATTGTAACTAATATATGGGTTGTCTATCTTACATTTACAAGTTGAAGTGAGTTCTGTGAGAATCTATCAAAATAAATGTATCCTATGTTTCCTTTATTCAGTGGCTGCGCCTACCCCTCCCCCTCCCTATCAACCCTTCCCCCCCCCCCCCACAATCAACACGCACAATGCAAGTGGCAATTTACCCATACATTTTTTAACCACCGAGAACCAGCCCCGACATTTGCAATCAAGTGATTATGGAGCCGTAGCCTACAGATAAACCATTGGTGTGTACAGCTCCAGCAATCAGTGTTTCTTCCAGGCATGTCTTCAAAGAAAGTCTACCAGCCCACCCACCCCCCCCCCCCCAACGAAATTGAATTTACATAGAATAAATACCCCCCCCCCCCCCCCCCCGAAAATATCGGGTGCCTCCACGGAGAAAAATGTCTGGAAGAAACCCTGCCAGCAATGAGCTCCATGTCGTTTGGTGTGTTGTGTTGTGTGTTGTTTTCTTCGTCTTTGAATCAACTCGTATTTGTGTTCGCACCTCAAGGCTGAACTTGTAACCTAAGACTTTTTTTTATTTTTAGACTTTTGAAAACAAGATTTATACATCGCTATTTGTTGAATAAAGTTAGATTTTTAATTCCTATTGAGTCGTGACTACCATGTAAACAATAAACTGTTTGTTTGTCTCTTGTGCCCCGCTGTAGCCACCATTGTGCTCTTTGAATTAGGTGGTTTTTTTTTTTTACTCGGCAGAGATTTGTAGTGTCGATTTGGGAATTCCCGATACCAACAACTGAATGGGAAATTCCTGACACATATAACATATTCAAATTGAATGAAAATAGTGCACAGAGCATTTTATGACTAATGTATGCCATTTGACCTATCATAAACCAATCTGACAAAATAACATTTCCTCGAGACCCCACTCTTACAACCCCCCTGCCCCTATACACAAACACATAATGTGCACTATAGTGTTAAAGGTGATTTTGGTACTATTCCGTTGGATTGGTACCAGCTGTTTATTTGAAAGTTCATCATAATATTAAATCCTAATATATAAATCCCCACGTTCGCACATCTCTCTCTCTCTCTCTTTCTCTGTCCGCAAAAAATTTTCGCCGGACATCACGTCAGAATCGGCAGCGATATATCGAGAACTTTTTACGGACTTTTGTTGAAAAAAATATGTTAGATGTTTTAAATGTATAACCACAAAATTATTTAAAGAAGAAAAATAAAAAATAAAGGCGTATTCGAATATAGAGAAACAGTATTATTTATGCAACCGGAAAAGCATTAATATATGTGAAAAAGAACGCATAAAACTGTGACGTCACTATTGCTTATACATTAACTAATGACGTCATCTGCCGTGTTTAGAATGAAAAGAAATGAACTATTTCATTCAAATTTGATTTAGATCTACGTACACTATGAAATGTATACAATACAATTTTTCCGGCCTAAACTCATAAAATTTATTTTATGTATTTGGATTCTAGATCTAGAGATTCTAGATCTAGACTAAATCTAAATCTAAATCTACGCAATAACTAGATCTAGACGTAGACGCTAAGATCTAGATTTAGACTCTAACTTCTCTAAAATCAATTCCAAAAATAAATTTCTATATTAGGACTAAACTATTTCAAGACTTATTTATTTTATACAAAATCTTTGTTATGAACTGGCTAATTTAGGATAAAAAATTAATTTGAAAGAATAGGCATATTCGCGTAAGTTAAGATTTTAAAATACGTGTTTCATTCTCCGTATTTTATAAGGTGCCTAAATAGCGGAGATGTTAGTGTACATTAAACCACGCAGGTGGTGCCGGTTCGAGACACAGCAAGTCAGCTTGGTTAATGTATTCTTTTTTTATTTTATTATGCTCGGGCTAAACTTAAAAAAAAATTCTTTTAGGAATCTAGCTCTAGATCTAGATTGTCGGGTGTCCGATAGGGCACTTCCCGGCGCCGCAGGCGCTTCAAATTTGGCATGATCTTGCCTTGGTGCGACAGAACACGGGGGCCGGTTGGCCGAAAAGTCTACGATGTGGGGGTCAAAACTGACCTCGACTGACCGGTACCTTATATGAGCTATAAATCGAAAAAAAATGTCCTCGGAGGAACCTCTTCATAACTCTTGAGGTCGTAGACCGACCTTCGGGCGAATTAATTAAGCATTCAAATTCTCAATGTTTTCGAAAGCCTAAGCGAAGCTGGGCAGCATGCCTAGTATAAATATAAACGTGTTCGGGTTTGGTTATATTGTAAGGCATTTTTACCAGCTCAGGCAAAATTAACACCTACCCTAACAACCAAGATGACCAACACCTACCCTAACAACAAGATGACCAACACCCACCCTAACAACCAAAATGACCAACACCTACCCTAACAACCAAGATGGCCAACACCTACCCTAACAACCAAGATGACCAACACCTACCCTAACAACCAAAATGACCAACACCTACCCTAACAACAAGATGACCAACACCTACCCTAACAACCAAGATGGCCAACACCTACCCTAACAACCAAGATGACCAACACCTACCCTAACAACCAAGATGACCAACACCTACCCTAACAACCAAGATGACCAACACCTACCCTAACAACCAAGATGACCAACACCTACCCTAACAATCAAGATGACCAACACCTATCCTAACAACCAAAATGACCAACACCTACCCTAACAACAAGATGACCAACACCTACCCTAACAACCAAGATGACCAACACCTACCCTAACAAACAAAATGACCAACACCTACCCTAACAACCAAGATGGCCAACACCTACCCTAACAACCAAGATGACCAACACCTACCCTAACAACCAAGATGACCAACACCTACCCTAACAACCAAAATGACCAACACCTACCCTAACAACAAGATGACCAACACCTACCCTAACAACCAAGATGGCCAACACCTACCCTAACAACCAAGATGACCAACACCTACCCTAACTACCAAGATGACCAACACCTACCCTAACAACCAAGATGACCAACACCTACCCTAACAACCAAGATGACCAACACCTACCCTAACAACCAAGATGACCAACACCTATCCTAACAACCAAAATGACCAACACCTACCCTAACAACAAGATGACCAACACCTACCTTAACAACCAAGATGACCAACACCTACCCTAACAAACAAAATGACCAACACCTACCCTAACAACCAAGATGGCCAACACCTACCCTAACAACCAAGATGACCAACACCTACCCTAACAACCAAGATGACCAATACCTAAACAACCAAGATGACCAACACCTACCCTAACAACCAAGATGACCAACACCTACCCTAACAACCAAGATGACCAACACCTACCCTAACAACCAAGATGACCAACACCTACCCTAACAACCAAGATGACCAACACCTACCCTAACAACCAAGATGACCAACACCTACCCTAACACCAAGTTGACCAACACCTACCCTAACAACCAAGATGACCAACACCTACCCTAACAAACATAGTCTCATACCCCTCCACGTCAACCAAGACTAACAACGAAAACACTACTAACACTCCTTAAATTAATGCTATCAGTATTTTACCATCTAAAATCTTATTGTATTAACAAGTATTTCCCCTAATTAAGAGTTGAACTTTAATTTTTAACACCCGCGGTATTGAAATTTCACAATCACCCAATCCTCCCTTTTTCCTCCCTCAATCTCCTAACACCCCCCCCCCCCCCCCCCCATCCCCCCCAAAAAAAATATCCACTCGACTAACCGTCAAAACTATTTCTCCTAAACAGGAAGAAAATTTCGTTCTCAGTAATGTTTTTACAGCAAGAAATACATTTCTCGTATTGCAACAGATAATTTTTTTCTCTCTATACGCATGTTAGTTTGAAAACTCCTGTTCAATAAATGGTAGAGATGTGTATAGCTGAAGTTCCATTGAAGGATGTTTGAAATTCGACAATCTGCCTCTGGTCGTGGTTCAATACGGTCATCTCTCCTCTGATTATATCAAACGCTGTCAACGTTTTTGTTGGCTATCTACTACTCAGTATTATTGATTTGATTATAGAACATCATCAGCATGAAGTTTTCAATAATGGGTTGTATCCTTCTATGTGTCGCTTTAAAAACAGGTAGGATTTTTTTTTTTAAATATAAGCATCTTGTGTTATTTGATCAGAACAATAAAGATAGCACGTCGTTTATTTTAGAAAAGATGAGAAACTGATTAGTTTATTACAAAAATAGTTAATGTTGTTGTAGGTTGAAATGTATGATTTCGTTAGGTAGTAAACAAAATATTCTTAAAAAAACTGTAGGATAAACTACACCCCGCAATGTTGCAGGGTGTAAAAATATAAAGTTTGTGGATTTGTATTTTATTTCCTCGGCGTCGTGGGCTTTTATATATATACTAGGCATGCTGCCCAGCTTCGCTTAGGCTTTCGAAAACATTGAGAATTTTAATGCTTAATTAATTCGCCCGAGGGTCGGTCTACGACCTCAAGAGTTATGAAGAGGTTCCTCCGTGGACATTTTTTTTCGATTTATAGCTCATATAAGGTACCGGTCAGTCGAGGTCAGTTTTGACCCCTTCATCGTAGACTTTTCGGCCAACCGGCTCCCGTGTTCTGTCGCCCCAAGGCAAGATCCTGCCAAATTTGAAGCGCCTGCGGCGCCGGGAAGTGCCTTATCGGACACCCGACAATCTAGATCTAGATCTAGAATCCTAATTGCATTTTTTTTAAAGTTTAGTCAGAGCAAAATTAAAAAAAAATACATTAACCAAGTTGACTTGGTGGGTCATGAACCCGCACCACCTGCGTGGTTTATAGTACACTAACATATCCGCTATTTAGGCACCTTATAAAATACAGAGAATGAAAGACGTATTTTAAAATCTTAACTTACGCGAATATGCCTATTCTTTCAAATTAATTTTTTTATCCCAAATTAGCCAGTTCCAAACAAAGATTTTGTATAAATAAATGTTATGAGTTTAGGCCGGAAAAATTGTATTGTATACATTTCATAGTGTACGTAGATCTAAATCAAATTTGAATGAAATAGTTCATTTCTTTTTTTTTCTAAACACGGCAGATGACGTCATTAGTAAGCAATAGTGTCGTCACAGTTTTATGCGTTCTTTTACACATCTATTAATGCTTTTCCGGTTGCATAAATAATACTGTTTCTCTACATTGGAATACGCCTTTATTTTATATTTTTCTTCTTTAAATAAAATTGTGGTTATACATTTAAAACATCTAACATATTATTTTCAACAAAAGTCCGTATAAAGTTCTCCATATATCGCTGCCGTTTCTGACGTGATGTCCGGCGAAAATTTTTTGCGGACAGAGAAAGAGAGAGAGAGAGAGAGAAGAGCGCACATGGCCTTTTATAAATTAGGATATATATATATGTGTGTGTGTGTTTGTGTGTGTGCGCGCTTGTGAATATACATACCGCTTATTAGTGTACAAACCACGCCTTCAACAGCTTACATAACCATTACTTTGGATACTACAGGTGACATTACAGGTAACACTGACGTCAGTCCTAGCACTCCAAGCACCAACTCGACAGAGAACAGCACTGTCAGCTCTACTGTAAATGATTACAGTGCTGTCAACTATACTGTAAATGATAACAGTACTGTCAACTCTACTGTAAATGATAACATCACTGACAGCTCTACTGTAAATTATAACAGTACAGACAGCTCTAATATAAACGACACCAGTTCTACAAGCTCCATTGCAAATGTCAATGACACAACAACCACAGATGAATCGACAAATGTTGCACCTACTGATGAATACAACATCACTGAGTATACCACAGTAACCACATATGACACGACAAATGATCCCTCTTGCTACATACAGAACAGCACTGTGCCAACTGGAATAACTCTCTGGTTTCCTGAGATTGAAGACCTCAATGGCACTCTCGTAGCTAGTTTTAATTGCACAGGTAAGCATGGAGGCATTACAAGAACGACCGTAAGATTCCATAAAAAAACTACATGTAAACTTATGAACTAAAACGTGACGTGTTTTTTTTTTCAACAAAATGTATGGCTTTTGATATTTCAATGGAACCATATAACAGAAAACATTTGTTGTAATGCTATAGTACAATCTAAATGTAAGTCTTGGGATATTTTAGTAGAATAATTGAAATGTTAGTCTTGGGGTATTTCAATAGAACAATCTAAATGTTAATCTTGGGGTATTTCAATAGAACTATCTAAATGTTAGTCTTGTGGTATTTCAATAGAACCATCTAAATGTTAGTCTTGTGGTATTTCAATAGAACCATCTAAATGTTAGTCTTGTGGTATTTCAATAGAACCATCTAAATGTTAATCTTGGGGTATTTCAATAGAACCATCTAAATGTTAGTCTTGTGGTATTTCAATAGAACCATCTAAATGTTAGTCTTGTGGTTGGTATTTCAATAGAACCATCTAAATGTTAATCTTGGGGTATTTCAATAGAACCATCTAAATGTTAGTCTTGTGGTATTTCAATAGAACCATCTAAATGTTAGTCTTGTGGTTGGTATTTCAATAGAACCATCTAAATGTTAATCTTGGGGTATTTCAATAGAACCATCTAAATGTTAGTCTTGTGGTATTTCAATAGAACCATCTAAATGTTAATCTTGGGGTATTTCAATAGAACCATCTAAATGTTAGTCTTGTGGTATTTCAATAGAACCATCTAAATGTTAGTCTTGTGGTTGGTATTTCAATAGAACCATCTAAATGTTAATCTTGGGGTATTTCAAGATAAATTTTGAGTCGACAGATCTCTTTTGTGCTTCACATTATGAGAACAACGTAGTCCCGTGGCTCAACAATTTGGAGATAGAGGGCGTTTACTTTTTACCAGACCAAGGGACACTACTAGCGACGCCTCTACGTACATGTTAAATAAACGTTGTATAGGCTAACTATCCTTAAAGCCTTACACCACTGCACTTACACAGAAAGTGTATGCCAATTGTTATTTCATATACGATAACCCACACTATAGATTAAACTTTAACTACCGTATCGAAAGATATGCACAGAAACACACAACGCAACAAATCAACTAGTATCAAAATATAACAGTACATTTTCTTATCTAAACCATATGTATATGTCATTGTAATCTTTATTACAGAAGGGGGCTGTATCGTTAAGAAAAACTTGAGCCTCAACTCAACATTCGTAGCGGTTAAAAAACAGCCGTGGTCAACGAATACGCCTTGTAAGTTTCCTTTTTTTTTTTTTTTTTGACAAATAAAGTTAGTAGAGTGCAATGGGGGAGATGAGGGGGCGCTTAGCCCAGGTAGTACGGAACTAACCCTAACCCTAACCCAGGTAGTACAGAAGATATTTATAACAGGGAAAACACGTTGGAGAACCCGACAAGGATATTATATAAATTATAACCTTACTGGCACACTTCTTTGTAGAACTGACTATGGTCAAAGCCCAACTTGCGGCAAATACGCGTTGATTTCAGAATTTTATCGTAACATAATAAACTACTAGCGCACCCGTCGCTCTTCGCTGCGGTCTCAGAAAGGCTAACGCATGGTTTTAAGTGGTTCTCGGTTTACGTTAGGGAGCTACCGATCGTGTATTTTTAGATGGGTGACCTGGTTTTCTAAAACGAAGTAATTTAAATGTAAACAAAGCGGGCGCTATATTTGTTAGATCATATTTGTCGGGTCACGGTTTTTCTACACTACCGCCCAGACGCCCCATGGCGTGCTGTAAGACGCCCCATTGCGTGCATTAAGAAAGCCTTGAGTGTTTGTTAAACTTCCTCCGTAATAGTGGGGTATAACACCTTCGGTGACCGCCAAGGTGTTATATCGTACCCGGGAGCTCTCCTCTTTCGATGTAGTCAACGTGTATAGTATATTGTGTTATAGTATATGGCACTCAATAAAACGAACGTAGGCGCCATAGTTCTAACGGGGAGGCCGGGGTGCACCGGGTCACCCGCCTGCCGGTGCGCCGGCTGATGCGCTTGGTGCAGTTTGACCGTTGATTCAAGTAGTAGGCCTACCCCTTAACCCATGTGCAGCAAAGCCGATCAAAAGATCCAGGTGCCAAGGAAATTTGGGAACTTTACAGTCACCTATCTAACATTTCTAAACTTTTTTTCGCAGAAGAATTCCCAGACGTATTCTAATTAACTTCCCAAAGTTTCATGACAATTGGATCAAAGTGTAGTCATGCACAAAGAAAAAATACCTTACGCAGACAAACACAATTTCCATTATAATTTATATATATATATATATATATATAAATATATATATACATATATATATACATACATACATACATATATATATATATATATATATATATAAATGAAAGGATGTGTCACACAAAATGTGTGATATAAAAACAAGTCTTGTTTCTAAACATCACATTTCTGTCACAATACATTCTGGCCATCACAATAAAATCTAGCTGTCACAATACTCAAGGTATGAAATACATTCTACCTATCACAATACAATCTAGCTAATACGATATCTTCTAGCAGTCACAATAAAATCTAGCTATGTAAAATATTCTAACCATTACATTTGCAACAGAAAAAAAAATCCTTTTTGGGTCGTTTATAAATGACGTCACACTCAGAGGGGAGAGGGGGGGGGGGCATAATTTTGTGACGGTGTGTGATGAGGGGGAGGGCGAGGGGTGGGTTCAGATGATGTGATGTCACACTTTTGCATTATAAAAAAGCAATGTTAGAAAACGTATTTTAACCGTTATTTCGCGTTTTAGACAACTTTTTGTATATATTGTAAAAGAGATTGATTAAAATCCTCTTTGTTGACTGAGTTCAGACAAGATTTTGGAAAAATATCGATGTTTTAAGAAAAACTCTACTGCAATTTTGAGGGTGGTGGGGGGGGGGGGGTTGTAGGCTGAGGTGTGACGTCATTTAAGGGGGTGGGGGTCTGGCTTTTGTAACGATGTGTGACGGAGGGGAGGGGGGAAGGTAAAACACGTCCAAAAAAGCGTGATGTTATTTATGGATGACCCTTTTGGAATAAATAGAAAGTCATCAGGGGCAGTGTACAATTTCACAGAACACTATTATAGATATGTATAAGACAGCTCTAGAATTTCTTCTTTTAAATGGATAAGACCACATTTATATTATTCATGTTAATAAAGGGTTTTCCTAGAATAGAGAAAGATTTTATTTAAACTTCCCGTATTGATCACCTACCTCATGGTTTCTCGGATCGTTTCCGGTTTCACATTTGAATAAATCTACTTCCTGTCTTATTCACAAAAAGCCCCCTGATTTTTAATGCGTGTTATTTAATTTACAATGTATGTTTGTGTTTTTTTGTTTGTGTGTGTGTAAGTTTGTCTGAGAAAGATAATGTTACTCAATTTTAACCCACTTCTAATGCGCCGATTTCGATATAACTTTCCAGATAGGATGTTAGATTCCCATTTAAATTTAATTAACGTTAAACGCAATATTAAAAGGGAGATAAAAAGATTGGATAAACAAAATTAGTTAGACTTGAAATATCTTACTCATTTTAACGACCAATGCTTTAATTGAGGAAAACATGAGAGTTATATATTTTTATATTTTTCCGTGTACTCAAAAACGTGTTAATAGAAAGGTTTTTATATTTGTTATTGATAGACGTGGAAAGATTATCTATGGTATCGTATGAAAACCAAATCAAAGTTTATTTTCACCGACCAAAGTCAACAACGTTCCTGTTTATTATAGAGTGTAAAAAATTTTTTTTTAATTAATCACATGACATGATCACATGACAAATGTAGAGGATATGATTGGTCGAAAGTTTTGTAACATGACGAAACCATGAACTACTTCTCCGTTGGAGCCCACGCAAAATACCCCCCCCCCCCCCTCTAACGTTCTAGCCACGCTGTGTTTATACAATGGTGTCATGCATGAATGATTTTCCGCTCGTTGCACCAATCAACCCCTCCCCCTCGACATAAAGGTTGCGAAACAACGAATTGCTTTAAAAAAATTATTTTAATAGCAGCACAATGCTGCATTTTATTACCACACACCCTCCCCCCAGTCAAGATCCTCACCACCCACTGCTTGAATCGGCACTGTGTTTATAATTTTATAAATGAAGCAGCGCACTGAGTACCGTAGTCTGTTGCCATTTACCAGACATAGACTAGACTTAGACTACCAGATTAGACTACCAGATTAGACTCCCACTTTAGACTACATGATTAGAGTACCATATTAAACTACCAGATTAGATTACAACCATATACTACCAGATTATACTACCAGATTAGATTACCAGATTAGACTACCAGATTAGACTACCAGATTAGACTACCAGATTAGACTACCAGGTTAGACTACCACATTACACTGCCACCTTAGGCTAAACGTATCAGCAACAGTTGGGGGTGGACTAATCGGGTGAGGACCTATTAATGTCTATGTAGGAAAATTGTTAAGATTGAAGAATTGGTAGATGGAAAGTTAACGGAAACCATTAAATTTAAAACTTGAGGCACAGTCATTTAAATGTTAACATACTAGATCTACGAGTTTTAATTAAAAGTATGAATATGGCTTCGAAAAACCTTCATTCTCTTTATTTAGAATGTGACTATTGTAAAACATACAAGATGATCAATTACCGAAACAAAAAACGGAATTTCTCAACATACAAGATGACTAACTTCCGAAACAAAGAACCAAGTAACTGAACTAAAACCCTTTAAGTGGGACTACTCTTTTTCAGATGCGGGTGTACTTGGACCTAAAAATATAACGTGATTTTGAGGTCAGCGCTAAGTTAAACCCTGACCCCATTATATACTGATGGTACCTGGTCGGGGAAAGTAATCTAGTACCCGAATTAGCAACTAAAAATATATTTAAATTAAGCACCTGTGTATATAAATACAAACACACATGCACACACACACACACACACACACACATATATATATATATATATATATATATATATATATATATATATATATATATATATATATATATATATATATATATATATATATATGTAAAATATATATGATCACCAAGAACGTAAAGTCGTAAACTTTAAGTAACCGTTTTGTTTTAACAGGCGCAGAAAACATCAAGACCATTCTAAAACAGACAGAAATTTCGGAGTTTCAAAATGGCGACACAGTTATGTTCTACTGCGCTGGCGGTACTATACGCCGGCCCTCCGGTTGGAGCTTGACTCTAAGCTCTGAGCTCAATCTGACCTGTGATGACATGGGATCATGGTGGTGTGAGCTTGAAAACTCAACTGACGTGTTGTCTCTCAACATAAGCGTCCGGTGTAAGTTAGTGAGAAAAGTATAGGCGGTAGAGTGTGGGGTAGTGTTGGGTGGGCATAGTGTGGTTCACATAGAGTGGCATATACATACTTATACATTTATATGCATATATATATATATATATATATATATATATATATATATAGTCACGCATGATGTTTTGATACACAAAACATTTAATGTGTATCCAAAGGTCCTATACAACTGACGTCAGCACTAAATGAACCAACCATCCCCGTGAGTACCTATCTCCTGTATAACATACCTGTCGTCGGTTACCCCCTACACGCCACGTTTCACTTACTGATGAGTGAGGTCACCTGCGGCACCCGCACTGACGTCACTGTCGCTGATGACGTGTACAACGTCTCGCTGCAAACAACCGGAGATCCCCGGTCAGGAAATGTTACTCTCCGTATCCCTGTTATAAAAGATGAGTATTTGACCAACTGGACACTGCTCATCAACAACAGCGTGGGCAAGCCATTGGTCAGTCGTTTCAAACTGGTCTCAGAAACAGGTAAAAGCTCGATTATTCTCGTACAAAATTATAGAGAGTTTAGAACAATATATTATTTTGTTGAGTCAAAACGTTGACATAATATCTAACGGGGGTTTTAAATGCACACGAAGACATTAGTCGAAACCTCTTGCAAACAAATGTGAATCTTAACCTCTTACCACAGAGGTACCCTGGGGGCCTAATGACCCCCCCCCCCCCTTTCACCCACCCCCGAGAGACGGCTCATTGAAACACGGTTTATCAATAACATTTTTTAAAAAGACATCGATGTTAAACTAGCGTAAATGCACATGGGGTCTACAACTAAGACTAAAACTACTAACTCCAGACTGGTTAATCTCTAACCCTTGTCAGGATTTACCCACGACGAAAAAAGAAAACAAAAACAATTTTGAATGTAATGGGTTTTTCATTTCAATATCTGCTCTTTCGCCAGGGGCAGAGCACTCCGTCAGCTGTGATGACCAACCTGACATCTCCTCCATCATCATCATCGCAGTCCCCACAGCTCTGGCCATCTTTATCGTCATCGTTCTTATCGTCGTCATCGTCGTCGTGGTGAAAAGAAAAAAACAGACCAGACGAGCCAATGAAATAAGGGCACGTCGTTTCGACATTGTGGAGCCCGAGCAGAAGTCCCGGTCACGTGACGCAGAGAGCGTGAACTTTGACCGACAGGTGTCGCTGACGTCATTCACAGGTTCCTGTCACAGTATCCCGGCAGACGACAATTTCTCACTGGATTCTCTCTCGGGGAGAAATGGACTGCACGACATTGATTCACAAGGTGATAAGCAGCTAAGTCCAGTTAACTCTGGCAAGTTTGCGTTTCATCAAAATAATCACGGTTAGCTCCCTTAGTTTAATTTTTTTTTTTTAAATACCTATTTGCTACATTTTGAGCATGCAACAACATTTGTTAACTCTGATAATTATGTTTTATCTCAGAATAACTACGGTTATTTTCCTTACATTAATAGAAAATAAGAAAATCTTTAAATAGTTTGTAGTAATTGCATAAGAGCATGTAACTAGGTCAGGTTAACTCTGGCAAGTTTTTTTTTATCCGAATAACAACAGTTAGTTCCCATATTTTTTTTTTAAATGAAGTGTTTTTTTAAAAAGAGTGTCTATGTGTCTGTCTGTGAACACGATAACTTTGAGTACCGCTGCAGTTAGGTTTATGATATTTCATATATTAGTATTGTATCAAATTTGTAGTTCAGTATCAACTTTTTAGCGATTTCCGTTAACCGGAAATGGAACTTATTGTACTTTCGGATTTTCAAAAGCCTATAACTGTACTGTTTCTGTTAGGTAGCCTACTGTACGCTATTTCCAATTTCTTTTAAAAAATGCATCTGAATTAATTTTTAACTTGATTCCTCTGTCTATCGTTCGCCACGGTTGGAAAATTCCGAATAAAATTGCGAACATTTCTACCGGACCGAGTTGTTTTAAACTTTTCAAGACTGGAAGATGTGTACTCTGACATAAAATGTTACCTAAATAGATGATTAATTAACTCTTTGAAAATTTGTTAAGTTTTTCTTTATAAAATACTAGTTTTTCTTTATAAAATACTAATGTTCTGCACTATTATACACACGCTATTTGCTGTTCATTTGGTGCGCAATTCCTATTTCTACGAGATTCTATGCTATTTTTTTTTAAATTTTGTTTTTAAAAATTGATTAAAAATTATGTCTATATTCAGAGTTGCCATTCTATGTAGCTGTGTAATTCAGGGCTACTAGAATATGAGTGTGTGTGTGTGTGTATGGGCTTGCTACTTGTGACTTGTGTTGATGTATCTGTGTGGGTTTATCTGTGTGGGTTTATCTGTGTGGGTTTATCTGTGTGGGTTTATCTGTGTGGGTATATCTGTGTGTACAAGTCTGTTTGTGTATGTGTGTTCTATTTCTTCGTGTAAGTGTGTTTGTATGTATATGGTTGTGTACGGAAGTTTAATGTGTGTATTTTCCTTTGTTTTCGCCTATAATCAAACCTTCCCCCTCCTCCTCCACACACACACACACACACACACACACACACACACGCATACACACACCATCTCTCTAGCTGACCACGGTCAAGTGACTATCGCCCCTTCTGCCGAGTCGACACCGCCAGTTCCAGAAAAGAAAAAAAGATCACGGAAACATGGAATTTCACACGTCGATGACGTCAATCCGTACAATTTCCCCAGAAATTCCAGTAAGTTTGATTTTTATATACAAAAACAGAAAACTTGTTTGACATTGGTGTGTATGTATTGTAGGTAGTCATTTAGCGGGCGGTTTTGGTATATATCTATAGGTATGTCTACAGGTGTAGAGACAGTTGAGTCCTTACGATTGTTATAATTACCGCAGTGATTAGACTTACTTATCCTATACAGTCAGTGTAGTCATGGTTACACAATCAAACTTTTTGGCTTGATAAGTACCTACAATTATATCATATACTCAGTACCTCGATAAGTACCCACGGTTATATACTACACACAGTACCTTGATACGTAGGTCTACCCACGGTTATATACTACACTCAGTACCTTGATAAGTAAAGTTTCCCTTTCAAACCTGACGGTCTATGTGGTAAGTGAAGTAGAGTTCACTTGTTTCTGTGACCTCGGCATATGAAGAGATAGTGTAGTCAGCACTATGCCCAGCCGCCTTTACTTTCCCTAACGTGAGTTAGGTACCCATCAGAGTTGGGTGGACTCAGGAGTACAGGGGGACGGAGCTGTCTAGCGGTAGAGAACTGGACTGCTAACCCGTAAGTCTCGAGTTTGAATCAGTAGACCGTCCCTGAGTACACCCAACCTTGATAAGTACCCACGGTTTTATACTACACACAGTACCTTGATACGTAGGTCTACCCACGGTTATATTATACACTCAGTACCTTGATTAGTACCTACGGTTATATTAAGCACGATAATTCTCATAGACTTAACACAACTACTCACAATAAAAAATCAATAGTACATTTCATTATTTCCCCTTTGATGTAAACATAACGTATATGTTTCTTTCAGATGCAGTTCGCATTCAAGGCAGTCAGGAGGCATTTGCAGTAGTTTGAACTTTAGTATCCAACAAGTTTGTAAAACAAATTTCAATCAGTCTCTTTCAAGTGTAGTTCTAGGGTTGGAGGATTTAAGTAGCCGACAGGAAGACAATATATTAGAACTACAGATAAGTTTAAAGAAACATAAAATGCATAAATTAAGGACTATGTGATATTACTTGACTTGTGTTTGATCTCAATTAATTAATTCTTAATTATTTTTTTGGAATATTATCCATCTAGAATTAAACTGTCATACGTATATCCTAAGTCTTCATTTAAAAATATCTTTCTATAATTTGTAAATAAAAAATTTATAAAATCTTTTTTTAAATAAATTGATTATAAAATACATCACAAGAATTATTAACAATAATTTCTATAATAACATTTTAAATAGTTTTTTATTTGTTTTGTTTTTGCTTTTCCTGTTACGATTTATGTTACTATTTTTTATAAGTGGTTTGTATAAATATTACTCGTTATTCTCGATGCATAAACTAAGAATTGTATGAGATGGTTGAATGACCATCGAACCCAAAAGGTGGTGTGTCCAGTTTGAGCACTTCCAGTGCTGATATTGTGTAGGTGATAGGGAGTTACCAGAAGAGTGTTAGGTGATGTTTACAAGTAGAGTGGTAGGTGATGTTTACAAGTAGAGTGGTAGGTGATGTTTACAAGTAGAGTGGTAGGTGATGTTTACAAGTAGAGTGGTAGGTGATGTTTACAAGTAGAGTGGTAGGTGATGTTTACAAGTAGAGTGGTAGGTGATGTTTACAAGTAGAGTGGTAGGTGATGTTTACAAGTAGAGTGGTGGGTGATGTTTACAAGTAGAGTGGTAGGTGATGTTTACAAGTAGAGTGGTAGGTGATGTTTACAAGTAGAGTGGTAGGTGATGTTTACAAGTAGAGTGGTAGGTGATGTTTACAAGTAGAGTGGTGGGTGATGTTTACAAGTAGAGTGGTAGGTGATGTTTACAAGTAGAGTGGTAGGTGATGTTTACAAGTAGAGTGGTAGGTGATGGTTACACATCTTTTAGTGATACTTTTCTCACAACATTTGGCTGTAAGTGAATCTACTTTTTAAAGTCGAATTAAGATTTTAAGAGGATAAATGATGATAATACTATACTGCCTTACATCCTCAATATAATCTGAAGGGATTAAGTCTCGGGAAGAAAAACCTTGTAAGTGTATTTATAAATAAAAATAGATTTGAAATGTTTTTTATTTTATATTTATATTTTATTCATTTATTTATTTATTTTTTTGGGGAGGGATGTTTGCTTTTCTAGCAAATAACGTCTCTTACTTCATTATTTAAAATACCCAAAAAAAAATTAAATTATTACATTAATTTATTATCACACTTTGGTCGCATAGTTTGAAGTTATCTTTCTTTGGCAAAGCTCTTGGCTAAAGGACGACAACTGTACTAATTTTAGACGAGTTGTCATAACTTAATTTCCAATTAAAGCTTGACTATTATTTTTTTTTTTTACCTTTTAAAAAACACAGTTATATCTACAACGGTTCTTATAAATACATGCGTTTTTCCACTAACAAAAATTTAATAAAATGGGACAACAAATTTCTCCAATAAAACAACCCAAATGGTATGGACATGTTACACAGGCATCTCAATTGCCTGTCTATAACTGTAATGTGGGACCCTGTGCCAGGTGAGAGAAGGCGAGGAAAGCTAAGACAAAAATTGAGCTTAGGACAAGTATGAATGGACTGGACTGCCCGTTGTAGAATTACTTAAAGCAGAAGATTGAAGATTGGGGGAAAAAATATGATAAAAGAAGCTGCGGTGCCCTAAGCTCCTAAAGACGATTGGTGTTTTTTTTTTTTTATATTTGACTTGTATAATAATTGAAGTATGTATAAGGATTTAACGAAATTAGTTCATTTTAAGTCTCGTTGTATGTAAAAACGTCGTTACAAGTTACTAAACATATACACTTCCAATATTTAATTAAGCGTTTAAATTTACACTGTCCTATTGGAATAGCAATATCCCAAACAATCTATTTTCACCTTATCTGTTTTATGTCTCTTCCACGTCAATCAGAACTATACATATCTATGCTTCTTGTATAACGAAACGAAACCTACACCAATTTCATGTGACATACCGATTTAGAAAGTCCACACGATTCCTAAAACACCCACATTCAAGTAAGGACGAATTATTTCCTTATCGAGTAGCCATTAATTTAGTCTTGACTTTTAAAGATTTGATAGCTGTAGTTTCTTGTGACATGTGTTTTATCTGTGATTACCCGAAGGTTATTGGCATGTTGATAGACTCTGATTGATAATCAATACACACAGGACAGATCAATATGAAAGTTTGATGGGATTTACCGAGATTTAAAAGCAGTCTTTTTAAATGATGACGTCACACAACCAGGGTAGCTTTGAAATAACTGGTTGATTTTTTCGTAAACTACTTCCAATCATTGATTGGCAAAGACAGTTTTCTGCCGTAGTTAATGGGGTGATCAGGGGCGTAGCGATGGAGGGCAGGGGAGGACATACGTCCCCGGGCGCCGACCTTAAGGGGTGTCAAAATGGGTTGGAAAAAGTAATCGAAAGTTTGAAGGGGGGTGGAAATGGAAAGTTTGAGGGGGTGCAAATCGAAAGTTTGAGGGGGGGGGTGCAAATCGAAAGTTTGTCCCCGGGCGCGGGAAGGGTCGCTACGCCTCTGGGGGTGGGTATTGTCATACTCAAACACACGCTCAAGGCCTAAGCCTAACAGTTTTTTTTTTACTGTTTTCTGGTCCGGTTGTGGGTTTGTTGTCAAATCTTCGAATTCATTTTAGACCAATTCTTATATAACAAAGATTTAAGAATTTTATCATCATCATCTTTTTCTTCATCGTCATCACCCTCGTCATTTCTTGTGGAGAATATGAACACAAGGGTGAGTCGTCCTTAAATGACGTCATACTACTGGGGATCAATTGCAGCCACGCGGAAAGGGCAGGTTGAATTATGACGTGATATTAAAGTTCCTGTTTAGACCTAACGGTCCATTGGGCAGAAGTAGTAGAGCTCATATGTTTCTTGACCTCGGCATATGAAGAGCCGCCTTTACTATCCCCAATGTAAGTCAGGTACCCATCAGAGCTGGGTGGACACAAGACCGAACCGAGATCCGAACTCGAGATCTTCGGGCAAGCAGCCGCTTTACCATTCGACCACGCTGTCCTTTGACCAGAGGGGGGATTTTTTTTTTTAAATATTTTTGTGACGACGTGTTGAAATGAATGTGTGGACGTCAACTAACTATAGACGGGCCGTTACAGTGTGTGGTGGGTTGGGGGGGGGGGGGGGACAATGGGATTTTTAGTTTGTTACTAGGCTTAACAAAAGTATTAATGTATTTACACAGAAATTAGATATTTACACAGAAATGTTTAGATATATACACAACAAATGTTTAGATATTTACACAGTAACAAAAATTAAATATTTATTTAAAAAAATGTTTACATAGGTACACAGTAAAAATGCTTAGATATATTTTTTTTTAATGTTTAGATATTTACACAAATAAGCTTAGGTAGGCTATTAACAAAGTAAAAATGTTTATTTACACACTAAAAATAGTTTGATATTTACGTAGGAAACAAATCAATTCTAAAAAATAATTGTATACGCCGAAAATCTGAAAACTTATCTAATTAATAAAACAAGCGTGTCTTCTCTGATAATAGCATTGGTCGCTCATATGTGAGGGAGATTTCATGAGTGGCCAATGCTTGCCAGTTAACTGGAACTAAGTTTCAAATAAACAATTCAGGTACATATTAAAATTTGTAGTATTGTTGTCAAATCACACTGTATTTGGCCTCTAGACAAAAATATCCTATAAAAACCTATTCAGAAACTTATTAAGGATTATAGTATCATTTTCAAATCATACTTAATTTATCCTCTATCCTCTAGACCAGGGGTCTCCAAACTACGGCCCGCGGGCCAGATGCGGCCCGCGAGGTCCTCTCATCCGGCCCGCGAAGATCTTTTTGTCCACGGAAAAAACGTTCGTTGGTGATGGCTGAGGAATTTTGCCCAGAAAAATCAAAGACATGCCTGGAAGAAACTGGCCCCCGGACTGAAATTTGATAGTTAATGCGGCCCTCGGGCTGAAAAGTTTGGAGACCCCTGCTCTAGACAAAAAATCTGCCCTAAAATAATTTGCATGTAGTTATTAACATCATATTGTCGTTACCCTAACCTTAACAAGGCAGTGGTTCTAGCTCTGACAACACTAATCAAACCTACTCTTGACTCTAACACTGTACCTGAACCAAAACTTGAGCCGAACACGTATCCTAATCCTCATTTCAATAGGGCTGCAACAAGAACCATCAGACCGGCCTATTATGTAGCACTTCTGCTGTTGAAAAAAACTACTTGTTACACAATGTACCGTACGATGTACCGTAGACATAGAATGTAGATTGGGGAATTTATGCGTGTACAGTTATTTACTCTAGATCGTGTACAATGTATGCCTAAGGTAAACAGATCACAGCAAAGATTTGCAAAATGGTTGGTCTATTGAGGACTTGGTTGGTAGATGGGTTTTTTTTTTTTTGTGGTGTGTTAAAAATATCTTTCACAGGAGTTGACTGGTAGGTTTTCTAGTGTTGTGTTAAAATGACTGAAACCAAGCGTGGATAGTTGCGCTGCTGAATAGATCTTTGGAATTGAAGATGTGCATTCGTGCCAGTCCGATCACGTGGTACTATCTGCACCAGGTCTCATCGCTTGGTCCCATTAACATCTCGTCAACCGGGAAGTATGAGGGACTGATAATGTGATCGTATGCAGACAAAACTAGGTTACTTCAAGACTTTTAATCAGTCCAGTGCTGGTTCTGGCACTGATTTGTATGTTGTGTTTTTCAATCTACCCAGGTGTATTTATCTGTTTTCTGTGTCCAATCAAGGCAGGAGGTTATTTATGTTTTGTAACTAAAATGTGAGGTTTGAAATTGTGTTTTTTACTTATAGGTTCGAGTTTTCTTTCTGATTTATAATATAACATTATCATAAGAGAAAGTTGTTTCCAGTCCAGGTATTTTACTCGACATTTTTATCAAATTTTTTAATGAAAGTTCCGGCCAGTTTTTCGACCATAGGAAACATTCGTAAAAGTTTTTTTAAATATTTTTATTGTGGGAACGTGGTATGGTTTGTACGTGTCGGGATGTGGTGTGGTTTATAAGTGTGGGATTGTGTTGTGGTATGTTCGTGTGGGGGTGTGGTGTGGTTTGTGTGTGAGGATGTGGTGTGGTTTTTACGTGTGGGGGTGTGGTGTGGTATGGTTTGTACGTGTGGGGATGTGGTGTGGTTTGTAAGCGTGGGAGTGTGGTTTTTATGTGTGGGGGTGTGGTGTGGTTTGTTCGAGTGATGATATTATGTGGTTTTTACGTGTGGGGGTGTGGTGTGGTATGTTCGCGTGGGGATGTGGTGAGTCTACCACATACACGCACTGTGTAAAGCTTGTCTAGCCCTATGTTAAATTAAATGCTTTAGAGGTTTGTTCGTACATGTTTGCAATCACATTGAGCGTACAGAACACACCATTCAGACAGAAATACTCTCTCAAAAATGTCACATAAATGCTATCATTCTGTACTTACAATGACGGCTATTGATATTCCTTCTCTCTTCTTTTTTTATCTCCCTTTACCTCCATCTACCATTACAATCCTACTTCTTTCAGACACCACCACCCCCCCCCCCCCCACCCCCATCACTCTCGGTAAAACGTGTCTAACTCTTGATACAGGGAAAAAAAAGGCGTTAACATATTTACCGAACTTAGAAAAGAAAGCCCCAGTTATGAGCCTTTGCTTGTCAAAAAAAAAAATCGTGTCTTTTACTTGGCGTTACGTTTCCTATTTAAACTGCTATTTGAAACTATGGGGATTTTCCCGACGTATTTAACCAAGCACATTCCAAGGAACTTAACATAATTAAATAGGTCTATACTTATTTTCAAATCTGATTCATTTTACCATAAAATTAAAAAGTCTCCCAAATTTTTTAGTCTAATTTAACAAAATAAAACGACATAGGGTGGTAGAGATTACATGTTATTTTATTTTATTGTTTTTTTTTGTTGTTTTTTTTTTATTAATACATTTTTGTGTTCTACCGTTAAAATAATTCATAATTAAGGTTCTGTAAGACAAATGACCATCTGTTTTTTTTCCTTGGCATATAAGCAATTGTGGGGGTCAGCACTGTATCCACAAGCCTAAACGTTTTTCCAGGCTCGAGCCAGGTACTCACCAGAGCTGAGTCGGCTCATGGATATCCTAGGTATTGTGCCCCGGTGCCAAAGTTATCACACACACACACAAACACACATACACAAACACACACACACAAATGTTTCTAATTGGTTGTTTGTTTTATATGGCAGACTTCTCAACACAATAATATCTCTTTCAGATTTGTTTAGGATTTGTTTTTATGACGGATTTTTTTAAGACAATTAATATCCGTTACAGATTTAGAAAAAGACAACTTTAAAATTGCTGTCACAAATGTTTCTAATTGGTTGTTAGCTTTATATGGCAGACTTTTCCACACAATTAATATCTGTTTCAGATTTGTTTCAGATTTGTTTTATATGACAAGATTTTTTTCAACACAATTAATATCCGTTACAGATTTAGAAAATGACAACTTTAAAATTACTGTCATCCTCCTTCTTGCTCATGTTATGGCTTTCCTCGGCCAGTTCAGGTAAGAAAATTTCAAGCTTTTCATTCTTAAAACAATCACTGCAACCTTTGGGCCCTAGAAGATTTAATATTAGGGTTGCCAGGTGTCCAGTTTTGAACTGGACAGTCCAGTATTTGAGCAGACTGTCCAGGATAAAATAAATATAAATACTGGACAAGTATATGAATAATACTCTGTTACCCCCCTTCTGCTTTGCGGCATACCTGAGAAGGGAAGGACGGAAAGGTATCTGGCAACCCTATTTAATATTCAACTAAACAAAAATGTACCTTCTTTTTTCTCCAGCTGGTAGTGTAGAGTTGGCTAACGACTGTCCTAGCGGGCAAAACATTACTCTAACATTTGTCAAGGTCGACACCGCCGCCAGTTGTGGTTGTAGAGCTGTGGGTAATGACAGTTTGACCAGACACGTCCAGTGGTTCAAGTCTAACGGACAGGCCGCTTCAGGAAGCTCTCTGACCTCAGCGACCTTGAACTTCACTGCTCGAGGTAACTATCATTAACGAGATAAATGGCCCGTCGAGGAAGGATACAACGGGCGCTAGGTTGATAGCGCTGTCTATTTTATCTAAACAAAAACCAAAAAAAAAATCACCACCTATACTTCAAATTTAAACAGAAACGAAAAATGACATTTAAAACGGATTTTTATCCAGAATCGGCATTTTAAACGGATTTAAGCATGATCTACGCGTAGTTATCGCGCATTTATACTAATATAGTCGTAGTCATACCTCTAAACCATTCACCTTATCTCAATCATGACAAAAGTCGCATTTAGAGTGAGTTTTTTTCAGGCAACTCTACTTGGGAGTATGGGGGCTCCCCCCCCCCCCCACACACACACACACCACAAAACATGTCTACCGTCCCATTCAACGAACTATAATTATATACTTTTTCCCCTCCCAGAAAATTCTACCCCCGCCCCCGAAAATTTCAAGTACCCCCAACCCTCTCGGGGGAGGAAAATGTCTGAAAGAAACACTGGTCGCATTTGTTGATCATACAAACTAAAGGTAGAGCCTGGAAGAGCTGCATGAAATAAACTGCACGCAAAACACTTTTTAGATTAGAAAATTTCAAGTTCCCCGCTCAGGAGAGAAAAAAGTCTGAAAGAAACACTGGTGTTGCGCTTAGCCACTACTCGAAGAATTGCATGAAAGAAACTCTGCACGCAAACCACTTTTTAGATTAGACACATTAATTAGGCGGTAATTTTATTATAGAGTATCGATGACATTTCTTTTGAGTTTGGGGGGGGGGGGGGGGCGGCTCAGACGTTCTTTCGCGAGGGTGGGGGCTTGGCCCCTACCCGAAGAATTGTATGAAGGAAACTCTTCATGCAAACCACTTAGATTAGACAAAATTGCCTTTTTATTCAATGTTTACTCAAGAATCAATGACGTCATATTACTGTGTGCACTCTCCGGCTTGATACTATTTTCTACTATATGCTCCAATGTGAGGTCATGTTTCTTTTTCGTTTAACTATGCATGTTTTTAATTTGCTTGTGTTTTCTCTATAACGTTCTTGTCAGATAGATAGATAGATAGATACACAGACAGACAGCGAAACTATTAGTATAGAAAATTCCACCCCCGCCCCCGAAAATTTAAAGTACCCCACCCTTCTCGGAAAGAAACACTGGTCGCATTTGTTGATCATACAAACTAAAGGTAGAGCCTGGCAGAGCTGCATGAAAGAAACTGCACGCAAAACACTTTTTAGATTAGAAAATTTCAAGTTCCCCGCTCAGGAGAGGAAAAAGTCTGAAAGAAACACTGGTGTTGCGCTTAGCCACTACTCGAAGAATTGCATGAAATAAACTCTACACGCAAAACGCGAAGCCCCACTCGAAAAATTGCATGAAAGAAACTCTGTACGCAAACCACTTTTTAGCATAGAAACATTAATTAGGCGGTAATTTTATTATAGAGTATCGATGACGACATATCTTTTGAGTTGGGGGGGGGGGGCGGCTTAGACGTTCTTTCGCGAGGGTGGGGCTTGGCCCCTACCCGAAGAATTGTATGAAAGAAACTCTTCACGCAAACCACTTAGATTAGACAAAATTGGCTTTTTAATTCAATGTTTACTCGAGAATCAATGACGTCATATTATTTTGTGCATTCTCCCGGCTTTCGACTGTTTTCTACTATATGCTCAATATGACGTCATATTTCGTTTTCGTTTTACTATGAAAGTTTTTATTTTGCTTGTGTTTTCTCTATAGCTTTCTTGTCAGATAGATAGATAGATAGATAGATACACAGACAGACAGCGAAACTAGTAGTATAGATTAGTATTAATGAGTTGATATGAAACAAAATAACAAAACTCATGTTAAAGAATAGTAGTTTAGTTGGAGGTTTATTACAATTGGAGTTTAAATGCTACTTATGTTATTGAATTATCTAAGCCAGGTTAACTACAACGTTTAATTTTTTTCTTTTTAATTTACAAGATCTAAATAAAGAAAACTTTTCATTTATAATAATGTTATCTCTAATTTTTCCCAAATATAATCCTTATCAAACATTACTTGAATTAATGTGTGAATTAATCCTTCAGTTATTAGCTAACTAATGAATCTCTTTAATCAATGTAACGACTCTTTACTGCAGTGGGTGAAAGCTATACGTGCAGTGAAATCGTGAACGGCGGGAGAATTTCCAATCTAACATTTTCTCCACATGTGGCTTGTGAGTATACACTGGTATAAGGTTTACACATGTACTTCGCATTATATATATATATATATATATATATATATATATATATATATATATATATATATATATATATATATATATTCAACTTTGTCTTTATACGTACTATAAATGAGACCTAAATATACAACCCATAACTGCTGTATCAATTTAACCAGTTTTAATCAAATATGTGTGCTGAATATGCACATGTTTTATCCGTAGATGTTTTTTTATTCGATATAGAACGTCATCTAGTACTAGATGTTAACACATTGAACCTTATCCTCACATGACTTTCCTTTGTTTCAGACGGCCCATCGTCTGTTGAGTGGGTTCTCACTGGGGGCACGTATGCCGTGTGCCCTGGGGTGACACCCCCTGTCCTGAAGTGCCAGACGCCCGTCTATGACCCCAATCAGCCGCCCTGGTTCCTCATCTACCGTACCATAGACCAAAACACGCGAGAGGCTGGCATTAATCTACCAAACAGAACAGCTGACGGGCTTTGGGGGTCAGGATATGTAACATCATTTTTTTAAACCTTGACCCCCAACACGCGGTTAATTTTTATATAAATAAGTAAAAAGAGTAGTTTTACTGTAAACATTGGAAGCTAGAAATATTTTCAATCCATTTTGTAAAAAGTAAGTAAAGCACTCTTTCGAACCTGCAGGTCCATAGTGCAGAAAAGTAGAGTTTACCTGTATCATTTATCACGGCATATATTGGGATAGTGTGGTCAGCACTATGCCTCGTGCTAGGATAGAAACAACACGCTCTTTACACTCTAGTGAAGACGCCATGTAACATCTAATAATCTTCCTCTAGTGTCATCTTTATTCATCAGCATGTAAGAATATTAGTAACTTACTTTAATGAACGCAACTATAGTGATCTTCTTAAACCATCATGATTTATGAAATGATTACTGTAATCGTTTGAGATGTTTTGATACAAGTACCATAACTCCCTCTTTGGGCTGTTGATAGTAGAACTCACTGAGAAAGTATTGCATAACAATTTTTCAGAATTTCTACAAGTATTGAAGATGACGAGATTGGCCAAGTCACAAGGAAATGTCGAGCCAGTAATATGTATTTTAGGGACATGTTTGTTGAGAACGTCACAACTATCTTAGTTCAAAGTAAGTTGTAGAGATTTAATACGCCTATGTACTGCTTACCTTAAGGATCAATACAAGTTTTGAAATCAACTCTTGTTAATGAGGGGGTTGAAGATGTAGCAATATTTTATTTTAAAATTCCGGTAATAAGAATTTGAAACAAGGACAGATGAGGCTCGTTGGTTGGGGACAGCAACCCATTTAGGAGAGATAACTCCAACGTCAACTGGGGAACAGCGTGCCATCTAGGGCAGATAACTCCAGCAAGTTATCTAGGATATATAACTCCAATATTGAGAAAAGCAACCCATCTAGGATAGATAACTTTAACGTTAGCTAGGGACAGCAACCCATCTAGGAGAAAACGTCAGGGGCGTAGCGAGGGGGGGGCGGGGGGTGCGGACCGCACCGGGTGACACCATTTAGGGGGGTGACACCAAGGCAAAAAATAGCAAAATATATAGAGAAAAACTCGAGGGGGGGGGGTGTAAATCGAAAGTTTGAGGGGGGGGGGGTGCAAATCGAAAACTTGAGGGGGGGGGGGGTGCAAATCGAAAGTTTGAGGGGGGGGGGGGTGCAAATCGAAAACTTGAGGGGGGGGTGCAAATCGAAAGTTTGAGGGGGGGGGTGCAAATCGAAAATTGAAAGTTTGTCCCTGGGAAGGGTATCTATGCCTCTGGGTGTGTGACACCATTAAGTGCCGCACCGGGTGACACCCGACCTCGCTACGCCACTGGAAAACGTTATAGGTTTTGTAAGTTTAAAAAAATGTCTGTCACGTGATTTTGTTTTTTTCCTGTTTCTCCAGGACCGTCCTCATCCCCGCCTGTCATCAGAGTTGATGGAGCCCCCTACATCAACGGCTCAAGTTTCACAACAACCGAGAACGTCCCCCGTCACATCGCCTGCACTGTGTCTGGTGGTGAGCCAAACGTCTACGCCATCACCTTCACGTGTGGTCAGCACATCATCACAGAGTACGGAAACACAGCTGACTTGCTGCAGACGACATTTTCTAAAGCAGAAAACGGCCAAAAGTGCACGTGCTCTGCAAGTCACGTGACCGGATGTTACAATCTGAGGACTGAAATCACGATCAGTGTCCGGTGTAAGTTGTTTTCATTTCAGTTCCAGGGTGATACGAACGTTTATTTCATCTCCACGACTAGGTTCATTGTAATGATCAAATATCAAATCTAGTGGATGTTTGCGATTAATCATCTAAGACAAATATTTGCTATTTAAAAAAGCAATTCTAGTTATTTATTTAGATGTTTTAGCTAAGTCAAATATTTGCAATAAATTTCATTTAAGTGAATCGGTTGAGACAAATATTTGTATACGTCTTGTCAGTGAGCGAATAGACACAAAGTACCGCTAATATCTTGGCACATTTGGAAAAAGTTTTGTTGTTTTGCTTTTTGTTGTTGTTTTTTTTTAAACATCAATACTGAAAATTGAGAACCTTCCTTTTGTAATTGTTGTACTACTAACTACTACATAGTTTATTCACTTAAAACAAAAAGATGCTGGAGGAAACCAACGATAAGGATATCGGACGAATGTTGGAATGTTATGTATGTTAAACTGTTACAACTTCATTCAGACAGCTTGACTGACTTGGTCTATTTTCAATTACTTTTAGATTTATTATTTCTGGTGTTGGTAGACCATTATTTCATGCCAGTTTTACCCAACAGTTTTTAAAATGTATTAAAACATTTCTAGAGCTGCTATAGCTGAATAAATTTATGGTTATTTTCTTGTATTAAGGTATTTAAAATGTTGCTATAAAAGGTTTAGAATTTTTTTTTATTTTCTGTTATGTATCCTCAGACCAACCAACCGTGACAAGTTTCACGGCCGTTGGAAAGGATACCGAGGTCACCATCAAACAGGGCGACACAATCAACTTCAACTGTACAGCCAGTGCCAACCCCAGGCCAACCATGTACATCACACAGAGATCTCCAACCTCAGAGCCTTTCATCACAGTACAGACGTACAACCTACAGTACGACATACGTGGGGCCCAGTGTGACGACACGGACGTCTTCTACTGTGTGGCTGATAACAGCGTCACATCCGGGGCACAGGCAACCAAACAACGTTCTATTCAAGTTTACGTCACTTGTGAGTACATTCCCTTGTTTCGGCTCGCCACAACTAATCACTAAAGCTTCTGCGACATAATATAAACAGCACCAAATGAAATATCATTTCGGGACTGTTTACCTGTCAGTGGAATACTTGGTTTTTACAAGCTTTTATTTAACTCACTTCCTCTGTCGTCAGGCTGTCGTCAGTCTAGATCGAATCGCCGGCGCGAAAATTCGGACACTTCTACTTAAAACTGTGAAATCAAAGAGTCGGCTGCCCATTAAAAGAAAGCTAGTTCCTAAGAAAATGTTTTATTATAATGTATTTAAAGTATGGTCTTCGTAACTAACGTCTTTGAATTATCAATTCAAAAAGAAAATTCCCATGCACATATTTCAGTTGTTCGTTTTTCTGTTGCGTTTTAATACCAAACTATAACATACCAATTATATAGTACTCCTAAAGCTTTAAATTAAAAGGCAAGCTTTATAAACATTATCATATAATTTAAAGTTTTATCCTTAGCCTATGATTTGGTGATCACCTAGTGCTAAAACAAAATTTCCAGTCAGATAATTTATAGTTTTATCCCTAGGCTGTAGTTTGGTGATCAACTCAAGTTAAATTTTAACCATCAACTAATCCCCCCCCCCCCCGCCATCAACTGATGTTGTTTACAGGCCCACCTCAACCCATCAAATCTGGTGAACAAACCCACACGGTTAACCTCAACTCTGATGCCACCATCAAGTTTGACGTCACAGCATATCCTGTCATTAACACGTCATTAGCCGTCCTGTCAGTTGTCAAAGAAAAGTTTCTGGTTCCGGTGGATGCGACAAGATACAATGTCAGTGTAGTGCCAGGTGTGCCACCAAAGATGACGGTGGTTGTCACATTCAAGAAAGTCCAGCAAGAAGATCTCCTACATTATGCTGTTGACCTCCAAAATGGCGTGGGTTCTCGTGCGGCATACTATTTTGATCTTACAGGTAAGATGTAAATACTATTCAAATAGTACATAAAAAATAGTATTCATAAAAGTGCGACGTACTACTTTGTTCTTAGTGGTATGATTAATATGTAAATAGAGATATATTTGTGTATGCCTACACATCTGTGTATTGATATATATGCCTATATCTAGCCATATATATATATATATATATATATATATATATATATATATATATATATATATATATATATATATATATATATATACATAGATATAGGCATATATATATATAGGCATATATATATATATATGCCTATATATATATATATATATATATATATATATATATATATATATATATATATATATATATATATATATATATATATATATATATATATATATATATATATATATATATATATATATATATATATATATATATATATATATATACATATATACATTTACTAGGCAAACTGCCTAGCTTCGCTTAGGTTCACAAAAAACTTTTGAAAATTGGAATGCTTAATTAATTGCTGATTGGCTGTTATGTGGAGTGCTTTTTTTTAAATAATTTTTTTTCTGCAATAAAACAAGTTACAAAATGTTTAACAGTAACAAGAGATAAGTTAACAATAATTTACATCGTGTCCAATATGTGATGGTTGATATATACAGAAAGAAAGATTAACAAAAATAGACCTAAAGGGGAATAATTATAAGGGTTAAGTACCACAGATAGTACAGATTACAAAGGATCTGAGGTAAGATGAATTCCGTATATGATTATCATTCAGCAATAGCAAACTATAAATTAATAAAAATATAAATAATGTATAAATGAATATACATAAACGTTCAGTAGTATCCTATCGATATCAAATTAAACTTAAATTGAAGGTCATGTGGCTTTAAGAGGGCTGAAAATAATAATAAAGATGTCCAATTCCTTCTATCAGTAATATTATAGTTTGAAAATATTCATTGTTACAAACAAAACAAAAACAAAAACAAAATATCGGGTTACAGTTTTTACTTTTGGGTTACATAAAAGAGGAGATGATTCTTCCCTTATTACACATTAAAATATTATGAGCACCAGGCTTAGTAATTTACATCTTAGGTACCTAGCGTTCATACAGGATGATGAGTATATAAACAAAAGATGTGTACAATAAATAGGATTGTCATTACTGGCAGCATCAATGTAAAAATGCAGTTACAGAAAACAGTAATGTTCTGCCAAAGTATAATCAATAATATTAGTTTGAAAATATTCCATGTTTAAAATAAAAGAAAATAAGCTAACAGTTTTAACTTTTGAGTTACCTAAAAGAGGGAATGACACTTCCCGTATCACATAATAAAATATGTGGAGTGCTTAGGGCCTAAGTTTAAACAGTCTGGCTACTTTTATGCATGCAAGCATTGGTGGAGTATTCGCACACGTATTACTCGCAAGGTTATTAGAACTGCAAAGGCTTCCTTAATAGTATAAATCAAATATTATATTAAATTCACGTTCGCAATTAATTTTTACAATTTCAGTAGAATAAACACATTAATTTATAAAGAAATATCTATTTAAATGAATGCTACACTTTGTGATTTTTATTTTTTCTTTAAAAAAACAAAAACTGTATTTAAAAATTATTACTTTAAAACGTTATCTCCCCTGTTCATATACCAAATGACGTAGTCTTTGTTACTTTTTCACAAACAATTGTTTATATAAGAAAATACGGCATCTGGACAAATCTAACGATACTAAGGGGTTTTCCGACGGGAATAATGTTTGGTTTTTTTTTTTGTTACCTTATAGGGTCGGTCCACCCAACTCTGATGGGTACCTAACTCACGTTAGGGAAAGTAAAGGCGGCTGGGCATAGTGCTGACCACACTATCTCTTCATATGCCGAGGTCACAGAAACAGGTGAACTCTACTTCACTTGCCCCATAGACCGTCAGGTTTGAAAGGGAAACTTTTTACTTTATAGGGTCGGTCTACGACCTCACAAAATAATAGGGGGATCGTTCGTCAATTTATATATATATATATATATATATATATATATATATATATATATATATATATATATATATATATATATATATATATATAATGTAAGGAGAATTTCAATCGCGATCATTTTTTAGCCCTAGTGGAGGGCTTTGAGTCACACTGATAGGTTTTCCATACGGCCTAGCCATTTACCTAGTTGCATGTAAACAATTAGCTAGATGTACAGACGGTAAGTTCCCTAAAATCTGTGTTGAAATTACCGTCTGTTTTCCCCATAAATTACAAAAGATTATATAGGGAAATAAGACTGGTCAGTTTTGACCACTCTGCAGAATTCACCCGGATATTACAATTTTTTTCTGACTCCCTTTGGTATTTTTCTACTACCTCACAAAATATTAAGGGGGGGGGGGCGTCGTTCGGCAAAAGTTTTTTTCGTAATATAGCTCATATAAGGCGCCGCTCAGTCGAGGTCAGTTTTGACCCTCTCTTCTTGGACTTTGCGGCCGACCGCCACCGGTCCCTGTGTTCTATTGCTCAAAGGCAGAAGCCTGGAATATTTGAAGCGCCTGTGGCGCCGGGAAGTGCCCTATCGTGCACCCGATATATGCGTATATACATAATTATATATATATATATATATATATATATATATATATATATATATATATATATGTGTGTGTATTCACATTTGTATATGTATTTATTTTTTTTACCTCCCCCCACCTCCAAACATGTATTATCACATAAGTTATTACGATTCTCAACCAAACCTTTTACTCAGGCATATTTTGCAACGTTGAGTTAATGTAGCTTCCCCCCCCCCCCCACTCTTCCCCTCCGCCCCTCCCCCACGGCGATTGCTGTAAACTGTGCTAATATAATACAAACGATTTTTATCTATAGTTGGTTATAAATACAGCTTGATGTAGCATGTTTCCTCTATCATTAGCAGGTTTACGTCACCCCCACCTATAACACTCTAATTACTAACATAATTAAATGGAATTAATATTTTTCTGTATATATTTTGCTAATTTTTGCCTTGGTGTCACCCCCCTAAATGGTGTCACCCGGTGCGGTCCGCACTCCCGCCCCCCCCCCCTCCTCGCTACGCCACTGAAATAGCATGATTGTTAAACATTTCATCCGACCAACATAATCTGATTTGTTTACAGAACCAGAAGACCAAACTCCCATGTATATTGGCATAGGCGTGGGAGTGGGGGGCGCCGTTCTGTTGATTATCGTCGTGCTTGTCATTGTGGAATGGAAGAAAAGTAAAAAATCAAAACTCGACGCTTCCAAAGGTGAACTGGTTACTGGGGACACAGACAAGAGTTCGCGGCCTGATGGATCTGATTATAATCAATTGTATCCACGTAAGTTCTGGATAAAATTATAATTACATTTATCCGTTAAGTTCTGGATTTAGTTATAATCACATTCAGTTTCTTCCAGACACCTCTTCGGGGGGGGGGGACAAAATATATACTTTTAACAGTGTCCGCCCCCCCCCCCCGAAGAAAGTCTACCCCCCCCCCCCCCCGAAAATTGCAAGTGCGCCCCCCCCCCCCCCCCCCCCGGAGAAAAAAGTCTGGAAGAAACACTGATCACATTTATCCATTAAGTTCTGGATTTAGTTAAAATCACATTTATCCAATAAGTTTTGCAATAATAGACATTAAATAAAGTATAAGCTATGATTACAGAACTTGCTTTGTATAGTTGTGTTTAGGAAATGTGTTTATAAGCTTACTGCAGACAATTGAACACAGACTTAATGATAGTTCTCAGTTTCATATTGATCGTAATCTTCTTTGCTAGGGTAAGGTAAACATTTTGGTGGGATGTATAGATAAAATTAAGAATGATCAGCTTCGGAAGAGTTCATATGATACTATTTTGTTTCAATTATCAAATGTCGACATTCCTTTACAATTTCGTATATTAAAAATAGAAACCTAGTATAATAAATTTTGTATCGTAACAAGCTTTACATTTACATTTCACTAAAAATTAGAAAGAAATCTAATTTAGATATAATTATAAAAAGCTTTGATTACCAATACTACGTTAAATTTCCTATTAATAAATTATATCTCAAATCATATATATATATATATATATATATATATATATATATATATATATATATATATATATATATATATTTGTGTGTGTATGTATGCGCGCGTGTGTGTGTATGTATATCAAGTTCAAACACAATGATTTCAGCTACTGGGCTATACGATCCACCGAAGCACCCCAACCCTTCTGTAGACGACGATTACATCCAAGTAGAGGACCATTACGACTATATCCCTGACGGCGCCACCCGAGTCGATTACCCCAGTTACATGTGTCCAATTAACGAAGTACCGGAGACCAATTCGATTCCACCCAGTGGTAGCTACCTCTCAGACCAGCCCATTCTAAACCACCGACACTGAATGACTGTGTGCAGAATGTGAAACTAGGGTTATTTTCCATACAGATCAAAGGCTTTGCAATGGATTTTACAATGGGGAATATCGTAGTAAAAAAATTGTATTTTGAGGGTCCAATCTAACCTTGTTTGAGACTTGTGCAAAAAAGTGGTACAAAGGAGGGAGTTAGGAATGTTGCTTATGGCAAGTCAATAAATATTGTTTATATGCAACCATTTATTTGTTACTTTCCAATTTAGACCCCAACATGTCACACGTCACACATAATTTCATTCTTTGAATAATTACATTGAATAATTAGAACAATTTTCTAGTAATTATAGTGTTCTTTTAGATCAGGGGTCTCCAAACTTTTCATCCCGAGGGCCGCATTAACTATTAAATATCAGTTCGGAGGCCAGAGTTTCTTTAAGGCATCTTTTCAGCCCCCCCCCCCCCCCTCCCTCGAAGAATGTCTACCGCCCCATCCCCCCCCCCCCCCCACGAAATATTATTTATATAGAAATATAAATTTCAAATGTCCCCACCCCACCCGAGGTCCACGTCTGCTCTCAAATTGTTCTTCGCGTATTTCATTCTTGAAAATGTTTGTTCATACAGATATGTTGTTCCAAAAATTGAAAGGTACTTTGATGCAAAAGTTTTAATATTAGGAAAGTCTTCCTTGTGCACAAACTTATGAAAACCCATCCGCCCTTCTTTGAACGTGTCTCTAAGGAAGTCATTTTCTTGCAATTCAATGACCTCCCGCTGCAGTTCATCTTTGCAACTGGCCACATTTGCTTAAAATGGGCTCTGAAACAGTCACACTTCTTCTGTCTTTGAATCCAAGTCAGAAAACCGCTACTGAAACTGCAGCTGGAGGTCTTTAATGATCTCGTATGTAATTGACGTGGGGAACTCAGTGGTTCGTTCAGCCGTAAAGACCTTGCACTGCTGAAAGTGTGTCAAGTTGTTAGCCTGTACTTGTTCCAAAAACATGGCACGTTTGTATCTAAAGGCCTTTAGGTGGGTGTATAGATCAGAAACTAGATTTTACTCTCTTGCCGTTTTAGGTTCAGAAAATTTAAATGACTAGTTATGTCTGCAGCAGAGGCCAATTTCTATACCCACTCTTCATCAGACAACAATGGCTGTGACTTGCCTTTACTTTCAGGAAGTCACCTATTTCTTTTCTTAACTTAAATACTCTGCTAAGAACTTTCTCTTAAAATTAGCAATCTTACTGATGTGAAATATGGTAAATCTTGCGATTTTGTATTTGTCTCTGAACTATCTATGGTTAGATATCTTCTTTGGTAACAGTGTCATACATTCTATGTAGGAAAGCCAGCTCTTGTGTTATGTTCATGTCTTCATCCACACCTCTAATGAACACAAGAAGTTGAGAGGTGGAACAACTGTCAAGCGACTCATACATTGCAAATGAAAAATGGCGAAGCTTGCTTGCATTTTTCACTATTAGAGTCACTATGTTTTCACCAATGTCTGCAACACGGCGAGTAGTTGTATTTGCACACAAAGCTACGTTTTCAAATAGTTTTGAATTTTCTGTGCAAAGCTCCTCAGCCACCTCCAACAAATATTTATTCAGTGGACAATAAGATCGTCGCGGGCCGGATAAAATTACATCGCGGGCCGCATTATCTACGTCATACACATGAGGTTACAGTTGAGAAAATGTAATGTTGTATTAATTTTGTTTTTCTTAATAAAAAGAATAATAACATGTTTCTTGATTCTTGTCACAATTATTTTGGGATTTTCTTAGTTGAAGAGAGGGGTGGAGAAATGTGAAATCACTTCAGGTTGGTTGGTGAGACTGTTTGTGACGTGTGGTGAGACTAGTTGTGACGTGTGGTGAGACTAGTTGTGACGTGTGGTGAGACAAGTTGTGACGTGTGGTGAGAATAGTTGTGACGTGTGGTGAGACTAGTTGACACGTGTGGTGAGACTAGTTGAGACGTGTGATGATACTAGTTGTTACGTGTGGTGAGACTAGTTGTGGCATGTGGTGAGACTAGTTGTGACATGTGGTGAGACTAGTTGAGACGTGTGGTGAGACTAGTTGTGACGTGTGGTGAGATTAGTTGTGATGTGTGGTGAGACTAGTTGTGACGTGTGGTGATACTAGTTATGACGTGTGGTGAGACGTGTGGTGAGACTAGTTGTGACGTGTGGTGAGATTAGTTCTGACATGTGGTGAGACTAGTTGTGACGTGTGGTGAGACGTGTGGTGAGATTAGTTGTGACATGTGGTGAGACTAGTTGTGACGTGTGGTGAGACGTGTGGTGAGATTAGTTGTGACATGTGGTGAGACTAGTTATGACGTGTGGTGAGACGTGTGGTGAGACTAGTTGTGACGTGTGGTGAGACTAGTTGTGACCTGTGGTTAGACTAGTTGTGACGTGTGGTGAGACTAGTTGTGACGTGTGGTGAGACTAGTTGTGACGTGTGGTGAGACTAGTTGTGACGTGTGGTGAGACTAGTTGTGACCTGTGGTTAGACTAGTTGTGACGTGTGGTGAGACTAGTTGTGACGTGTGGTGAGACTAGTTGTGACGTGTGGTGAGACTAGTTGTGACGTGTGGTGAGACTAGTTGTGACGTGTGGTGAGACTAGTTGTGACGTGTGGTGAGACTAGTTGTGACGTGTGGTGATACTAGTTGTGACGTGTGGTGAGACTAGTTGTGACGTGTGGTGAGACTAGTTGTGACGTGTGGTGAGACTAGTTGTGACGTGTGGTGAGACTAGTTGTGACGTGTGGTGAGACTAGTTGTTACGTGTGGTGAGACTAGAGAGTAGTTGTGACAAAAGAGTAAAAAAAAATCCAATAATCAAACTTACATTAACAATATGACCTTAAAAAACCAAATATGAGGAGGGTGGGTAGTGGAAGTAAACAAGATTTTTGGGAGAGGGGGGAAGGTAATTAAAGGATGACGCAGTAACTACAAGTTGTTAAGAAACAGCTGATATAACCAAATGTAAGAAATAACATTTGGCGCTGGCTGCCATTGTAAGACAACACCGACACGTCTTCTAGTGGCAGAGGAAGGTATAGAGTTGGGTCAACTGACCTTCTCCCCTAGACCCCGCATACATTATCGCTTACTAAAAATATATTTATATTATAATATGTATGCAGCAGTCTGTTTCTTTGAGGCATCTCTTCGGGGGGGGGGGGGGGGGGCATAGTAACCCCACCCTTCCCCATCCCCAACCATTTCTTCAAAATCAAGTCTTCCGCCCCCCCCCCCCCACGAACGATATCGAAAAATATAGATATAATTATTGTATATAGAAAATGAATACTTTAATCAGTGTCCGTTATACTGAAATGTAAGTACCCCCTCCAAAAGCTTCAAGTGCCCCCCCCCCCCACCTCCTGGGAGAAATATCTTCGAAACACTAGTAGCAGTAAATTTGGAAAAGCCCTTATACACTGGTAATGTCTAGCTTTCGGGTAAACAGTTCATTATGTAAAACATTGGGGGATGACATCGCTGAACAATTACTATATGGCTGTCTTTTTAGCTGGGGATTTGGCTGGTAGGTAGTTTAATGTGTGTTGTGTTAACATACTTACGTCAGACGTGTGTTGGTGTCTGATGTATAGGCCATAGATGTGTGTCGGACGTCAATTGGTGTGTTGTCGTCTGATGTATAGGCCATAGATGTGTGCTGTGAAAGACGTCAATTCGTGTGTTGTCTGGTGTATAGGCCATAGATGTGTGTAAGACGTCAATTGGTGTTTTGGTGTCTGATGTATAGGCCATAGATGTGTGTAAGACGTCAATTGGTGTGTTGGTGTCTGGTGTATAGGCCATAGATGTGTGTAAGACGTCAATTGGTGTGTTGTCGTCTGATGTATAGGCCATAGATGTGTGTAAGACGTCAATTGGTGTGTTGTCGTCTGATGTATAGGCCATAGATGTGTGTAAGACGTCAATTTGTGTTTTGGTTTCTGGTGTATAGGCCATAGATGTGTGTCAGACGTCAATTGGTGTGTTGGTGTCATGGTGTATGGGCCTTACAAATGTGAATTCATGCCAGCCGGTGTCGCGTGGTGCGGCCTTTACCTGGACTTAATGGAACCTTCGGCACCAGGAAGTATTGAGACAGGTAAATTGATCGTGTGTAGAGCGGCTGCTTTACGGCACTGGAGCGTTGCATGTCTGAGGTCTTGTGCTGGTTTGTAGTGTCCACTATGTTCTGGCCTGTATCAATCTCCTAGTCTGTGGTTTGTGATCAATGGATAATAATTTCATTACGATATTTACATTTTTTAATACAAATGTAAATATGTTTAAATTCTAAATTTTTAATCGCATTTTGTATTCATTTTTAAAACACCGCCATGTATGTATATATAAACTATAAATCTTCTTATAAAATGTTTCAATCTGAATACTTAACGGTTCACACAAGCTAGGATTTATGTATGTGTGTGTGGAGGGGGGGGTTACTCTTTCGTTCAAACAGACACGACCTGGCAAAATGCCAGTTTTTATTTCTATTCCCTGCTACAAGACTTGTTTTCTATGAGATTTGTTCAATAGGCTTACAATTCCTGATTGATATAAAATAAATTTCGTTTACTTTCTGTTTTCGTCTTCTGAGTATGATATTTTTCCAGTCTGCAATAAAATCATGCTTTAAAAATTGTAAGAATTGAACGATAATTATGTAGGAATAGATTTCAAACATGATTTATACTTAAAAGCTTAACTTTGTTTTATTAGATCATGATGTAGTCTAAATCAGAGCTTATTTTATATTAATTTTTCAGTATTTTTTTTAACTTCAAATATTTTAGATGTTTTAAATAATGTATTGCTGTTAATATTTTTTTAGACTCAGCATTTTATTTTGCATTTTATTTCAAAGCTTTAATAGTGTGGACTTTGTGTATCACATTGTATAAGTAAGCCGTATTGCCGAGTGGAGTTAGATAATAAGGTATTATTTAGAAAGAAATAAGCCCAAATATTTAGATATTATTTGTACGCAACGTAGCTATGAGAAAATGTAACTGTCTAACTGGCTATGTGCATGAAAGTAATAATTTTTTTTTATAAACAAACATATAGACTGTGTATCAAATAAAATATGTTCAAGCCTATTACCCTTGCCTATTATATTGCCCAAACGTTTTCTAATGTTCCAACTCTTAATTTGTAATAATGAGACGTTTATTAACATAATACTGTCTCAGGCTATTTTATTATGAAAATGGCAATTATATCAATAAGTCAAAACATCTATACGTCTCTCGCAATCGAAGCATGGTCATCATGTTAGGTTTAGGGATAAAGATGGCACAGTTTAGGATGCCAATTCAGTTAAACTATTGTTATTCTGCCAATGACGAAACTAACTTGACTAATTATTAGTTTCGAGCCTGCTTAAATGTAATTTCGAACACACTAAACAGAAAGGTTAATGGCAACAAACTACCCAGCTGGAAAATTTAAAACACATTAACCGCAACTATATAAATCAGGAAGTGAAACGGCTGTTTTTGAAGGCTGTGTAGCTGTTGAACAAACAAAAGGCTTTTTGAACTCGAGCCAAAAAAAATGCCCAAAGTATTTGTAAAGCGTATATAGGGCGTGCAAGTCAGATATGTAGATCTACAGAACCTCTCTGTAGCTATTGGTTATGTGTTGTGGTGTGTGCTGGGATTTAGGGACTGACAAGCTGTTGGGTTTGTATGTTAAGTGACAGATTTATTTGCGTAATAATTGTATTTGTAGCATAATGTAGGGGGGTATACTGTTCGGATGATGTAGATGTACTGTTAGGATGATGTAAGGTTTATTTCAAAGGGTTTAGATGTGCATACGTGGTTTACACAGGAACGTGATGAGTGTAGTATAGTGCTAAACTTTTAATAGACGCTATTATCACCATCTTGTAGAATATATATATATATATATATATATATATATATATATATATATATATATATATATATATATATATATATATATATATATATATATATATATATATATATATATATATATATATATATGTATGTATATATATATATATATATATATATATATATATATGTATATATATATATATATATATATATATATATATATATATATATATATATATATATATATATATATATATGTACACACACATATTATATACATATATATATATATATATATATATATATATATATATATATATATATATATATATATATATATATATATATATATGTATATATATATATACATAGATTAGGCAACCAGATTAGGCAACACTGTTTCATCATGTTGATACATTCATTATTCTAAGTAATTATTTAGATAGTTAGATGAATAAGTTTTCTTCAATTTAATTTGATGAGAGACCTGGCGTTGGCTGCTTATTGAAAAAAAACATTAGACTTCGATTTCTCCATAAAAATTATTTCTCTTTAAAATTGTGTGGTTTCCTAAAATCATTTTTAATAATCACTTAACTGTTGTGGAGTCGATTTGTTGTGTAGGTTTGGTAGGTCAAAATTTTCACATTTTGAGTTATGAAATAAGTGCACGATTTTCTGGCCAATTATAACATTATAATGTGCTTCTATCTGATCCCAAAACATCATTTTCGTTACTAAATACTAAAATAGTGGGTCCTGTGTGTTTGTTGTTGAATTACGTTCACTTGGCATTTAATGGTGTTTTGTTTAGAAAATTATTATTCGATTTGAAATGGCAACTTGAAAATGACGGCTTATTAAAGGACTCGAGTAGGTGTATATATCTGTCGTATGTGTGTTGTCTAAGTGTTGCATGTGTGTTCGATATTATGATATGACTGCTAAGCGGTGGGTGTGTTATTCTAAAGTAGTGTCTTACATACCAATAAGCCAGGTACCCATTTCAGCTGGGAGGTCTCACGTAAGCACTACGGACTCAAGTAATCAAAAGTATCACAAATAAAATGCTGCTACTTATGCATTTTTAAAGTTTTATGACTGTCTTTATTCCTACATTATACATCTCTATTTCAGAAAAGTGCTAGAAAATGACGACCACGTTATTTATATCCGTATCCCTTATGGTATTATGGATTTCTTCAGCCAAATCGGGTAAGAATATGACTATACGTATGTTTCCATGGTTAAGTTGTGTCACATTTCTAGTAACAAGTGTGTTGTTACAGTCACGTGCACATCATTGTTACACTCACGTGCACATCATTGTTACAGTCACGTGCACATCATTGTTACAGTCACGTGCACATCATTGTTAGTCACGTGCACATCATTGTTACAGTCACGTGCACATCATTGTTACAGTCACGTGCACATCATTGGTAAAGTCACCTGCATATCATTGTTACAGTCACGTGAACATTATTGTTACAGTCACGTGCACATCATTGTTACAGTAACGTGAACATCATTGTTAAAGTCACGTGCACATCATTGTTAAAGTCACGTGCACATAATTGTTACAGTCATGTGCACATCATGGTTACAGTCACGTGCACATCATTGTTACAGTCACGTGCACATCATTGTTACAGTCATGTGCACATCATTGTTACAGTCACATGCATATCATAGATACAGTCACATGAACATCATTGTTACAGTCACGTGCACATCATTGTTACAGTCATGTGCACATCATTGTTACAGTCACATGCATATCATAGATACAGTCACGTGCACATCATTGTTACAGTCACGTGCACATCATTGTTACAGTCATGTGCACATCATTGTTACAGTCACATGTATATCATAGATACAGTCACGTGAACATCATTGTTACAGTCACGTGCACATCATTGTTACAGTCATGTGCACATCATTGTTACAGTCACATGCATATCATAGATACAGTCACGTGCACATCATTGTTACAGTCACGTGCACATCATTGTTACAGTCATGTGCACATCATTGTTACAGTCACATGCATATCATAGATACAGTCACGTGAACATCATTATAAACATTTTAAGTTCCAGACTGCCTTAGTGGGTCATACGCTACATCCCCGCCTGTCATCACAGTCGATGGAACCACCTACAGCAACGGCTCGAATTTCACAACAACCGAGAACGTCCCCCGTCACATCGCCTGCACTGTGTCCGGGGGTGAGTCAAACGTCTACACGATCACCATCACGTGTGGTCAGCACAGCATCACAGAGAACGGAACCAAAGCTGACTTGCTGCAGACGACATTTTCTAAAGCAGAAAACGGCCAAAAGTGCACGTGCTCTGCCAGTCATTGGACCGGATGTTACGATCTGAAGACTGAAATCACGATCAATGTCATGTGTAAGTTGTTTTCATAAAGTCAGCTTGTAAAAGACGAAGCATGTTATTCTCAATAATTTTAATTATTTTTATTTACTATTTTTATGTTTCTTGCATCCTCAGACCAACCAACCGTGACAAGTTTCACAGCAGTGGGAAAAGAAACCGAGGTCACCATCAAACAGGGCGACACAATCAACTTCAACTGTACAGCCAGTGGCAACCCCAGGCCAACCATGTACATCACACAGAGATCTCCAACCTCTGAGCCTTTCCTCACAGTACAGACGTATAACCTACAGTATGACATACGTGGGGCCCAGTGTGACGACACGGACGTCTTCTACTGTGTGGCTGATAACAGCGTCACATCCGGGGCACAGGCAACCAAACAACGTTCTGTGCAAGTTTACGTCACTTGTGAGTACACTCCCTTGATTAATTATTTCGAAGTGACTACCCGGTTCTTCCCCAAAACACCTAATTCCTCCCCCCCCCCCCCCCCCCAACCCCAGAGCTAATCTGAAGGAAGATGCAAAACCTATTAATTGTTGTGCGATGGGCTAAAAATATCCTATTATAGCTGCGCAATGGGATATTTAGCTAGCTATAACTGACAGTCTAAGAATTTACTCTGTTAGCTACTAGGAAGCAAACTTAATTCGACTGATCTCTAATTTATTATAAGAATACTTTTCGTGTATGCCGGGTCTAGTTTTGTACAGAGTTTCTTCCAGGCATCTCTTCGCCCCCCCCCCCCCCTTGGGAGAAAAAAGTCTGGCAGAAACACTGGTTTTGTATAAAAATTTTACCGTGGGGTATTTAACCAGGGAAAGAGAGCACACATAGATTAATCTACAAAAACAGCCATCCATGCCTAGATATTTTATTATAGTCTACATGAAAGGGCGACCTAATTTCCCCATCACCTGATGTTGTTTACAGGCCCACCTAAACCCATCAACTCTGGTGAACAAACCCACACAGCTAACCTCAACTCTGATGTCACCATCAAGTTTGACGTCACGGCATATCCTGTCATCAACACGTCATTAGCCGTCCTGTCAGTTGTCAAAGAAAAGTTTCTGGTTCCGGTGGATGCGACAAGATACAGTGTCAGTGTAGTGCCAGGTGTGCCACCAAAGATGACGGTGGTTGTCACATTCAAGAAAGTCCAGCAAGAAGATCTCCTACATTATGCTGTTGACCTACAAAATGGCGTGGGTTCTGGTGTGACGTACAACTTTGTTCTTACAGGTACGATGTAAATAATATTCGAACAGTACATAAAAAATAGTATTCATAAATGTACAGATGAATATTTTGAATATTTTGAATGAATGGCGTTGATGCTGTGTTTGGACAAAAAAATCTACAAAGTGAAACTAAGTGGAAGAAGTTTAAATCATCTTATTGAACGTAGGTAGAACATAGGACTGCTCACCCGAAAGCAGTGTTTCTTCCAGACTTTTTTCTCCGGGGGCTGGGGGGGGGGGGGGGGCACCCTAAATTTTTTAGGGGGGGGGGGGCGGACTTAAATTTCCGGGAGCGGACACTGTTAAAAGTTATATTTTCTATATAAATTCCATTTTGTTCAGGGGTGCGGTAGACTTTCTTCGAGGATTGGAGCCCCCCCTCCCCGAAAAGATGCCTGGAATAAACTCTGCCCGAAAGTCTCTCGAGTTCATTTGGGGTGTGTGTCACTTAACGGAGCATATCCAACCTTCCCACCACCGGGCAAAGTAGAATATATACTTGCGCCTCCCCCCCCCCCCCCTACATGAGAAAGTCTACCGCCCCTCCAATCGAAATGGAATTTATATAGAAAACATACTTTTACCAGTATCCCCCCCCCCCTCCCGAAAATATCAAATGCCAAACCGGAGAAGAAAGTCTGGATTAAACACTGAATATGCACATTATAATTCTTTTATATTTTAATCACACAGAGGCCAAAGACCCGAAGACAATATACATTGCCATAGGTGTTGGCGTTGGAGTTGCTTTTTTAGTAATTATCATCGTGATTCTTTCCGTGGTCATTTACAAAAAAAGACTTCGACGAAATCATCAGCGTGCAAATGATAATACTTACATAGTGCCTGTGACTGAACGTAAGTAGTTAATAAGTTAGCATGCTTGTAAACATGACTGTAATACTTTAAGGCACAAATACACCTTGTTCAACATACAACATAGCCTATATATGTCAACTGGCATTCTTCTTGTAATGTTAACAGTATTTTTATAACTAAAAATGCTCACTTGACGTTTTATATCAAAATGCATAGATATTTTTTATGTTGATTCGCAATTTAAAATATTTTTTTATTAATAGCAATAATGCTCTGCATTAAATATTATTCTTGCTTATATTATGTTTTAACCCTAATTTAGTGTTTAATTAAAACAGCTAGCGTTATTCAATTTTCAAAAAGGAAGTAATAAAGTTGTTGGCTGATTAACCATCTATACATATGCATATACCATCTATATTTATACACAATGTCTTTTTCAGCTAATGGATACAACAAAGCGAGGAATTCTCTGGGAGACTATGCTGCACCAGAGAGTATCTATGAAACCATCCCCGACTACAGTGGGTTGGTTAACAAAGCACCTGACACCTACTCTACCTCCGCCTATGGAAGTGACTCCTCGCAAAGCTCTGCATACAACGGGAGCACAAACTCCATTTTACCCCACCGTTAATGTTTTATAAATGCAGTGTTTCCTCCAGACTTTTTTCTCCCGGGGGTGCACTTGATATCTGTGTGTGAGTGTGTGTGTGTGTGTGTATATAAAAGGTGTCCAATTTTAAAAAAATTATTTTTCATATCGTGTGCATAGTGAAATCTAACATGAAATATTTTTCAGTCTTAACTAAATATGTCAGTCTACAAATTTGCAGTGATTCAATTGTGATCATTATAATGTAGGCCCTATATATATTCTCTCATTATACATCATTAGTAGCAGGGTAAAGAATTAGGCCCAGTAATCTATGGAGCTTGGAGAACAATTTGGAAAAATCTTCATGTTGATTTTGTTGACAGTTGAAGTAGTTTGAAAATAAAATTAATGAAACGAGGCTAAAAGTCAATCCACTTTTTACCTGCCCATTCGCCTTGGTTTCGCCGTCGTCAACTAATGTTATCACCTTCAGAGTTTCTTCCAGGCATCTCTTCGGGGGGGGGGGGGAAGGTTGGCCCTGAAGAACGTCTACCGCCCCCGGAGAAAAAAAGTCTGGAAGAAACACTGATCACCTTGTTATCCTATTTTGCACAAACATTTACATGACCTGGTTACAGAAATATGAATGTAGTCCACATCAAACTAGCATGTAGGCCTATATAGACTGGGTTTTCCAAGGTGCATATAGAAAGTAAATAGACAGTCAAGCATCAAAATTGATTCTTTCTATCTGTAGTAATAGTTTTGTGTATTCTTGTAACATAGCTAGGGGCCGGCGGGTGGGGTTGCCGCCCCGGGCGCTGATCCTGCATCTTACCAAATGGGGGGGGGGGGGGTCGGCTTTTTCGCCTACCTAAATAACTATATGAGTTACTACGCCTCTGCTTATAGCAGTACCAGTCTATACTTTGAATCTTCAAGTGAGCTGCTGTTTAAAAATTACAGTTATGAAAAATAAGCATTATATCTTAAAAATTGAATCAAACTTGTTTTATCATTGAAACCTGTTGAGTTATTGACAAACTTGGCAGTTAACTGCAAGGTTAAAATAGTGAGGTTATAACATTTTCATATTTGAATAAAAATATTATAAATATTTATAAATAATGTAGTGTATATATTGTATAGTGTAAAACACTGTGTGCTTTGTAATTTTGCTATTTGTAGAAGAAATAGACATGTTAAGTAGTTGGAGGACTGCAAATCCATGTAAAAATGTGCCACACCAAACTTAGGGCTGAATTATGTGATCGTTGTGAATTTATTAATCCAAAATATTTTAAATTTTAGGTTCAGTTGATGGTAACAGTTGTCCTGTTTACTTCCACTTGTTACCACATATCTGCAATCAGTTAATTCTGTGAACTGAAATAACTGATAGAAAACTGCGGAAGTTGATCAATGCTTTTCTTCTATGACCAAGGTTATATTTATAAATAACATAATGCAAACAATCCCTTATAAATTATTTTATTAACATTATTCAGCAAGTAACAGACAAAGCACTAGAAAAATAAACAAGATAATTCCACACACCATACTACTAGCTACATTCAACTTGTCGTGACTTAGTTAAAGCTAGTATTTAGCTATTAATGTTCATTCTGATACAGCTACATACAATCTGCCATGTCACCAAATGGAATCATTATTCACTCAAGAAAATACACATACTTTACTTCAAACAGATCTTCATATCAAACAACAAATGACATTGCTGAAGTTAAAAAATTTTAACAATCCACACTTAAAGAACACATTCTTAAAACAACTTTTATTCAATGCAAAAAAGCTAAAATAAAAATGAATATTAGAATGAAAATGACAACAATTGCAAATGCCCCATCACCAGAACACAAATAAAAGATTTTTGTTGTAATGTAAGGAGCTAGACCAGGTGGATTTGAACTTAGCTGCACTGTAACAAAGTAACAAACAAAAATCAAACATAAATGCAGGTAGAAACACAATCTATAAAATAATTTTCAAATTTTAGAAAAATTGGAAGCAAGAATTGATTTAAAAATTTGAAACATTAAAAATCATTTAAAACAATTATATTTGCACAAATACTTTTGTTTAATTTCAACTTATCTGATCAAAATGCATAGATTGGTACTGTTGCTGTTAATAAATTTAGAGGAGATATTAATATGATTTTGTTATGTTGACTAAATGTATTTGAAGATAGCCAACTGTAATATCTAGCCCAAATCTCAATGAAAGCAGTCAGTTGACAGAGCACAACAGTTGTTTCTCCATGGCTTAATGGGACAATCAAACTAAGTATGAATGCCAGTGGAAGAAAGGATGTTACAGCTCATCACTAGATTGTTGCTTGAAATATTCCTTTGCCTTTTTAGGATCTGGAATAATCTGAAAACCAAAAAAAAAAAATATTCAACATTAAAAAACAATAATCATTTTGGTAATGTGTGGAAAAATAATCACAAATCTATTTTATCAATACATTTTTACTACAAAAGAAGATAAATAATTTTTTAAAATGATCAAATATATTAAACAATACTATATTATATTCATAATCAATATCTACACAAAGAGATAATAAAAATAACTCCAATAGATGATAACATGCATGAATTATTTTGTGCCTATTCATCTACCATTAGCCCATTAGTCATATGATGCAGGGCCGAGATCTGTAGTAAAAGAAAACCAACTTACAGTGGCACTTCCAGGTTTCCAGCCAGCAGGACACACTTCTCCATGTTTGTCTGTGTACTGGAAGGCTTGCACAAGACGAAGGGTTTCATCAACAGAGCGTCCAACTGGCAGATCATTCATAGTTATCTGTCTCAGTACACCCTTGGGATCAATGATAAAAAGACCTCTGGAAATAGAAAATGTAACAGATAAGAACATTGATCAACAAACTAGAACAAGTTAATCTACAAAACAATTTGCTCAAATTTTACATTTACATTATTTTTATCCATTGGTTTTTTGAGAATTAGAATGACAGTAAAAAAAGGAATTATTTGGTTGATTTTTGTGTGTTAAAATACTTTTACTTCATTACAAATGTAAACTATGCTGCAGTGCACCTCAAGCTGTGTCCCAAATCCTGTAGGTATACTCCATAAGCCTTGGAAATTTCATGGGTAATATCTGACAAGAGGGGAAAGTTGATCTTCCCTAAGCCACCTTGGTTTCTTGCTACGTTGGTCCTACAGACAAATTTTCATTACATGAAAAAATTTACACTACAATGGAAGGTAGAACGGAAGAAAAAATCCATCCAAAAATCAAAACCAACTAAAGAAAATCACTAAAAATGCACTTAAGCTAAAAAAATGACCCGGAGGTATACAAAGTAAAATTTAGTAATACAAACATTTCTCACCATGCAAGATGGGTAAACTGAGAATCCACTGAGCATCCAACAATTTCTGTGTTAATCTTGCGGAACTCTTCAGCACGGTCACTGAAGGCAATGATCTCAGTTGGGCAAACAAAAGTACTGAAAATAATTTTCCTCAGAGTTAAATGAAAGTCATGATGACAAGAACATATACAGAGAGATCATCAAATAAGACTAATTATGCCTATACTCCCATTAAGAGAACTAATTTTTAAATTTCAATTATTAATGGATTTTAAAAACAAACAACTTACAAGTCAAGAGGGTAAAAGAAAAACACAAGGTATTTTCCTTTAAAATCAGCCAATTTTATATCTTTAAATTCTCCATCAATCACTGCAGTTCCATTCCAATCAGGGGCAGGTTTGGAGACTGAAAGATGAGTTTATATGAAATAATTATATAAAATTATAAACTATTATGCCTATGTAATTATGTAAATGTATAGTAATAAAAAACAGCATTACTAGCAGTCATTACATTAACATAAGTAATACATTATACAAAATAAATTAAGCAAAGAAGTTTAAATATGCATTAGGCCTAGTAGTTAGTTAGACCTACATAGGGGGAGGGGGGTTGTGGTCTACTCTAGCTGTAGATGTATGCATTAAATAATTAATGCTGGTTAAATGCATGAGTTTTGACTTTGTCTCCTTTTACATTTTAAACATCATGTAAAATGTTAAGCGTAGCCTTATGCCTTCCTTATGTTATTTATAATATTTATATAGGCCTAGCTATATAATGTATAGCCTAAATCTGTCCTATCTTTTATTAAATTTTAAATTATCACAGTAACCTAAACTTAGTAAACATGAGTAGTAGAGTAGTTTTGCTAGATATACAATAGATCTACTTAGCATAACAGAGTATTAACTAGATCTAGTAACTGGACTCTATGCCGGTTAGCAGTCTTTTTTTTTAACTTGAACTCTAGGGGAGGCCCAGGCATTTTTATTTATATTTTTGAGTTTTGTCCAGTTCTCTCGTAACAGAAGCATCACTTACTAACGGCTTGACTCCATTGAATTGAGTGCCCAGTAGTACGTTTAGTTTCCTGTGGATAAACTTGTCCTCCTGCAAAGGAATAGCATGTGTTTTCAGTGCAATGAACTGCAGAAAATAAAAACAAAAAACCGGCAACTAAATAATAGTAGTTAGAAGCCATGGTGGTACACGTATTTAACTGTAGTGTTATTGTAGCGAAGCAGAAAGAAGCTTCCTTTCGTTATTTTCGGAAATCTTAAAAAAGGTAAATTAAATGATTTATTGTTAATTTTTACATGGAAATAATACGGCAAGTATCAAAATATTATTATCTAACGTAATTATCCAATTTTAACGGCTAATACTTTCTACTAGTTTCTTACGAAAACAACATATTGCGTAGCTCTGTATACATTTACAATTTCCTTGACACCCACTCTAAACAATAACTTGTATTTTTTTCTCAAGTTTCATTGTTAGCGCTTCTAAGTTATTCGAAGCTCATTGTTGTGCATGCAATTATGATTGACAAGCAGTGATATGTATATTTACGAAATACTTTCATCTATGAGGGAAAATTTTCACTTTATATACTTGGAGATTACAAGGTAGAAAATCTCTAGATCTAGATTGACTAGATTTTCTAGATCTAGAATCTAGATCTCGATCTAAATTCTCTAAAATCTAATAAAATATTGTATTTTATCATGATTGATTAAAAAAAAAATTCTAATGTCCCAGTCAGTCTGTCTAGATCTAGATCTACTTAACTTCTTAAGTCTACTATTTATAATAATATAAAAATAGGCATAGGCCCTATACCTAGACTTTCTAATCTCGTGCTGCTTCCAATAATGACCAATATCCCTACTGTACTAACTATCAGTAACTAGATCTAGTTATATTATATATTATATATAATATATACACTAAACTTTACACATTTTTACTCCACATACTAAACTTAACGCTAATCTATCATAAAATTGACCGAGACTAGTAATGTGAAAAAAGGTGGCTCCTTAAATTTTAGTAATTATTTCACATTTTTAGGAGGATTTATAGACGTCTAATATTTATGTTTTAAAATTTACAAAAATGTTTCAGAGATTCATTTGTGTACTTGTTTTTAAACAATTGTTTTAAAACTTTTCAGTAATAAATAAAGACTAGCGATCTTTTCATCAGATGCAACCAAGCTCATTTACTTTAGCAGCCATCTTATTTAAGTTTTTTTTGGAAACTTATGGTGGGAGATTCAGGGGAAGCCACTCTATTTTACAGATGGCTGCTGTTTATATAGCAAATCTTGCTAAAAAAACACTGCCATTTAAAGTTAATTTCTGGCCTATATTGATATACATTGATTTTGGTTTATTATTCAGTTATCTATATTATTTGACACAAATACATCACAAATACACTTCTATTAAAGCCTTAACAATGAGTCAATTTTTTTGCACATTACTAGCCTCGGCTGATTCTACACCTAAAACAATAGATTACCACTTACCTGAACTTAACTCTACTTCTAGATCTAGTTACTACTAACTAGAATCTAGATCTACTCAAATTCAAATGTGTATGTCAAATAGCTAATCTATTGGTTCAATATGGGCTAGAAATTTACTTTAAACAGCATAGTTTGCGAGCAAGACTTGCTATATTAACTTTTAAATCATTATGTCATCTAGAATTCTAGATTTATATAAAATGTAGTGTAGTTAGCAATGGAGGTGGCCAAGTTTGATGAGATGGGTTTGAAAAAATTATATTGTTGACATAGATAAAAAACATGGGTTTTTTTTAACATTCTATCAAAGCAGACATTTAAAAAAATTGTAAATGGTAGCCTGAGAAAAATTAAGTAATTAGATATTTTTAGAATCACTGTTGTAAAGGTTGCAAATGCAGATTGAACTTAAAATATTTTTTGAGTTTAAGGCTACATTAAGTACATTTCTAATTATTTTCATCAAGCCTAAATCATAACATGAAGTTTTACTTTTGCAAGACAAATATTGATTGGCTGTAGGAACTCTGTGATCGATCTTCTAAAGAGCCTACTGTATAATTGTACTAAATACCTTGCAGATAAAAATTTTAAAATTATATTACATTTTTTTAAAACCAAATACATCCATTTTTTTAGTAACATCCAACAAAAACCTCACAATAAAGTTTTTATAACCACATTTGTTTTAATAACACAGCACCCTTTTTAAAAAATATTTAATGAACCATTTGAGACTTTTCAAGGCTGACTTCATTGGTATGGATGGTAATAATGTAGCATCAGATTTATACTATATAAAAAATATAAAGTAAAGTGTAGTATTTCATTATTACTAGATCTACCTGTGCTTTGCTATAGTAAAAAAAAATGGTGCAACGAGCTTACGGACGTCCACCCGGAATTTCCTTCTTACCTTTCCCATAGTGTAATGTAAATAAACAACATGCTCTCCTAGGCATCCGCACCCAGAGAGAGCCAGTCGACCTCCCATGCTTGATAAACAACACATTTTCCCCTGTGTCTGTGCCCTCTTCAAGCACAACCGCGTTCTCCAGTTTGAAAAGAAAGACAAAGTGACTATACCGATGATAAAATGAAGGACATAAGCTATCACCAAAGGTGGTCGCCATCCACACTTATACACTTATATTATAGATATTTGTCACTATAATTTTTTTTTTAAATGTATGAATAACTTTTTTTTTACAAACTTCTTATTATGTTTCTTATGTATAGACTTGCTAGCTGTTATTTGTCTATTTGTTGATGACTTATTCTTTATCATCTGTTCAAAACTACTTTGTCAAATATTCAGTTTTGTGTCTTTTGTAGAAATTAGAATGTAGATGTAATGTATATTTCGTGACCGATTTATTAAATAGAAAAAAAATCCTTATAAATAGAACTTAACCTTTTATGATTTATCACAATTAAGAGAAAAAACATTTGTTTCTGCGTCAAATATTGTCTCTGTTGAAATATTTTCTTGAGATATGGGGCCTATAAGTATTTAGCTAACATCTTTAAGAACCAACCAGAAACATTGTTTTATGGTGAAAGTTTTGATGCACTTAAACAATATGTTTAAATTATTCAATATATAATTATCAAATTGAAATAAAACATTTTGATTTTAAATGAAAACAAAAAACACTAAACAGAGAAATGACATTAGCTCACTTATTTTAAAATGAAAAAAAAACATATCTTTATCATATAATAAACCTTGCATGTACATTGGCTGCTTCTTTCGGAATCATTCAGGAAATGGGTATAAAAATATATCAATAATCAATGGTAGTAATTCTCTTTACCTAGTATTAAAAAATTTGTTTTCTAATGCACATGTCGTGAAATTATTTATCTTGGCCTGTCTTTTGTTATTTTTAATTTGTTTTGAGAATGCAAAACCAGGATAAAAAATGCAATAAAAGTTTCAGACTGAAACTGACCTCCATGACATTAAATTTACAGGATGCTTAAGATGAGCAGTGGTAAAGATTACCACAAGTCCACAGTAACCACAGGCATGTCCAACTAATTGTAACCACTACTCCATATCAAAAACTACCCTCCGCACTCCATTATCCCATTTTTTTTAGCCAACCCATGAACCATCAGCTAATGTTATTTTCATTCAGTTATTTTGTTACTGTGTCACTTGGTTATTCATGAAAAGCTTTTTTTTTTTTAATTAGACTTTCTTAGCAAAATATAGCTACAGTTAGTGCTTATTACCCAATATTTAAATTCAGATTTTAGTATATTTAGATTTTATCTTTCCATATATGTTATAAGGCACCCAGCTAAATTGAGATATTTAATAATAAAATACAAATAGTTACTATTTTTATATAAGCTGAACAACTTTTTTAAACAGAATACAATATGGAATTGTGCACATAACCGTATAATAGTTTTACCAACCCTCTGCTCAATATAATGTTATATATCTCCTTAGAAACAATCCCTTGTATTGTTCAATCTCACTTTAACAGAAGTGCTTCTGATCTTTCTTTATTAGAAACAATTGTAAAGTCTTGTACTGTATAAAAAAGAATGTGCAAGCCAATTGATTCAATCTTTATCTAATCATTAAAAAAGGGGCAGCAGTTCAGCTAAATTAATGATTTTTTTTTAAATCTAAGACATAGTACAACCAACCCTCTTACCACATACAAAATAATATAATAAAATATAAACCACTCCCTACCCAGTTTAGCTTAAAAGATATACAAATGCCTTACATTAGGTAAATGACATTTAAAAAGCTCTCTTCTGGATTTCTACTGTGTGAACAGGTCATAGTGTTAATGAATCTCTATGGAGCATTGATTTGTTTTACCTGGTAAACATTCTGTATTCACTTGCTTCTATACTTAAAGTGAAGTATTGGTTAGGCCTTAGGCTCTAAAGATTGTGCTGTGTGAAGGCAGGGGGATGGTAGGATGACACTGGCAAGTGTTGTAGGCCTATATTTTTTAATAGGCTTCTGTTTATTCTGTGCTAGTGTCTTAGGCAGCTAGCTGGATGTGAACTTGCACTTGATAAATATTTAATCAGGTTACACCAGTAACAAGAGGAGAACATATCAGGTGATCTCTTTAAAGAATGTGATATTCTTCAAGCAATTTTTTTACACTCTTCCATTGCAAAGTATGGATACTTCTCTCATTCTCTTAATTTTAAGTTACTTATGAAGTATTAGTTATAGATTTTTAACTGTAACTTCCTAAAAAAAGTTCTGTTATACTTAGAAAATGAGCTTACAATCTTTTTGTTCTGTTACAATGCTAACCTTTGTGTTTATCCAATCTGACATATCTTAGAAACCACTATTGACTGCTTGTAAACACTTTTGATGTTGCTTAGTGACAATGCATGGATTGAAAACCTACTTTGCATGAAACAGTTTTTAAATAAATCAAAACAAGTGGTGTTTTCACCTATAAAATAATGTCTTAACAAGTAATATATTTTTAAATATTCTGAGTAATCTGTAGTATTTTAATAGGGTTAGTGTTTGGTAATTAGCTTCTATCATACAAACCTATGTATTTTTCTGTTTGGGAAACTTGTAGATTTTAGGTCTGTTGCCTTACATTGCTACTAACCGCGTGATTGCTGTTGTTTTCATTACTAATGACAAGATTCTGCTTTTAAGCTACAGTATATAAATCTAAACAAAGCTTTTGATGAAATGTACTGCTAGATAATGTCAATATAGTTTAAGTGACAAGATAGTGAAATAAAACATCTTTCAGCGATTCAACATTGTTTTTCAATCATATGATGGGGCAGTTATTTTCTTATAATGAACTCATTGAACAAACAGATTTTCAGAAACTAAAATGGATTATTACAAACCAAGATTTAAATTAATAAGTAAAAATAGCCCGAATTTTTTATTCGTAAAAGACTGATTTCTTCCCGATTATGTCGTTTACCTAGGTAAGAATAACAATTTTCAGTTAATACTTTCTGAATTAACTGTAATAGTGTTATGTTATTTTCTTTAAGAGTTTGTGATGGATTCTGCCGCTGTGAAAGACAACAATAATAAGCCTGAGACTTTAAATTCCTACAAAGATGATTGGACTGACTCTGAGATTACAAAAACCAATAGTTCCCTACATCAGGTGAGTAATACATTGATAAACAGCTGTTTAAATTTATTTTTATTTTAATCCCATAATACTAAACTGTAAAACATCATTTTTTTAAACAAAATTTGTTGAAAAATAAATATTGCGATATTATAAAAATAGCACTTTTATAAATTTTTGTTCTATAAACAGGTATCAGATGATGACGATGATATTATCTCTTCACACAAAAGAGCTAGCTCTCCCATAAGTGTAGAAAAAGAGAAAGTTCTTCTAGACCACAATGCAGAAGAAAATAAAGAAGAACATTTAAATGAAAAATCTCCTAAACCTGCAGCTCAACAGAAAAAACACACAGATGATCCTTCAGATAATGAAAGTGAGTCTGAGCCTGATGCCTACAGCTTCACTGAGGATCAGAGGCGTGCTATGATGGAACTCATGGTTCAAAAACAAGAAGATAGCGACCTCTTAGGTCTGTACATTTTGTATTTTTTATGTTTATTTATGTTTTTACTTATAATATATATCAAGGGTATAGTGGACAAATGCAGTATGTCCAAAAATCTAGAAAAAAATGAGTTTATAAATCTTATTCCAATATTAAAATAGTACAAAATATTTTGTTTAAACATTCAGAAAATATTTGCATTCTACTTTTCTGACATTGTTCATGAGTGTTCTTGTAGTTTGTATTATTGACAGTATCAGTATAAATGTACATTGATTTGACAAAAAAGTGGACATACTGCATTTGTCCTCTATACCCTCAATATATATATATATATATATATATATATATATATATATATATATATATATATATATATATATATATATATATATATATATATATATATATATATATATATATATATATGAAGAGTTGATTTTCAAAATGCAATATATCCAAAATTTGGGTTTCGAGAAAATCGCACTTTTCTCCTACACGAAGCCATTGTACAATATGCTAAAACTGTTTGTCAATTTAGGTTCATAACCCTCATATACATAGGACTAGAATGGTTTTTGAAATGTACCTGCATAAAAAGATGCTTTTTTTTGGTCCCAAAATTTGCGTTTCGTTGCAAAATGAGGTATATCCAGCTTTTGTTAAGCTACAAAACGCTGTATATCCATTTTTTTTCTAATAATACATCTGATGTCCAATATTTTAGTTTATTATTTTATTAAGACCCACTTATATTCCCAGTGTTATCATCTCACTACAATTGTACCATGTTTTTCTGTTACTTTAAAGTGTTTTTAGTGAGTAATTTCAGTTATTTGAACATTTTTCAAAAATGATGCAAGTCTCTAACGAGAGACTTTAATTTGAAGAGTACAGCTTGTTTTTAGGTTCATAACCCTCATATAAATAGGACTAGAATGGTTTTTGAAATGTACCTGCATAAAAAGATGCTTTTTTTTTGTCCCAAAATTTGCGTTTCGTTGCAAAATGAGGTATATCCAGCTTTTGTTAAGCTACAAAATAGAAATAAAATGAAAATTTTGCGCCGTGAAGATTAAAATTAAGTTTTCCTAATAGTAACTGAGTAGCTTTACAATATGGGCACGTTATCTCATTTTTTTCAAAAATGGCGCTTATCGCGTTTTGAAAATCAACTCTTCATATATATATATATATATATATATAGGCCTATATATATAGGCCTATATATATATATATATATATATATATATATATATATATATATATATATATATATATATATATATATATATATATATATATATATATATATATTTATTTATTTATTTATTTATAATAAATAATATTTTTTAATAAATGGGAAATAATGCTGAATATAATAGTGACCTTTTAAATTTGTGAAAACTTTATTTTATTTTGAGAAACGAACTAGTAAGATAAAATTTAACCCATTAATATCCTTATTCCGTGTGAAACTAGATGAAGAGCCACCTGAATACAATGTGAAGGGCAGGCTTGAGCAGCTCAACGCAGAGCTGGCCAACGATCCCACACCTGTGGAGGGAGACCGTGAGACACGGGTTGGTTTCAAACCTGAAATTGTGGACCTCGTCGCCCCTCCCCCACCAGACTTCAGTGACGATGAGTCCCAGCCTAACAGCGCCAGAGGGGATCCCCCTAAAGCTGACCCAGAGAGTGGGGATGATCTCAAGGTAAAAAATGACAATTCCAACAAGGAGCAGTATGTGGTGGAGCGGGATGGAAATTTTTCTGTCGTCAGTGCCAGCGATCTTTCCCCCTTGGAACGGGAGATGCTCATCACTAAAGAAAGCCAGCCTGATACCTCAGAAAAACAACATGAGAACAGTAAAACAGACCTTTCTTCTGCTAGTGTTACAAAAATTAATGGCGATCAAACAGACAGTTTAAATAAGGTACAGCCAAAACCGCCTACTAAACCAAGGCCTAAAACAACCGGGAACAGTTTTAGGAGGAATGTGAAACAAGGAGACTCCACTAGACCGAAATCTGCTGTCACTTTGAGCTCTTCCAATTACGAGTTAGAAAACTATCATTCCCCATATGCTATGACCCCTGAGCAGAAGGAAGAGGCCAGGAAGGAAAAAAAGAGATTAGAGGAAGAGAAACAAAAGAGTGAGAGAAAAAAGAAAGAGGAGGAAGAAGAAAGGAAAAAAGAAAGCGTATCAGCCTTTCAGGCATGGCTGGACAAAAAATTACAAGAAAATAAAAAGAAGACAGATGAAAATGACGAGGAACAATTTAAAAAGGAGAAAGTAAGTTTTATTTTCCCTTTATTAGCTCATTTATAGTTAAAATAACCATTAATACACTTTTTGAGGTGAGCAGATCCAAATGAATTTAAAACTAATTTCAGCACTTTTGTAGATATTGCGTAAGGAACTACTAACATAGTTTGTTAATGTTTAATTATGACCTATCCTCATCTTTTCAGTTGGACCCAGATGAGGTATTGTAAATAATGTAGAAACAATGTTGTCAAACTTAGAAAATGTAATCAGATATAAAAGTTTTTACTGCTTGACTTTTTATTCACATTTGAGTGTATATCATCCTAATTAAGCCAGTGACAATACTCATTTCCCAAGGCTGAGTGGGGTTCATATATTATTTGAGGAATTTTAATAACATTAGCAGATAAACATTATGTTTTCATAAAAACTTTAAAAAACTAATATAGAAATAACATTATTAGCTACACAATTAAAGGAACTTTTTTCCTATTTGTTTATGCTATGTATTCTGAGTTGAATTACTTTAAAAAAGGTCATTTTATTTGTAGCTAATTTAATGTGATAAAAAAAAAATTTTGCAGTAATCTTTGTATTAGTAATTTCTTTGTTAAATTCTAAAAAAAAAAGTGTCTTCACTCAAGCAAATAAAAAAAAATGCATTTAATATATTAATATACATGGCTTTTTAAAAACAAAACCACAGTTTGGTCACATGCATATTTATTTATTAAATATTGAATGGCTTTTTTCCGTGTACTTCAAAAATCTTCTGTTTGTTTACCAAATTTAACAAAATAATTCTCTTCACATTTGCCTCCTTGTAAACCCAAATAGAGAAAGCATGCAGAATCTCTAGATTCCAGCCAGAACAACAGTTTTGACACACTCGAAGTGATCTACCCCTACTTGCTACGTCCATCTATGGTATTGTAACTAGCACAAGAATTTAAAATCTGTGGATCTTTCAACCTTTTGTATGCTTGGGTTATCTTTTCTTTAACCCTTCAGTATTGTAAGCTTTGATAAACCCCTAGTTTTGCAATCATTTTTCTTTTACTATTAATAAACATCTAGTATTTTTTTAATATTTCTAAGAAAAATACATGGTTTTCCTTTAGCACTTATAGTATTCATCAAGCAGAAAACTATAGAGCTAAAGCCTTTGTGGATAGCTTATATAATTTATAACACTACATGGTAACTTTTAGATAGATCTTCTTTAACAGCAATTAAAATTAATTGTTCTATAAAAAGAAGAAATTGTGGATTAAGTGGGTGTCCATGATTGACACCACACAAGGTGGGAGGAGCTGGGGGGGGGGGGGGGGGGTGCTCAGACTTTTGTATCAATGAGCTGCTTAGGGGACTGGAGCTTTTATGTTTTCTTTCCAGATCAATTGTTGAAAATGTGGGGGAGGGGATTCTGACTTTTTCTGATTAAGGGTAAAAATCAACTAAAATAGTGTGATGTCAATTATGGACAACATATTATGTATGTCAATTATTCGTTGACAGCACAAGTGGCCTCAGGATTTTGTGTTTTGCATTGCTTAAAACAATACATAGATTCTGGTTAGACAAGTAATGAAAAGCTTATAGAATAACAATAGTACACTAATAAAATTTTAAGTCTTTTTTCAGTTTCTTATAAGCTGCTGTTTAATGCTACTGGGGAACATGTGTTTTACATTCTTTTAATTGCTTTTACTTATTAATAATGAAAACTTACCCTTTAGTAACATGGTTAGTTTTTTGTCATTCAAATGACTATGATGTAGGGAGTTGAAAATAATTTATTTCTTTCATCAAACTTTGCACCACTGTCTAGTATTAGCACTATTGCACCTGCTTAATGCAACATTTTTCCCCAGCTTAGTTTTATGTTAAACCCTTGAGAATGACAAACATAATCTTTTTTTTTGTAAGTTTTCCTTGTGTGTTAGGACACTTTTGTATAAATAAATAAACCCAAAACAAAACTGTGAGAAATAAAAAGTCAACATTTGTTTTCTACATAATAAGTTAAATTAATAAATGGACATATAGAATATCAAAAAGTAATGCCACAAATTATTGTTGTATGTATAAAGAAACTGCATTTGAAAATAGACGCACATACTATTTTGTTCCTTAATCTATTGTTTTTTTTTAATACCTTTATTTTACATTTTAAAAAGCTTCAAAAGTTATCAGATGCTAGGTTTTTTCAGTTATATTTTTTAGCACTTGATTCAACTCTTTATGTTGTATGCTGTGTCTTATTATTCTAAATATGAATACATAGGAAGTGATTGTAACTGTATATTGCTCAAATCTCTTTAGTCCTTTAATTCTATTGATTATGTTTTATTGCAGAAAGAAGAAAGTGAAAAGGCATACAAGCTATGGTTAAAAGAGAAGAAATCTCAAGTTAAAAAAGACAAACTTTTGAAGAAACGGCAGCAACAGGAACACATGGAGGGTTTCTTTATTCGGTCAAGAGAGGAGTGTGAGAAGGCTTTTAAAGAGTGAGTAGCTTCATAAACACATCATATTACTTTTCAAAAAGTTGTCTTTATTTTCTATAAAATTGACAAGGCGGGTTATGGGGGTTATCTAAGCACCCCATGCACCCCACTATGAGTAATTTTTACACTCTAGAAAATATGTCTAAATAATTGGGATTTTAAATCATAAGTACTGGTTAATAAGACTATGTAATTAAATACTATTTTAATTTCTTTGTAACAAGTACATTCTTAAAAAAATATGTATAACCAATAGATTTATTCTTTATGTTTATAGCTTTAAAAGAATGTCAATTAATATCTTTTTTTTTTGTTTTTTGCTAGATGGCTCAAGAGAAAGAATGCGGAGAAGAAAAAATATCAGGCAATCGAAAGACAAAAGTATAAAATTTACAAACTTCAAATGAAAAGATCTAAAAAATCAAATGCTTATCTCAAATCACTGAATGAGCAGCAGGCATTTCAAAGTATAGACTATTATGGTTACCGTTATTAAAATAAAGCATTTAATACTTTTTTGTATCAATTTTTCAAATGTAAAAATTAAATAATATAAACTATAGCTTAAAACCTGGTAGGATATTGGAAGCTTTTCTGAAGAAATGAAACTGAGTACTATTTTCTGTCACATATTTCTATAGCAACCATTCTCCATAAGTCAGACTCTGTCCTATTTTCTTTGTTTATAAAATGTTTTATTTTTAACTTTTCACCATTGTAGTTATATTTAATTTTGTATCATTAATCATTTTAATTTATTGATATCTGTATACTGACTTCACTGTCTCAAGCATTTTGAAAATTTGATCCATGAATAATATAATTTTTTGTAACTAATGCCATATTAACCTTTTGAAAATGTGATACCTAATTAATTCAAATTCCAAATTTTAATTATGGGTCAACATTTAAATACTTGCTGTGAAAAATGTGTAGGCTTAGATTTTATAATTGAATATCCAGGTCAGTAATATATGTTGTACAGTATTTAGTGATATTAATATCAAATTCATCTAGCATTTCTGCATAAAAGGCTTTTTATGGACTTCTTCGTGTTTTTTTTATGAAGCCATTCTCATATATGATAATATCAGTTTTTTATAAAAAATAAATTCATAATAGAGCAATCCATGATTACACAAAAAAATACTTTATGGCAACTTAAAATGTCGTATTGTACTCAAAACAAATTTTGCCTTGCTTATTAAATATATAGCCTTTTTTTCACAAAATGAATCTCTTTCCTTAAACTTTCTCTTGAGGCTTGTAGAGAAAGAGTAGTGTTTGCAGCAAATCATATAGACAACATGCCTGTTACCAACATCCTCTTTATGTTTACATTTTTTGAGCAACTGTTTTTAAAAGCCGTCCTACACTTTTTGTTTTTGAAGTTTTGCTGTGGCATTTATTGATTTTTTATTTACCTTACTATCAGTGTTTGGTTGGTTTTTAAAGATATTTTGTCTTCTTACTTTTAAAAATAATATTTTAAACATAGTTTTATATATATATACACCTAATCACATATACATAAAGTTAAATAAAACAGTTTAGTCCACAGTACCTCTTGTATTACCTATACTTTTTTCTACATCTGTTGACACTAGGTTTGTGTTTTGGTTACAAACTAGTTTAATAAACAGTTATTGTAAACTTTTGTAGTTCTTTTATTTTTTAAAAACATTTGTCGAGGTTGAAGTGTTTGGATTATTTAATTTAACATATAACTAATAATAAATGATGAAAAATTTGTAGTATTAAATCAATAGTTGAAAGGTAAATGTGTTGAGGGAAGGAGCAAAGGATAATTTAAATTCAAGTTATTTTATTTTATTTTCAGAACTAATATTTTTAAGTGTTTTAGTTTCTTTTCAAACTTTTTTTTAAATTTTTTATGTTCTTTAGATAAGGAATAATTTTTTAATGAAATTTCAAACATGCTTTGTACTCCCTACTTTCTTATATTACCTTATAAATGCTAGCTGTCTGTAAGCAGAAGTTAGCTATTAATAACAAGGTTTTCAAAAAAAATATTTTATTATAATCAACGTCAATCAAAATATTTTCCAGGACAATCAATTTTTGTTAGATTTGTTATTAAGAAACAAAATGTTTGAATAGCAGAACAACAATGTAACCTAGTCAATTATTTTATTGTTGATATTTTACTTTATAATACTAGACCTAGATATTTTTAGATACTAAATATGTATTTTATTTCTATAGGACTATAGATACAAATTAAAAAATCATTATATGTGAATCTGAGCTAACTAAGAAATTAAAATTATTTTATAAGCATTCCTTAAAATATTAATTAATTGGGTTCAGTAATTGCTTGATAGTACAGACAAGTAAAAACATTACTCTTTTTAAAAACTTAGTTATTTCTGTTATTCTCTTATAAAAACATTACTCTTTTTTTTTTAAATTATTTATTTATCATTTATGTAATGGTCTTCTCTTATGTATTAATAGTTTCATCATTTTCTCTGGTTCTTTTTATTGATGCATTCCTGGAAGCTCTGTGATTCATGTCTGATTGTTAGGGCTTAATACTCACACCAGCAGCTGCCCACTTAAGTGTAGCAAACACTAGATGCTGATCTGTGGTTTGTAACAAACAGTAGATGGTCTGTGGTTTGTAACAAACAGTAGATGGTCTGTGGTTTGTAATAAACAGGAGATGGTCTGTGGTTTGTAACAAACAGGAGATGGTCTGTGGTTTGTAACAAACAGTAGATGGTCTGTGGTTTGTAACAAACAGGAGATGGTCTGTGGTTTGTAACAAACAGTAGATGGTCTGTGGTTTGTAAATAACAGGAGATGGTCTGTGGTTTGTAACAAACAGTAGATGGTCTGTGGTTTGTAACAAACAGGAGATGGTCTGTGGTTTGTAACAAACAGTAGATGGTCTGTGGTTTGTAAAAAACAGTAGATGGTCTGTGGTTTGTAACAAACAGGAGATGGTCTGTGGTTTGTAACAAACAGTAGATGGTCTGTGGTTTGTAAAAAACAGGAGATGGTCTGTGGTTTGTAACAAACAGGAGATGGTCAGTGGTTTGTAACAAACAGGAGATGGTCTGTGGTTTGTAACAAACAGGAGATGGTCTGTGGTTTGTAACAAACAGTAGATGGTCTGTGGTTTGTAAAAAACAGGAGATGGTCTGTGGTTTGTAACAAACAGGAGATGGTCTGTGGTTTGTAACAAACAGGAGATGGTCTGTGGTATGTAAAAAACAGGAGATGGTCTGTGGTTTGTAACAAACAGGAGATGGTCTGTGGTTTGTAACAAACAGGAGATGGTCTGTGGTTTGTAACAAACAGTAGATGGTCTGTGGTTTGTAAAAAACAGGAGATGGTCTGTGGTTTGTAACAAACAGGAGATGGTCTGTGGTTTGTAACAAACAGTAGATGGTCTGTGGTTTGTAAAAAACAGGAGATGGTCTGTGGTTTGTAACAAACAGGAGATGGTCTGTGGTTTGTAACAAACAGTAGATGGTCTGTGGTTTGTAACAAACAGGAGATGGTCTGTGGTTTGTAACAAACAGGAGATGGTCTGTGGTTTCTAATTAACAACTATGGTTTTGAGAAGCTAAATATATGTACATGAGATGTATTGTTACTAAAAATCCTTATTTGGAAAATATCCTAATTTTTTTTTAAATCTTCATTTTTAAACTGTTTAAAAAAAATCAAATACCAAATAATGCTAATTAAATTTTATCTTAATTTTTTTTTATCTTAAGAAATTATTTGATATGATGGTATTGGAGAGGGCTTAGCTAAGAATAACATTCTGTAATTTTTTTTTGCTATTACCTATAAAGGAATAATGGGTTTTTTTTAGTTTTTAAATCTATTTTTTCTTGTTTTTACACAATTTAGGTATTACAAATTATGCAGTATAAATTAGGATATGATTTTTAAAACAATAATTAACAATTCTCATTTATTAGTTGTTTGGATCTGTTGAAAGCTAAATTGCATGGTCCACTTGAATTAATTGAAAAGTATATAAAACAATACTTTCCTTCCAGCCATAATTTTTGGTTCTTGATATTGAAGTTCCTCTTTCTCAATATTGCTTACTCCAATTCATTTGTTAAAATATAGAAAATTATAATTGACTACACAAAAAAGTTATGAAATGAATTTAATCAAAGCTTTTTATGTTTTTAAATAGCTAATTTTTTTTTCACAAATCAAAACTGGTTTTTTAAAGTAAATCTATGCACTATAATACTTGTTTTACTTCTCTAGAAAATCAAAGCACTACCAAAGTTTCATATCAGAGCTGTTGTTTAATAGCTGGATTTCGAATCAATACAGTTTTGTAAACCACCATAGAATTGTGTTTTCTTATTTATTTTTGTGTGCAGGACTAAAAATAACTAATTTCTTTGTCTCAATCTGCCACAATTATTCACTGTCTTAATGTCATAATCTATCACTACCCTAATGCTTCAATCTCTCACTGTCTTAACTGCTATTTACCTGCTATATATCTATTTACATTGTACAAAACCAAAAGGCCTTAACATCAGAGTGCATTTACATTTTAGCAGTATAAAAGTAAAAAAACTAGGACCAGTGATTTTGGACTATTAAGAAATATTTTATTCAACTTGACATACAATAAAACATCCATCAAAATATATGTATACAGACTAGATTCATAAGTTAAAAGTTCAACATCAACAATTCATTAAGATATGTAAAATACATGTTAAATCTATTCAATGAAAAATCCAAAGTTAAAAATAAAACTTCACAGCAAAGCATTGATATATATTGTTAAGCATTAAAAAACCAGACAAACATAAACAGGTTTGCTTTATATCATTCAAGTTTAAGTGGGGGAGGGTGGTGATCATTTTAAATCGGTCACAACAATTTAAAAAAATATGTTTCTGATAAAATGGTTTTAAATATCAATAATACAAATTAAATGAAAAATGGTCAGGTGGTATTCTACATAAATCCTATGTTGTTTCTGTTCATGCGAGGTGGGAGAGATTTGATACTAAATTTGTTCTTGGGCTAAACCTACTCATTTATGATCATAACCTTGTTACAATAAATTATATTTGCTAAATGAGGTAGCAGTTTAAAATCTTTAATTTAATTAACTTTGTTATTATTTTTTTTTAAATATCACTGTTAAAACTTGATTTGTTAAAAGTGAAGTAATCTCGAACAAAAACAGTTCCTGTAGGAAAAACAAAGCGTTAAAATCTTGACAGTATTATTAGTGATGATCTCTTCAAGATACTTTTTAGCTTGAATTCTCAATAAACAAGTTTTTAAAGTGATCAAAACTTGTCTATTACACAAATAAAAGTTACACTTAAAAAAAATCAACACAGAAATAAGTTTAACTACAAAAGTTAAACTAACTAAATCAACAACAAAAATGTAAAACAAAAAATACTTTCTACAGCCTTTTACAACTCCTTAGTTGTAAGGAAGTTTATTTTTTTTACAATTAATTTCAATATCAAAGTTATTTGGTATTGTTAATTTACAATAATGTATTCAGAGAATATATTCTAACAATCCTTTAATTTAATAGTGCAAATGCTGGTAAACAACAAAACATCTAAGAACACACTTCAATACTATAAACATTATGAATAGACCCCTAGTTTGTTAATAAAATACAAATGCTCATATATGTTATAGAGGATCATTGACAAACTCAATCTAGTCAGAAGTTAATTTGAATACACACATAAACCAAATTGGCTTTAACTGTTTTTTGTCCCATACAAAAAATACATTGAGCAAAATCTGCTGAGACTTGCAATTTTCAATAATCATGAAATATGACAACACTGTGATTAAAACTGATTTACTTGTATTTTTCACAACATTTTTTTATTGGATATCATGTTCCATTAAATAACATTATATTACCTAAACATAAAACCTTTTTGGCCTTACCTAGACAGGAAAAGTTAACCCAATAAAAAAATGGAAATTTTCTGGGGTAAAAAAAGAATCATTGCACTACCAAGAAAAAGTTGAAAGGGCCACTTAACAGCAGGCAAATTTGTGGCATGGTTACAAGATATTATATTGTCAGGTCATACAGAAAATAAAAACATTAACTTTAGAAGAACAAATGGAACAAGTTACAATAGAGCTAACATCCTTCATAGAAAAAATTATTGAATAAAACTAATATAAGCAGTTGATAATACATTTTTTTTTTTCATTTATAATGCAAACAATTTGTTAATGAATGGATGTTAAAATTAAATGTTTGCATAATTTAAATACAATCAAATGTATAATAAAAAAATTTATAAAAAAAGAACACACAAAGCAGAAATGAAGTAGAAAAAAAAAAATAAAACAATAAATATCACAAGTAAAAAAATTTAGGATATGGCAAGAAATGTTTCATAATTGTCACAGCTCAGAAATAAATAGTTGAGTGGTTTTTTATAAAGGTTTTGTGATGCAATAAGATTTATCTAAATTAAAAGATTTATATTACATTATCTTAAACCTGTGGTTTAACCTAAATTTATTTAATGTATTTTTTTTTAAATACAAAACTTAAATATTATAGATCTATATTGATTTAGTTATCTTTTAACTTTATTCAAAACGAATTTGATAATCAGTTTTATGTAGTTTAAAAAATCCACCAGTTTTTAGAAAGAAATATTCAACAGTCTTTGTAATATTATCTTTCAAAATACTTTAAAAGGAACTATATAATAATGTGTTGTTTTATTATTTGACAAAACTATCTATATCAAAATAATTGTCATAATAATGTTTATAAACTAAAAAATTATAATCTTAAACATCAGATCATAAAGGTGGCAATTATTTAATATTAGATACTCACATGCAGGATGTTACATTTCAACTACAATCCGGTCTTAAATTAGCTATTCAAGATACAAAGTTCACAACTAAGTACAACTTTGCTTGAGTGCTACTATCTTAAAATTATTTTCAAAACCTGGGACTAGAGCCAACCTATGACATTTATGCTAGGTATACATCAACAACAAATGCTTAAGCTAAGAAGCCCTTCAAACTACAAGACAACATGTAGAGTTTTAATAGTCAGAACTTAGGTGACCAGTTGACTATTAACTAAATTAACTATTGACTAAATCAATAAGGCACCACTTTGACTCTCATCAAAATGTTGTTTTTAAATGATAAACACAAAATAAAAAGAGCCAAGAATGTGCAGTGAAGAAAAAATAAAGAGTAAAATCTTGGTAAAGATTGCACAGAAGATTCAGGTAGTTGATCAATAAAAAAAAAGGTGTAATCAATGTCATTAAAACAGAAGGAAACTTTGGTAAGTATTCACAGGTATGACAAGAAAACAAATAGGTATTAAAGCATACTTAAAGCTATAAGAAATTAAATACAGAGAGTCAGTAATTGAACCATACTTTTGTTTATGTTTTTAAAAGTGTTTTAATTCAGCTGTTGGGAAGACAAGATGGAAAGTTTTATAGATTGATTAAGTGGAGCAGTCCCCTCTAGCACAGCACACACCCTATAACAACTAGGGACAGGTGGAGTGGAGTTCATGTACAGTAAAACATGACACAAAGTTAACTAAGAAGATATAACATGATAAACTGGGTGGTCAAAAGTTTGAGTGTAACCCTAACTCATTTAGGTTTAATCCTAATCCTGGCTGATTTAGATTAGAACAAGGAAGTGTGAAAGCAGTAACCTAGTTATCTTTTTTAACCATCCCATTCTCTTGTCAACAATAATGTAATCCTTTTATCATGGTTTTTAAAAAAATATTATAGCTCTTTCACTATTATATTTTAAGCCATTCCAGTTAGTTATTTCCTCCAGTTTTATCCCAGAACATTTAACAAGATTGTAATCAACTGACAAGAATTAGAAATTAGAGTAGAGAAAATTGTTATATTTTGCAACCAAAATAAAAAAAATTCTATTTTAATCTACAAAATTAAAACAGAAAAGTGTTGTTTTTTTTTTTTATCTACAGATAGATTCATTGTACAGAAAAAGTTATTTAAAACAACATAACTAAGAAAAAAAATTTTTTTACTGCATATTAGGTAATGATGTCCGCAGATAAAAGACAAGCCTCATTTTTATTTATTTACAAAGTTAAGTGGTCATTTCAACAATAAATACTTTAATTACTTTAATTACTTTTATTTTGAAAATTCTAAGATACTGATTAGATTATAACAATACAACGTTGGATGCTGTCTGTTTGCCATAAACTTTCTACCTGTAGTGAAATAGTAAAAAATGCTGGGTATAAGGGAGCACAAGGGGAATGTAAGTTCCATTGTGTGTAAAAAAATTTATGCGAGCCATTGTTTTAACCAGTAAAAAACTAAATGCCCCTATGCCCCTTCATATTAACTAATTTTCATCCTTTCATAAATATCAGAGCTTGAAAAAATGTTCCTGAAAACAATAACTTGCCTTGCCTATTTTGTCTCTATGTTTTTAAATACAGCTACAGCTAACTCATGTAACAAGAGGGGCAAAAAGTAAGCACAAATTTACACAAAAATTGAGGTTAAGTGTTGAATTATTATAAATACCTATTTGTTTGATAGTTGAATTTGATATCAAATTATGTCAAGTCTTCTTAAACAATAATGAAGTTTAAAATCACCCTACTCAAGTCACAAAACCAATAAGTCCAAAGTAATTTATAGGATACTGACAGAAATATCAAGAACTTACTAAATTTAAATAGATATGAATTTTTAACTTTTTAATCTGTAGAAACTTATGTTGTATTTATTTCTTTGTAATGTATTGTTACTAGTAGTATTTTGTATTTTTGTGGTATTAAACAAGCACATTTTACTTCATCCAAATTTTGTGTGAACCATCATATCTGTCTCCAACCTTTGTATGCAACCAAAAAAAAAAAAAGAATGAACATGGATCTACAATACCAAGTTTACAGATTTTCTCCACAACAGAATTTTAAAAAAACCAGCAAGTTAACTGTCTTGTAAACTAAAAACACCCTCCTGAGCTTTGTTCACTTTACAAAGTCTTTACAGAGATCATAAAATAACCAGAATAATTTTTTTTCCAAGTATGTAAATATATACTCCTTGTAGTAAAAATTAGGAGATAAATAAAAGAAAGTTAATTGAACAAATATTATCTTTCAAAAATATCTTCAGCAAATAAAAAAAAATTATCTTTATAATAAGAATATGATAGCTTATTTGTATTTTAATAATGTATAGAATTAAAATTCAAAATAAATACAAAATATCTGAAATATAAATGTACAAGTATAAAGTACCCATATGTTTCAATTAATCATATGTATAGTGTCCAATCTTTCTTATTGCTAATTCCCTTTATATTCACAAACTACCTTTAGTAAAGAATTAATGGAACACGTCTAAAACTTAAAAACAAAAACTTGTGCAATCAGTGCAAATCTTACTTCCAGCAAAGCTCAAAACAGTAAAATCAATAAGAAACCAGGGTTTTTTAAAAAAAGCATTGTTCATAGCTATTACATTACAATATAAAATAAATTAATTTGTAAAAAATATACAGCTTTAAAAAAGAATGCAATATCACAGATCAATTCCCCCAGATAATTTTTTTTCATAAAAAGATTATCATTAGATTCTCTTTACAATACAATGAATGCTTGTAACATGATTTCTATTTGAAACAGATTAATTACAACAGTTTGAGAAGAATTACATTTTTTTAAAAAGGGGTAGGGGAGTGTCAGGGTTACAAGAAAAAAGTAATCAAAATCTGAGAACACAATAAGTAAACACTAGATCATCAAAATTAAATCCAGTTGAATTACTGAACACAAAAACAAAGATGTATAAAGGGAATTATTTAAATCGGGGGTGAAAATAAGGTAGGTTATGGTGGTTAAAATGCTTTACAATCAATACAAATTTTAAATATTGATATTCTAATGAAGAGGTTATTTCATGAGATGAAATGTAAATCAGCCAATACACAAAATGTACCATGATAGCTAGAATTTTTAAAAATGTCCCCAAATTGTGTAACAAAATGGTAATTGTAACAAGTATCAACTTTTTCTAAAAAGTAAGTGTTTAAAGTGTTTTCAACAAGGTTAGACAAAAAGCAAGGAAAAACTTTTTAAAGCAGTTGCTTAAAACCATTGTCTAAAAAGTATAAATTTGGTTGAAATTAGTCACTTATATGACCAAATATAAAATAAAAATTCTATTCCATTAATAATTTGTCATAGGGTTAATACTTTCTGGCTAGCAAATCATGACAAAGTTCTGGTTGCCATAATGTTTTATTATACTTTGAATTTCAGTCTACAAATGAGGAGTCACAGATTGAGTCTAGACATTTTAGCTGATCTCACAGCCCTTCGTGTGATAAACTATGTTTAAAGCCTATACAGAAATGGAAATAATTTAAAACCTCTGCCTATTGTAAAATTAGATTAAAATCTAACACTTTATAACAACAGCTATTTTAACCAGACAGGCTTTGTAAATGATAAGCGAAATACCCATGAATAAGTCCATGTAAAATATTTACACAACAAAGGAAATACAATTTTAGTCTAACATGCTTGAAGAACTATCATAAATGGGTTTCTTGTACAGTGGAGCTATCATGGTTTAACAGGACTGCATTGGTATGACTTAAATTGTCATGTTTGTTGGAGTTCTCATGGGCTGAGCTAAGTAGCGGTGATGTTTCAAGGTTTGAACTATTCCAGTCCTGGGAGTGCTTCAGTACACTTGAGTCGTTCAAGACAGGAGATGAAGATTTAATGGCAGAATGCAGATCTTTAGAATGGCGGTCGTGGACAGCGGTATCAGAGTTGTGTAGCCCAGGGATGATTGTACTGCCACCGAACGACACGGACTGTTTGTGAGACTTGCTCTTAGTAGCCGGGGAGGGGGATATAGGATCTGCTGGGGTCTCCTCCTCTGCTTTCATCACATCTTCTGATGTCTCTTCTTGCAGAGTGCACGCCGACTGACACAGTCTGACTTTATCTTCTTCTGTCTCAAACACCTCCAGGGCATCGCACAGATGAGCTATGTCTCCCTGTTCTGCTGACCTCTTCATGCGAGGCAGCTGTTTCTTGTTGTCTAGGAGGTTGGACTCTGACTCAGCATGGGTGAAAGGTTTCTTCTGGCTGGGCTTAGTTTTGTCCAAGTTTTCCTCACTGTTGGTCACTAGGCTGGTATCGCCTGTGTTATCCAATGTTTCATTCTCATGAATATCTAAATTATCAAGAGGGTCTACACACGGGAATGAATTAAACCGTAAAGGGGGGTGGAAAGCGTTGTGAGGGTATCCTATCCCAGCTTGAGAATAATAAACATTGGGATGGCCGTATTCATGCTGGTTGGACTCTGATGGGGAGTGGCGGGTGTAGTCATCCAGCAGGCCCCTCCCATCTTCACTCCCATCATCCCCACCATGTGACCCCCACCCGATTATAAGTCCAATACTCTCAGGTTTTATCATTTGAGCTGATTCTTCTATACACGACAGATGCTGGGGGTCCTCAGATCTGACTTGCTTTTGGTGGGAAGGGCTGACAAAGTGCGTGTGGGATGAAGGTTCCAGTACAGCGCTGGTTCCATTAGTTTCCGTGGCAGCCTGGTCCCCTGATGTTTTGGCGGGAGCAGACGCTTTATGATTCTGCTTGATCATTTCATTCACTACATCTGCCTTAACACTTATTGTATTCCCAGACCTCAGCTTTACATGATACTCATCCGGCTCCTTGTTGTTGCCTAGTTCTACATCTCTGTTGTTGGTGGAACTGTTGTGCGGATGTTTGTTTTTCCTAGAATTGGGGGAAGAATTGCTTCTTTGTGACGACGTTCTTACACCTCTCTGGACTGAAACAACGTCATTCTCTCTCAAGATTTCACTCGGACTGTTCATAGATTTTTCAGCACATTTATTTAATGACTGACGCAAGTTGTCCCTGCCAATCGGGTTGGAGTTTGGATTGAAGACGGCAATCCCTGAAGCCATGGAGAGAGTCTCAGGGCTGGCAAGTGGAGCTTTGACCAGCTCCTCAGTCTCACTGTTAGGCAAGCCAAACAGCATGGAATCATCCACCTCCTCCATGAAGACTTCATTGACCCCCAGGTGGCTGTCCTCTGAGCCCCTGACGTTGTTGATGTCCACAGAGCTACCAGCCTCATCACTTGGGGTTGCCTGAGAGGAAAATGAATGCTGATTCAGCATTCTCCGCCTCTCATCTTCAGTCAGTGTGTGCACAGGTTTCTGTGGGGCTTTCTTTTCTACTACCTGAAATTTTTAAAAATGAATTTCAAGTAAAAAATTGTTTGTTTTAATAAATAAACAATTGCTAACCCAAAAGGCTTAACTTTAAATCAGTAGAATCTTCCTGAGTCCACCCAGCTCTGATGGATACCTTACTAACATTAGGGAAAGTAAAAGCACCTGGGTATAGTGCTGACACTATCCTTTCATATGCAGAATTCTATTTCACTTGCACCATGGATCTTCATGTTCAAAAACTTTTTTATTTATACAATAGGAAAACAAAAGTCCTGGGCAGATTATGTATAGTTTATCACTATGAAGCATAGCCACCTTTATTTTCTTCACATTCGAGCTGTTATTGGACATAAATCTAGAACTAAGTTTTTTACATTTGGATTGCAAACCATTTGTAAATAAAATAGTCAATCCATTTAATCTAATTTTTAAGAATATTTTTTAAAATATAACCAATATTTGATTTTTAAGGAACTTGGTGAGACAATATCAAGATAAAGATTTTAGAGTGAGAAAATTTTGTAGCAGTAATAATGGGGAGGATGTGTAAATGTTCTAGATGAAAGCAGGAAGAATGTGTGGACCAACTTTTTGTAAGGCATCAAGAACTTTATGGGAAGGAAGTATTAGATGAAAGTTCTAGATGAAAGCAAGAAGAATGTAAGGCATCAAGAGCTTTATGGGAAGGAAGTATGAATGTTCTAGATGAAAGCAGGAAGAATGTGTGGACCAACTTTTTGTAAGGCATCAAGAACTTTATCAGCCATGTGGTCAGCCAGCATGGTAGGTGAGATGAGGACCTCATCAAAGTCTCCATTATTGGCCCACACAGCTTGGTAGATGTAGTTGGAATCATCACAGGCACCTCTGGAATGGTTAGACAATACTAAATTACAAAGGATAGTTACACTCTCTAATATGAAAACATACACTGAACATACCCATATTCTTTTTTTGGTATCTCAAAACCTTGAAGTGTGTGGTCAATCTTATATAATCTTAATACATTTTGTCCAATTTAAACTATGTAAAAACTAATATATAGATATATATGTTATAAATAAATGTTTTAAAACCAATTGGCAAAATAAATAAAGTCTAAGTGATTGCACAGACCTTGTATTTTTGTCAGTCAGATGACTTCTAACAACATGAATCATCTGGCCAGGTGGGTAGAGAGGAAGGTGAGCTGACAGCCCAATAGCTGAGTTACTAGGGTGAGCTGTAACATCTCTCTCTAGCATTTCTTTAGCCAGATTGCCCTCTTGTTTCCTCCCACAGCACATTAACCCTTTGGTTATTATCTTCCACTGAAAGTACAATCACTTGTTTCATTCAACATTCAAATGTAAAGACTGAGATTTAAGCCTACTTTGTATTATAGGAATGAATGTAACTTTATTTTTGTGCATTAGTTTTGTGGGCTTTAGTACTGAATATCTTCCTGTGTATGTTAGCATTGAATATCTTACTTAAAGCAAATCTATATATATAATTCTCTTCTGGGAGCCGTTAGAAAACAAGCTGCAAGCGCGCCTTACAGTCCCCCCTCTTCCTCTCTATTGCTACCACCCCCCACCCCCTCCCATGGTCTGGTGAGCTGTGGTTCACGCTGTTTACATTTTACAATCATAGAGATGTGTTTGGTGACGGCTATTAAGGGCAGATAATTTAGTTTGAAACTATTTTAAACTTAGAGGAGGTAACTAAGAGGAGGCTGCTTTCACGTGGGGGGGAAAGGGGGGGTTTAGTGTTTTTAAGCAAATATTTTCAGTGGCAGCATTGGTACTGTCGAATTCACAAATTATAAATTACTGAAAAGTAGAAAAAAAAAACTAAATAGCGGCATATGATACACAGCGGGTTGGCTCGTTCTATGTATTAGTATTGTGTGTGTAAGTACTGAATACCTTACTTCAACATGCTCTGTGCATTGTGTGTTTAGTATTAAATATATTACTTTAACAAGTTCAGTGTAATAGTATTGTGGGTTTTAGTATTGAATATCTTACTTTAGCATCAGAACTGTTCTTGATCTGGTTAAGAATATCAGCTCTCAACATTTCCAACTGTGGGAGTCCAATCCTATCATCAAAATATTAAAATATTAATTACAACAGATAGATGCTACTGTGGATAAATAATAAAGACTTTACAAAATTAATTTCACTAGTATTGTAAACACAACTAACAGAAACATCCTCTTAAGATTCTTTATGATAAAAATTGTTCAGTGTCTCTAATTTATGGAACATTTTATTAGTTAGATCACGTCATGATATTAAGAGTGTTCCCTTCATACAGAGAGTGTATAAAAATATCACCTATGGTAACCACAGGTAAAGGTGAGAAAAAAAGTTATCTTACCTCGGAACACAGTCTTTCCCAACAACAACTGAGGTTATAAAATATTTGGTTTCTTCAACACAAGTTAATCTGGGGATACAGATAGAATCATGTTAGCTTTATTTACTCTACCTTGATTAAAACACACAAGACATCACTTTAGCTGGGGCAAATAGATACAATGTTGTAATGCTCAGAGATATTAAATTTTTTTTTACAGTTCTTTGAAAGTAACACAAAATATTTCATGTCAAAAGGGAATTTGCATATATTGATATAATATTGCAAAGAATAATATTTTAAAGTTCTATGATAGTAATACAAGGTATTTCATTTCAAACTGTGAATAATAATTCAATGGTGTGATTGTGAGAGCTTTTTTTTAAACAGTTTTCGAAATATTTGTTAATATTAACTCAGCGTCAAATCTATTATTTAGTGACGGAGCATTTACTGTTCTTTGGTTTGATAATTTCACTGGAGATTTGAATAATGCATAGTTTTGCTTGACCCTTGCTTGATAGTAACACTAGATATTTCACATCCTTGTGTTTTCCTTTAATGTCTTGAAACCACTTTGGTTAAAATGGTACAACAATTGAAATCAATAGCAACATAAAAGTACTCTCTTTTTAATGTAAAAAGATTGATGTTTAAACTAGAGTAGGGCATAAAATAAGTCAAAGTTCATAATATAAGTGGAAACTAAAGTGGGAAAAAACTCAATCAAGAAAAGGTTAAACCAGATATGAGGCTATTAATTTTGTCTCAACATAACAGTAAACCCAGGCAACTCTGATTTATTACTTCCCTTAGTTATTACAGCAAGGTCAAGGCAAAACAACAATTTTAAAAAGAAAGATGGTCTATCTTATAACCTTATTTTTATAAAAAAAACAGAAATGGCCCAGTTAATGTCATCACAAAAATCAATACTGATTACACTGTCTGGCTAGTTGATGTAAACACAGTTCCGCCCTCTTTATCAGACTAATTGTCAAGTAGTGTTTTTTTTTTTAATGTATTATCAAGCCAATCTTTAAAACCTGGACTTTGTGAGAACCATAGGAAATATATTCATTTAATCAACAGCATTTAAGTATAGGAAACAAGTTTTATTAATTCAATCAATAGTGTTATTCTTGCATCAACAGACCTCCAGGTGGTTTGTAAACGTAACAGTATGCCTGAAATGCCAGCACCCAGGGAGTGGCCTGCTAAGACTATTTAAGTATAGGAAACAGGTTTATTTATTGAGTCGATAGTGTTGTTCTTACGTCAAAAGACCTCCGGGTGGGCTGTAAGGACTATTTAAGTATAGGAAACAGGTTTATTCATTGAATCAATAGTGTTGTTCTTACGTCAAAAGACCCCCGGGTAGGCTGTAAGGACTAATTAATTAAGTATAGGAAACAGGTTTATTCATTGAATCAATAGTGTTGTTCTTACGTCAAAAGACCTCCGGGTGGGCTATAAGGACTATTTAAGTATAGGAAACAGGTTTATTCATTGAATCAATAGTATTGTTAACGTCAAAAGACCTCCGGGTGGGCTGTAAGGACTATTTAAGTATAGGAAACAGGTTTATTTATTGAATCAATAGTGTTGTTCTTACGTCAAAAGACCTCCGGGTAGGCTGTAAGGACTATTTAAGTATAGGAAACAGGTTTATTTATTGAATCAATAGTGTTGTTCTTACGTCAAAAGACCTCCGGGTGGGCTGTAAGCGTAGCAGTGAAGAGTTGGGTAGTCAGCGTGTAGCAGTATAGCCAGGATGGCTGCAGTGCCTGCCCCTAGGGAGTGGCCCACTAGGACTAGATCATACTTGGAGGTGTCCCTTTCCTGTGTAAGCATCAAAAACATCTTGAATCAATTATAAAAGGTCTCATAATGTATTTAGTGGTAGCAGCTCCGTCAGATATAATGATCAAGGTTTTTAAAAAAAACATTATTCCTCTTTGTGAAAGGATAAATAAAACTTCAACAAATTCCTTTAGTTCTATTTTTAATAACCTGAAACAAATATTTTGTAGCATGCTCTATAATCTATATCAAATCAAAGATTAGCAAGCCCAAGGATTTATTTCAGTAATGAATACCTCATTTAAAGCATGCTAAAAATCTATCTAAAGTAAGAGATAATATTTCAAACACTATTGTAAAAATTATGCAACTACAAATAATTTTGAGAGGGCCATCAGAAAGAAAGATAATGTGGTGAATAAATGTGTATACATCTCATTTCTCTACATCATTTTAATGCTTTTAATAGAAATAATAACTTTAATTACAGTAAGTTAATTAATATAAAACTTAACAAACTAAACAGCAGTTATAATTTACAGCATGATTTTAAAAAAGCATCAGTAAAGTACAAAGTATTTTTTTTTTAAATGTGTTATTTTTTAACTTAAACATGTTTACAAGATATTCTTATATTCTTATAATATAGGATGCATTTATTTAAGAGGTTTCAGTTTATGAAATACATTACTATTATATGCTAGACTTGACCAAATATTGAAAAATTACATAGTGGAACAAGACTACTAATAACATGTTTTCAGTACTAACAGTTAACAAAACAAAACATAGTTTTAACATTACAATTCAGACATTCTAAGGACTGCTAACATCAGCATGTCTCCCGTGTACACATGGACTGATGATGCAGCAAGTATTTGTTAACAGATGAGGAAGCATGCTGGAAGTGTTTCAGTTCTTCTGGAGGAATCAATACCAAACATTGACAGGGCTGATGACAATGCTATTGTACCTGTCTGATCTAGCAATCAATAGTGTGATACACCAGTGAGATTAGTCCTTGTCCTTATTACATTTTTAATGGCAGAGCTAACTAGGGCATATTCTCGTTGGTTATTCAATACCTACAATAATTTTAATACCAACTATAATTTTAATGCCAATCAACTATTGATGTTTGAATTGTCTGTACAATTTAAAAAAAGGTTTTAAAACAAAGGTTGAAGGTATTTTATTTTTAAAATATATACATAATTTTTTACACATATTTATTTATGAAGCCTGACACAGTCTTTATGTAGATAACACCATCACAGTAGGGGAGATGCTGACATTTCACATTAAAGCATTTGGCAACAGAAACAACATGCACTAACACATACCTAACATAAGCACAACTGCTTCATTTTTTTGTACATACAAAATCTTTACATTATCTGTCTTTATCATTTATATATATTTGAGCCAATACTGAGACAGTATTTCTCTATGTTTATTAATTAAAGGACGATGGCATAGAGAGGCATATAGTATGTTTGTAATGTACGAAGACTTTGAGTTGTAATTGTCCTTACACTCTTTGGTTACACTTTTGTTTTACTATTTATTCTGTTTAAAAAAAACATGCATTCTTAAATATCGTCCCCACATATTAAATTACATTTACTATGTACAAAGAACATCACTGGGTTTCCAGCTAATGCTTCTGTAACACAAGTATCTAACATGTTTGTTATGTAAAAATAATCTCAGATGCTAGAGAGAGGATATTTTTATTTATAATAAACTTTAAAACAGAATTTTAACAAAAAGCCTATTTGTTAGACAAAAAATATTTCACGATGATATCAGACTAGATTGCACATCACTGAAATTAAAAAACCTTAACTTTTGAATAGAGAAATATTTTAAACAAAGTTAAAAAATGAGTATTTTTTTAAATTAAAAAAGCATCATACTACTTAGTAAAAAGCTAAGTGAAAACTCTGTATTCAATTTTTCACTAGATGACAAATTGCATAGTGAGATAAAAAGGATCTTTAAAATCTATTCTTATTATTGCACAATAAGAAACTTTACTTTTGCATTTGGAATAAGTGCAAGTAAAGTTTACTTTCTTATAAAACAAATGAAACATTGTACTAATACCAAAATAGGTGCATCTAATATGTAGCTTGCTGTTCTGGGTAAATTGCAAAGGATGAGAGTAAAAAAAATTGAAAATTACCGATTTCAACCAGTCTGAACTTTTAGAAAAAGCCTTGCAAATTTGAAGATATGGAACAATTTATTAATATATTGGTGCAATTTTGAATGCTGTTTTTTTTTTATGCATACATTTTATATTTCCATGATCAATTCTAAAATTGCATTCCTTTTATTATTATCTAGACATTCCATTGGGGAAAACTAAAGCCCAGACAATGAAATAACAGGACAAATAAGATTAATTTGGAAACTGAATGCTCACACTGTACAGGAGCATGCAGACAATCTAACAAACAAATTTGTGTGTACATATGTTCATGGTTTTTATAATAAAATTAAACAAATGCCTAAATTTTCGCCCCTAAAAACAAACAACTCATTATTAAAACTTAGGGAATGGATATTAACCTTATTTTATATTACCCTTAAAAAGCTAGACCCTGACCTTTTCTAGTCGTGAGGAAAAAAAATTGCATAGTTGCTGATGACCTGAAACTGACCAAAGCACCTAGAAATGATCTAACACACACACACAGGTTGCTCATTTATTTTTTAAATAATACAAAAATGGTACTGGGATCTTATAGCAAAAATGTTAAGATAAAACCCAAAAATGTTCTCCTACATTCTTAATAAGGAAGGAGAATGAAGGAAGTTCTAGATGATATATTCTAAACTGTTATATATCTAACACAAGAAATAAATAATAATGCAGTTGTAAAAAAAAAAACAAGCTACCTCATCATTATCCCAAGCCATCTGTAGAATTTTGTCATCAATCAATTTCCTTTTTATGTATACAGCAGCCTGAATCATGCCCTGAAACACATCATTTATCTCTTGAATTATGACCTTGCTCTTATTGCAACACACATTCCCAACCAGTATTCCTAATATTTCTTAACTAATTTATGAGCTGCTCAGAAATGTTTACTAGAGTGATAGAATAAAAATATCAATTACTTTATGTCCCTGCCAGTCGTCTTTAGGAGAATCCAAAGGTAAAGTTTCTGGCTCTGCTTGAAGATCAGTTAAAACATCCTGTTTTTTGTTTTATTTAAATGTAACATTTTAATAAAGATGCAGTAAAAAAATATCAGTACATTAGGAAAATAAATCAACATCATTAGAGACCACTTATTGGGACAGTTAATAATGTAAATGGTTTGACAGACATTTACATTAATTATTCATTACAAGATGCTATTAAAGGCATGGGTGGGATTACATTATTCTTCTAAACTCAGCAGGAAACATTTAAATGTAGCAATTACCTAATTCAGTTTCTGATATATATTCTCAAAACAGGGATGTATATTAAATCCATTAAATGACCCTTTTTTCCTTAGCGGAGTCATTTTTCTAATTGCAATTAATTATATTGAGCTAATGATCCACGTTCTCCAATATCTAATAATATAAGCAATTGTTATTAAATACATTAGTGAGAAGAGCCATAACAATGAGCAATAAACTATGATCTTGCCTGTAGTGACAGAGTGCCTCTTATGGCAACCACAACCTTCTTGTATTCATGGTCAAGTGCAACAAAAAATGGGGTTTCTCCAATCTGCAATCCAAAGAAAAAAAAATTCCTCTAAATATATTATCCTATATCCTTTTAATTTTCCATCTCTATCCAGTCTATGCATGGTAGGTTTATACTTACAGCTACATGGTATGTGCAGTAGACAACATCCAAGGCTTCAAGACCACTGGTAGGTTTAGCAGTAGAAAAATTACACATGCAACAGTTGTCATCAACAATCATGGCTGTTTGTTCTTTTTTACAACAGCAGCACCTGGTGGGAAAGATTACATTTCTAAGTGGGTGCCATGTACACTCAAGTTATTGGTAAGTAAGTGTTGTAATTACATCACAGTGAAAAGAAAGAGTTTATGGTCCAAATGTGTTTAAACCATAGTTTATGGTTGTGAGTGTGATTAACCCACGGTTTATGATTGTGGAAAGGTTTATGTTTGTTACAATTTAGCCCACAATGGAATAATTTATATTTATGTGATTAGCACAAAGTCAAAGGGTTTATACTTGTGGGATTAGCCCACACAAAAAGGGTTCATACTTGTGTGATTAGCCCACAGTGAAAGGGTTTATACTTGTGTGATTAGCCCACAGTGAAAGGGTTTATACTTGTGTGATTAGCCCACAATGAAAGGGTTTATACTTTTGTGATTAGCCCACAGAAAAAGGGTTTATACTTGTGTGATTAGCCCACAGAAAAAGTGTTAATACTTGTGTGATTAGCCCACAGAAAAAGTGTTTATACTTGTGTGATTAACCCACAGTGAAAGAGTTTATACTTGTGTGATTAACTACTGTGAAAGGGTCAATACGTGTGTGATTAGCCCACAGAAAAAGTGTTTATACTTGTGTGATTAGCCCACAGTGAAAGAGTTTATACTTGTGTGATTAGCTACTGTGAAAGGGTCGATACTTGTGTGATTAGCCCACAGAAAAAGTGTTTATACTTGTATGATTAACCCACAGTGAAAGAGTTTATACTTGTGTGATTAGCTACTGTGAAAGGGTCGATACTTGTGTGATTAGCCCACAGAAAAAGTGTTTATACTTGTATGATTAACCCACAGTGAAAGAGTTTATACTTGTGTGATTAGCTACTGTGAAAGGGTCGATACTTGTGTGATTAGCTACTGTGAAAGAGACAATACTTGTAATGAAATGACCTACCCAATAAGAGGCAAGAGCCTGCAACACCAAGTCCCAGGGAACATCTTGACATAGATGGGCCAACCATAGACAGCCAGTGCATACTTCATGTAGTGTATGACTTTCTGGAAGTTGAACATAACCTCAGGCCGGCTCAGTTGGAGAAACCTGGTCTTTGGTGTAATGGGGACCCCTGATAGGAACTGGTACACATCGTTGCTTCCCTAAGGAAGGAGGAGCACCAAAGTTATTTATCAATTTTTTTTTTTAAATTTCAAGCTATAATGCTTTACTAATGTAGTTGAAATACAACACAATTTAATGCATTGGTTTGTATTTGCTTGTAATGAAGCTAATACCACCATTTATGAAATCCATAATTCACATCCCTTTTTAAAACTACAAGTGCTTAATGGGGATCTATTATCAGTTGTGAAAAGCAAGTAGCATTCAACAATTATGATGTGCATTTTACAGGTCAAATAAATGTGTGTGATTTACTTTGAACCTTGCAATCAAAGCAACAAATAATTACCATTTTCCCACTTCAGATTTCCTGGGAAATGTATCTCTCTCTAAAAAACATAGTTCTATATGTTAAATGAAGAAGTTTTACTATTTCTGTTTTATATTTCTTTTATACATATTTTAAAAACTTTTGAACTTTAGTCACTGTGAAAGTTCAACATCTATGATTAAATAGAAATAGAAAGTGGCAACAATAAAGACTTAACCAATCAAATGTAGTACTAAATAGAAAGAGAAACTGGTAATATTAAAGGATTAACAAAATGAATGACTTAATAGAAATTGTAAGCGGTAAAGAATGTTTGCCAATATATACTAGTGTTAAACACCTTTACAAGAGAGCTGCAATCATAAACAATCAAAATCATAAGCATCTTAGCATATGACTCAGGCTAATTAGCAATTAACCAAATCATTGGGGGAAAAACAAATGGATTCCTAAATGTTTGTGACAGCAAGAAAACCACACCCAAATCTCAAGGACCTGGGATACACAGCAAATGGGGTGGGGTAAACAAGCAAGATGGCCTTAGATTTAAAAACAGATTAGAAATAATGGCTGGAACCTTTTTAGGGGGAGATTTTAAAATCTAGGACATTTTTAGCCTCAAAACAATCAATAACATGTCAAAGTCACAAAAAATGGATATCCTACTTCACGCCTCAATAGGGGTATAGAAGGTGTACTTTACTTAACAGTATTGGCCTTAAACTAGTTTAAACTATCCCTTCAGTTCACATGCCAAGATTGTTACAACAGATAAAAATCTACGTATGCCCCCAAGGAACGTTGTCTATTAAGGGCACTTGAGTTAAATACTATGATGCCTGGGAATTAAAATAAAAAAGGTAATTTTCTAAAAACTTAAGTGTAAAGTAATATAACAAAATAATTATTAAATATTAATTAAACAATATATATTTACTCTTTGGGTGCTCTGAAAGAAGATACCTTGTGTTTATGACCTGATTAAAATGTTTTAAAGAAATCAATATTTAAAGATAGAGTACCAGTAAACAACGCGGCAGCCAGGAAAACAGTAACACAGGAACTTTAAGAAATAAGAGATGCCAACCTGAGAGATGATAGCATTCATTCTCTGCTGCTGGTGTCTCCGTAGCAACACAAGTCCAGCCACAATATCAGACGGCACAACATCAAGGTCTCGGAAGAAATCAGTAAACAGTGAGGCTATCTCACTCATTGAGTTCTGTGAAATTACATTAAGGTCTCTGTTAGCTCATACCAACCATCAAGTTCACAAAATCAGCTTGGTTAGAGTGGCAAATTAAATAGGTGGTGAAGGTTAAAAAGACATAATCCAGAAATAGATTCAGATGCTGGTACATTTACTGTAATAACCTACTGTTTTGGGTTACGTGGACATTTACTGTAAAAACCTACTGTTTTCTTAAAGCCTACATTTATTTCCAAACATTATCATATTACAAAATTAAATTATATATCAAATATACATTCTGTTACCAGCCCTTCCTTCAGATGTCTAATATTACAAATCAAACTTTATTCAAACATATATAATGGCAATTTTTTAAAACTTATACAAATTAAAGGGGAAATTTAATAGTTAATGTTAAAAAAAAAACACATTCAAGTAAGAGATAAAAAATGGATTTCTGTTTTGTGTGGTGACTAGAGAGTCAAGTGCCTGTCCAGGGGTCTTTGTTTCTGAAGTACAGAACCAACAAATAAAGTAATTTAACTGCGGCAACTGTACCCAAACACTCCCAGGACATGCTGGGTTTCCATTTGCTGAGGTCAATATTTCTCTACACACTTATTAGCCATTCGTCATTTTGCTTCTCTGATCAATTTGGTGAACTATTTTTTAATTCTCTTTCAAGGGATTTCCATAAAGTTCATAATGTATGGATTTTTTGGCATCAAATTCTTGCGGCCATAAAGGGGGCTTTGATCTTCCACACAGTTCATGAAATATGAAAGCAGAAGCTGATTAGACCATCTTAAATCAGACAAAGGCTTATCTATGTGAGCAATGCTCTATATAGCCAGAGTTGGGGAATAGAAAGGTGGGCAATGACAAGACTGACATATATTGGCCCTGGTTAGAATCAGGCTAAATCTACCAGAGAACAAAATACATTTTAAATTATATCTTCTGTATGTAGTATTTGTAGAGGTCTATATTGTTTTTATGTTGTGGTAAGGTTCATTATTCTGATGACTTGTTAAATAGATAGGCAATGAAAAATTAACATTACATAAACATAGCATGACGCAACATAACATGGCATTCACATAGCCATATCATGACATCAACATAACACTAGGATAATGTGACAAAATAACAAGACATAAGCATAACATAACATCAACATAACATGACATCAAAATAACACTAAGATAATGAGACAACATAACAATACATTAGAATTACATGACATCAACATAACAATACATTAGAATTACATGACATCAACATAACATGACATCAACATAACATCAACATAACATGACATCAACATAACATGACATCAACATAACATGACATCAACATAACATGACATCAACATAACATGACATCAACATAACATGACATCAACATAACATGACATCAACATAACATGATATCAAAATAACACTAAGATAATGAGACAACATAACAATACATTAGAATTACATGACATCAGCATAACATGACATCAACATAACATGACATCAACATAACATGACATCAACATAACATGACATCAAAATAACACTAATGAGACAACATAACAATACATTAGAATTACATGACATCAACATAACATATTTGTTTAATGCTGACCTACACTGAACAGTTTTCCTGTGAGGGATATAGATATAAGTCTATGTAGCCTAAATCCCACCAGAAACAGTCCCCAGTAACCACCAACTCCACTAAGTGACGTCTTGTCTCACTAAAAGAATCAATGCTGAACCCTTTTTCCCCCAACTCTTCCAACTCCGGCCCCTGAGACACCACTCACCAGTGGTCTTTTAACGGCATTTGTGAGCCTTACCGTATTCATCTTCTGCTGGTCACAACTGACCATCACGCGACAACCACCCCCATTTCCCGACATTCACGTCACGAATGCCCCCCTCCCCCCATATTTTAATCGCCGGTACTGCAGTCAATGTTGTTTTGCAAGACCAAGCCGCCTCACACACTCAATAGGGGTCTAATTCCCGCGTCCGGTCACGTGGCACGTCCCCCACACCAACAACTAATCTTACACAACAAGATTAAAACTATTGTGACTTGGCTGTCCAAAAAATAGGAGAATGAAAAAAATATGTGACTATTTTCAAAAAATAGGCGACGGAGTATACGGATAAAATGTGTGACTGCTTTAATTCACGGGGCACATTTAAACAGACTAGAATCCTATAAAGACGGAATAAACAGGTTAAAAATGGCAAAAAAAATTGACAAAATAACGACAAAAAAAGAGCCAAAGTTGATTGTCAGGATATTTTTTTCTTAAGGAGCATCATCTCCCTATTATGTCAACACCGGTTTGATGTGCCAGTTCTCAGTACTTGAACGCCGGCTAAGTCGGGCAGGCTATTCGATTAGGAAAATGGCCAAGAAAATGAGCAAGTTGTTGAATGTTTTGTGTATGGGCGAGTTAATAATTGAACCGGCTCACGCTACACTGGCTGTGTGTTGCGGCTACTCGTTTTGTATTGATCCACTCGTTCTATTTGATTCGTGCCCTCGTACAACCTTACACATTAGCCTGCTCTCTCTCTCTCTCTCTCTCTCTCTCTCTCTCTCTCTCTCTCTCTCTCTCTCTCTCTCTCTCTCTCTCTCGCACACACATTTTCTCTCATTCTTCATCCATCTTTCAATCCTGCCGTGTAAACCAGCATCCCAGTGGGTTTGGTATGCATTCAATAGCTATACAGTTTTAGTAGTCTATATAAAAATGGACAGTGGCATAGACGTGGGATTTAGGGTGGGGGAGAGTGTAACACCCCCTCCGCCCTTTCGCTCCCATGGATCACGAAAACGAAAGTTGAGTTACAGCTGTTGGCGAACGTGTGCTTGTTCCCTTTCGATTTACAATTTTAAAAATATTCACGAGAGTAATCTTTAAAAAAAAACACTCTAGCTTTGCTACGTTATACGATGTGTTCTATGTTTCGACATGAAAAAAATGATTATATGCGGTCCATTGACATATCCCATCATGCATGACGTTACAGATGAGTGGACACGCTACACATCCTGAATGGTGTGTGACACATCTGCAGACATTATACCACCGCCATGTACCGTTACAAATACACCGTGTATTCGCCTTCTTTTTATCTGAAATATCTCCTTAAAAACTGTAAATCAAGCCCTATATTTTTTTTCCAACAGCCACCGCACACGAAAATGTGACCTTTGAACTCTCCCCCCTAGCGGCTCCGGGGTCAGACCACCAACAGTCGGGCATCATGTGCAGCACGTCCCCAATCTGCGGTCCAGTGCCATGAAGAATGTCCGACATTGCGCCATGATTTATGTCTTACTTGATTATCTCCTTTATATTCCTTTACTCCAGCATAACCCGGGCCATATGATTTTCTCATCACTCTTACCACCAGCAAACCGGCACTTTTTTTTTTTATTCCTCTCCAATCTTTTTACCACAAAACTCGCAGGTTTATTTTGTTTTTTTTTGTAGAAATAAAATTCAAATTACTTTCAATGTTTCCTATATTTCTCAATTCCCTCCTTTTTTTCAGTTTTGCCCTTATCTTTCTCTAACCATCTCAGCCGTTTTATTTTGTGCAACTCCCGACGATCGATCTCTCCCTACACAGACAGACAACCGTCCTCGTTTTCTAGCTTCAGGTTTTTTCCTTCTCGTGTTGCTACATAGATGTGGAGTTGTTTGCATAAACATGAGCTCGTTATATTGTGTAGGAAATGAGCGCGGACGCCAAAGAAGCCAGAATAAACCATTCCTCGTTAACCTTATTCCTTTACTGGGTGAAACACCACCGCGGTAATTTTGTATTGAGGGATGAATGAGGGAGGAAAGGGGAGAGGGCGCGAATGAAGGATCAATATTTACACGGCTCCGCAAACACTGAATATTGTTGAATTAGTTTCAAAACGTTAAAGTCCTTTTGTTTTATCAAAAAGCCGCAGCCGAGTCTAAGATTACATGGTCGACTCAGCAGGTCTGATTACTAAAGTCTCGTTCTCAACGTCTAGTTAAGTGTAGGTAAGTGCAGCTAGTAAAATCTCTACATAATGTTTTTACAATCCATGCAAGTCTTACTAGTATTAAATTTTATTCCCTTAGTGATCCAAGTAAGTCTTACCAGTAAAAGTGTATAGTGGTTATCTACAGTAAAAATTCTAGTTTCTCTTTTAGATGGCTAGCTTATTTTGAATTAGATGTATAAGCAATTAAATACTATGTTTCTATTAGTCGTCTAGAATGTATAACTAATCAGTTGAACACACTGGCCGAATTTTTGTATTTAAATCTACACGTAAATGTTAGTATAGAAAAAAATAATGAAACCCAAGTTGTTGTTTTTTTTTTATACTTACACGGCAATGGACAAAACTTTCATAAAATACTTGTGTAATTATTATCAATTTAAAAAATGTATCAAAGCTTAGACATATGTTTATTTAAAATCGGGTGATGTTGTCTAAATAAATGACCTCCCCTTTTCTATTTGCTATTAGCCAACAGTTACTTAAACATAAAACAGCTCTGAAAATTACCAAAAAGAAATATCTACCCGATCTACACACTCCAAATTACTTGGAACGGTGGATAGGAAAAATCTTTAAAACGTATTTCGTCTGTGTAAGAATGCCATTCATTTTTATGTTTCCCAGGCGGTTCGAGTAGACGGGGATAAGATTGTGTATCAGGACCTAACTAAAAGACTGGTGGTCAGATACGTTGGAGCTGAACTAGATGGGGATAAGATTGTGTATCAGGACCTAACACAACTAGACGGGGATAAGATTGTGTATCAGGACCTAACTAAAAGACTGGTGGTCAGATACGTTGGAGCTGAACTAGATGGGGATAAGATTGTGTATCAGGACCTAACACAACTAGACGGGGATAAGATTGTGTATCAGGACCTAACTAAAAGACTGGTGGACAGATACGTTGGAGCTGAACTAGATGGGGATAAGATTGTGTATCAGGACCTAACACAACTAGACGGGGATAAGATTGTGTATCAGGACCTAACTAAAAGACTGGTGGACAGATACGTTGGAGCTGAACTAGATGGGGATAAGATTGTGTATCAGGACCTAACACAACTAGACGGGGATAAGATTGTGTATCAGGACCTAACGAAAATACTGCTGGACAGATACGTTGGAGCTGAACTTATACATAACTAGACAGGGATAAGATCAGGACCTAACTAAAAGATCAAAGAGCAGAAATTGATCAATTTACACACGTTCCACATAACAGCGCTGTATGCGGATATTGGCACTTAGGTCTTCAACTATTGTTATGACTGCTCAATAAAGACAATATTCTCAATATACTTTGTATGCGCGGTGCTAGGAAATGACTAATACAAGGTTTACAACTACTTGCGGCCGCGCACGTCGCAACTCCATCGCTACTGATGTTTTTAAACTTTTTTTGTCAAAACTGTTATTACTCCTGCGGAGAGTTTTTGCATGTACTGCGAGAACCGGCTTTAACATGGAATAGACCATAGTATGAGAACCACTGAACTGAATACATGCTCCATGTGCACTGGGCGGGTAAAAGGGGAAATCATTTCTGCTACACTTATTCGCCATCGTAGCCGAGCAATCATGATGAACGAGAGCTTCAACTATGTGTTCCGATACAGAAAAAATGGCGCCTTAATCTTAGATGAGAGATTTAGAGCCTTACCTGATAAAGGTTAAAACAGATTAAAACATCAGACTGAATATAATGAGAGGTTCGTTGAAAAACCGAAGCACCAATCAAAGTGGAAATACAATATAGATGTATTCGATAATAAGTTGAAGAAAATGTAAGGAAATGGCACACTTTTAAAACATAAGGTATATAGTTCTATACATCATGAGGAATGGGGAGCAAAGTCGAAAAATCACAGTCTAATAGTGAGAATCCTCTTTAGACCTAGCGACTCATTGGGCAGATGAAGTAGAGTTCACATGTGCTTATAACGTGTATTAATATATCCTGAAAGACCCAGACTACAACTGATTAAAATAGCGGAGTTGATCTTCCAGTGTTAAAAAAATAAAAACAGCGCCAATGTATCTAGTAAATGTGTAGTCTACTTACACGAGTGGCAGCTTTCCTCTCCACACAACAACACAACAATTGTAACCGTCTGTCCCAACTTTCTTCATACGCCCTAAAGGCTTTCCTGAAACAGAATTAAAAGCAGAGTTATTTTTATATGTAGAAGAGAACTATTATAACACAGTAATATCAAAAGTTTTGCTAACACATAACAATCTATGTGATACTAACATTTAAGTTACTTTCGTGAATAAGGTGTGTTATACGTGTACCTTACATTTACATACAGCTGGTGAAAGTGTCAGGGAGGGGGGGATTTTGTTGTGGGTGGGAAGTTGTGTTGTGGTCAACACTACACTTAGGGTATCTAGTACTGTGAAGGTGAATTAGGGCACCACATATTTAATTGTGAATTATAATTAAAACTAAACAGAGTGTGTTTAACCTTATTAATAGCGTTGAATTAAAATCGTGAAATAAATGTGTTAAACGCGTATTATAAAGATGCAAGGGATCTATGGTGTTGAAAATATAACATAAAGTTGAAGTCGGATTGTGAACATAATGTATTAACATGTATTAATAAAATTATAGTAAGAAGAAAAGTGAAGTGTATTCAACGTATATTTCAACAGCTTGAATGATAAATATATGTGTAACAGTATAATGTGTATGTGGTTCCTAAAGTGTATTTCTACGAGAAGTAGCTCTAAATGAAGCTGCTACAAAGCTAAAGAAACAAAGCGGAAATGTATAGACATCATCAGTATTGGCAAAAGGCAAGTATAACTACAGCAGTAACAGTAGAAAGTGGTGGAGGGGGGGGGGTCCACTCTCTACTATAGTTTTATTATTTTGTGGGGACATATATAATTCCCAGCACGAAGCACATTTTTTTCCCCTGGCGATCGCGTGTGAATTTACAAGTTTTCGGCGGCCGTATAGAAATGCTCGGCATCAGAAAACGTGAACGATGTATTTATGAATTTAAGGGAAATTTTATCAAACATCGTAAACAGCTAATGTATTGTACAGGTGTAAAGGGTTTGTAAAATCAGAAATATATTGCTGCTGGACTGGGTATGTACTGCTCGACTCGCTAAAATGGTTATAACCGTGAACTCGTTGCTGATACGATGATGGTGCAAGAAAGCAAATATTGATAACCACCCAGCTTAAAATGGATACTTGCATGTTACTCGTGTGTTCAGATTAGAGATGTCATTTCACACTTTTAGTTTTACAAATATATTGTTTTTTTCATACTCCAAGTATTAAGTTTTTTATTTAGATATTGTTTCTTTAATTTTAATACTCCAAATATTAATGGTCCTTAGTTTTTATAATTTTAAATAAGGCTTCTTTGATACGAATGTATACATTTTTTAAAAATATTGTTTCTTTAATATTCCATGCACTAAGTTTTTTTTATTTTAAATATTGCTTCTTTAATTCTCCATGTACACAGTTTTTTTTTTAAATATTGTTTCTTCAATACACCATGCACACAGTTTTTTATTTTAAAAGTTGTTTCTCTAATTTTCCTTGTATAAAGTTTTTAGCGCAATTTCCATTCTGGAGAATTGCGTTTATTAACTCGTCATTTCTGGGAATGGATGGATGGATGAATGAATGGATGAATGTGTGTCCGGGCTTTAAGTCGTATCTCCTCCTCAACGAAGCAATATCGATGACTAGTTCCAAAAGCAATTATGTTAAGCAAGTTACGAGAATGAGCATAGGCCATAAAAATTCCGGGTTTCTTTCATGTATTTCCCGTAAAAGCCAAAAAACCTCGAAAAAATGCAGTTTTTTGCCCATATCTCGGCAACCAGACCACTTAGCGACTTGAAACATGTACCAATCGATTCCTGCCATAATTTAGAACAATATTGCCGAAGAAAGTTTTCAAAAATATCCTCTCGTTCGGTCACAAATTTTAAAATTACATAAACACCTACAAACCGATCGCTCTTCTAGCTTGAACGCACCCCATCATTATACGTCAGAGCTATTTTTAGATAGCATAAGGACATTGCGCATAAATGTCACTAGACTTTTTTAATTAACTTGCGCGCCTACTGAACGTGATGGCGCAGCCATGGAACGCGATGACGCATCTATTGAACGTGATGACGCGTGTGGTGTGGTTGTATATACATGCCGGAAGTAGAGATCTATCATCTTAATGATTATCATGTTGATAATCAAGTTCAACTAACCAATGGTTTTAATAACCCTGCTCTTGATTTCAAGGTGCTTAGTTTAGTTAGTAGTTAGGTTTATTTAATAAAAAACGTTTTAATAACTAACCAATGGTTTTACTAACCCTGCTCTTGATTTACGCTACGACAGAGCTATTTTTAGATAACATAAGGAAATTGCGCTAAAATTGTCACTAGACTTTTTAATTAACTTATTTATTTCAAATACCAGCCTCCTGATTAAAGTGTCACGAGGTAATGGATGTTCTCACTCTACGTGTAAATAACTCGGCTTTTCGGGAGCGATGCTTGTCAGTTCGCTTTTGTAGTGTCTCTTTCAATACCCGATTCCAGTGTTGTCCAAATCTTTTTTTTTTCCTTTCTCCCACATTTTTTTCTTCCTTCCATCCCCGCGTATTGTCTAGCCTGTAAAGAACTCAGACATTAGTTAACAAACCAGACGGGGCGAGGTACTATACCAGCGCTGAGTTAAATCCTAGTCATTTGTTAGGCCTTGAGAAATCTCCGCCGAGAGAATTAAATTGTTTTCTACAGCGCTGTGTCGATTTCATCATGGTAAGAACAGAACGGGTGGAGCACAAAATACGTTTGTATTCTAAAGACAGCTCAAATAATGGCAACACAGAACCCGCTTATCTTATTTAGACAGATGAATTAATAACAGGGAATTCGCTTAGGTTATAAAGACTGAGTAGTGATAGAAAAATGACAGATGAAAGCACATTGAAAAGGACAATGAACGAATGGCAGTGGCAATGGCAGCAGATAGAATGACAGTGAAAAGGACAGATGAATTGGTGACATTGAAAAGATAGCCGAACGAATGACAGTGAAAATGACATCAGAACGAATGAGAGTGAAAAAGCTGAAGAATGACATAGAAAAGTTAACTGAATGAATGTTAATGAGAGGAGAGCTACTGACAGCCCAGAATACCTTATTGTCTTAAAGCCAGGCTAATGAAACAGGAAGCAACAAGCTAGCATATCAAACACGTGGCTCCACTAGCCTACAACTGCTGGGCCCAACTCGCCAGAGTACCAAAGACAGCAAACGATACTGCTGTTTGCGTCTGCCGCCTTATCAAGGCAACAAACTGGGACACAGTGTCGAGACAATGCATACAAGAGGAATGGCCAGGTCATATTTCTGTCATTGTATACAAGAGAGGGGAAAACTAAGAATACTAGAAAGACTAAATCTGCAGCAGCTTTCTGCTAATTGTATACAGATAATTAGAATGCAGAAATGCGTTGATGAGGAATAGGCTCTCAAAGCTTCATTTCAACGGGTAAACTTTAAAATAGCACAGTGAATATTCAAAGTTGGTATAAATAACCACTTTCAGAAAATAAACGTTTAACGCAAAAGGGAATGCGGTAATTTCAACAAGAAAACCATAAAAGTAGGTTGAAATCAAATCGTTTTAATAACGAAACGTGAAAGTTTGGGAAGGGAAAGACGTCCCCAAAAGTCACATGATCCAGAGGGAATCAGCTGACATTTTCAATAGAACAAAGGAGTGCGTGAGGCAAAAATCAATTATCGCTCGCTCTCATTACTTTCAAGGTCCATCTTCTGTGATGGAGGGTCAAGTTTCACACAGGCTACAAACAGCTTGATGTTGGTGGTCAGACAACAGTCCGTGGCTTCATATGCCGTAGTGTCGGCTTGTTTAAACACTTGCGTTTTCGTGAAGCAACTATTAAAACATTCCATCGCCAACTGTTTTCACACAGAAAACGAAATGAGACGTAAAAATGCAAGGAAAGATGACTTCAATCGTAAAAAAAATTGCTTGATAGACCAATTCAAACTTGCTAGATGTACATCTTAAAATACAAATTCCGCCGCAACATAATTTAAATATTAATGTGAATTTAAAATGTGAGTTAGTCGAAACTTCCTTTAAATCGACACCACACAATACAATTTGCAGTATAAATGATGCAGGATGATAAGCAGTAGGCCTATATATTTCAATATATTTCGAGTAATGTACTTATACATGTATTTATGATTTATTGCAAGTATATGAGTTTTTACTGTTTAAATAATAAAGAGTATAGAAGGCCTGTGCAGTTATTTTATAACTGTTACGGTTATATGATAATTTACAAGTGTAGGTTTGTTTGTAAATTCATGTGCATATATTTATAAGTGTGTATTTGTACATATAAATTATGAGTGTGAATATACGTGAATAAATATTGAGATAATCATTAACACCTATACATCATTTACTAAACACCCCCAGATCACAATCTTTATTGCTATGATCGACACAAGTTTGTAAAATAATGCCTGAAAACAATAGCCGCAAGGCATCTAATGGACTGTCATTAATTATTGATACAGACCGCATTGAACCCTGCCCAGATACGATTCATTCATTTTTTGGTTGGGCCACAATGATATGGCTTCCAGGGGAATGCGACTGGTGGGGAGGGGCGGAGGGGGTGGGGAAGTTTGCCGATATTTTTTTTTCCGAAACAAAGTTTAAAAAGTTTCAAATAGCAACGATCGTATAGATGTGGGTCTAATCTTAAACGAGTTTACTAATGTAACATTTAAATTGAAACTTAAAATCGATTACACTATTTGCACTCTGTCAAATGAGGGGGAAAAGTGGGGGGGGGGGGGGGGTGGTAACGACAATCAGACTGGTCTCACCACAGGCAAAATGCGGTCAACGTTCTATTCTGAGGATGAAAGCGGGAGAGAGAAAAAAAATCTACAACGGAAACCGCTTCGTGTGAACTGATGAAGAGTATTGGTGGCAGCGCTTTCATGGAGTCGTATGGTGGGGCTAAAATTTAATATTCCTAATGTGAATCCCGTGTTGCTGGAGGGCTGATTCGGGCAGTCCCGAACTAAATACTTGCACACGATTTTTTTTTTAAGTTTCTTATTCAGCTAATATCTCAATCACTATTATAATTTCGCACTACCTTCCGAAGTTCATACATTTTATCTTAATAAGCTAGTTGATAATTGATTAGAATCTATGTAATTTTAACACGCAGGTGGAAAAATAATTTAATTTTGTGATCACAATAAGCTGTATTAGTGTCAATTATTCTATTTTACAAGTAGCCTAGTGAATTAAAAAAATGTGCATGGGTTAATTAATTAACTCTAAAAATTAAAAAAGTATTAGTTTAGTGAAAAGAGATGTGTATCAATATCATTACTTATGCTATACATCGGAAAAAGATTTTTTTCCACCACCACACTTAAAAAAATGATCGCTGCGGTTTATCTCCTAGCCATCCAACAGGTCGTCAAATTGTTTTAAAGGATTTCCCGTGCTTTTTTTCGAACGCTCCCGGTGAGTGGAGTGACAACGAGATGAAATAAGAGATAAAACAACAACACTCGTGCTGAAGTGGATGGCCCGGATCTACAGCAACAAGTCCGGTGCTGGGGGATCGCGCCGGTGGGATGACAGCAGTACTGCTTGGGGGGGGGGGGGGGGTCATCAATTTAAGACGTCCGCACAACCCCCCCCCCCCCCACCTTCATCCCATCCGTCTGTTTTGACGTCGTAATTGGGTGACCCCTAAATGCAATGACAACAATACAGAGTGAACATGTCATTACTAAATTTCACAATTTAACACAGCGTATGTGAATGTAGTGTTCTAATTGACGGGAGTGAAAGAAGGGTGGTAAAACTAAGAGAGATGCCAAGACAACGAACTTCCCTAAACTTAAAGCTAACACTATTCATTGCAGCACAACAAACAAACCCAAGTATACTTTTTACATTCATTTCAAGCAACCCAACAATCACATTTTATTATTAACAAATATTTCCCCCCAAACTCTCCCAACCCATACAACAAACAAATACATATTTGCCTTTCTTTTCTATGTTTTCCAATCAATAAAATAAAACTAATACAACTTTTTTTTTTCTCAGTGTTCCTTCACAACCCAATGAACACATCATATTCCCCTCCCTCCCACTGCTAGTCTCTGCATGCCTGGAATATTCAGAGTAAAGTAACTCTAGCGTGAGAAAGTTGGATATAATAACAATACATGTATTAGTGAAGTGAGCTTGTTACACGCAGTTAGTAGAAGGGCTATTTGGTGCCTTCAAAGCATGCGCAAGCTGAGTGCTGTAATGATATCAAACTAAAAATACCTCTGCATTCGTCTATAGAAAAAATCTCTTATAGTTTTTGATCTGAGAAACAAAACAAACAAAAATAAAGCAAAAATTTTAAACGAAAGAAAAAATAATTATTATTCTTAAAAAAACGTCAAGGGACAAAAAAAAACTGAAAATGTTTTTAAATGCGAAATGGTCTTTTTTTTTCTCCTTTTGACCACTGGATGAGCATCTAGGTAAGGCATCAGTGTAAAATAAGAAAAACGTCAAGTTAAAATAGAATTGAAACCTAATGCTGCCGTGTCATGTGTCTTACAGGATGCAAAAGACGGTCTCTGCCAGATTAAAATCTAGGCTTTGCGAAATGTCAAGTTTCTGCTTAATGGGGTGTGTATATATCATTGTAATTGGATAGGTAAGCTGCTATTTTCAGTTTTATCATTTAGTGGGTTTTTTTAAAATAAATAATTGACGATGTGGTCGACTGCTAGACAGAGCACATGATTGCTCACCACAGTCTCGAGGTTTGTTCCCGCTACAAGACCATTAGATTATGGGGGCCACTCAGATGTAATAAGCAGTACATAACTTAAGTAGGGGCAAGTAAAAGTGATAGTAGCTATTTAAAAGGCTTACAGTCTTATAGTAGTACTCTATAGTACTGATAATTTGTCTTTGATTATGGGGCAATAATTTAGCCTTAATTAAGATGGACGATAATTTTCTGTTGTGTCATATCTCCACCTTCTACAACGTTCTCTACTGTGGTACCACAAAAACCCCAAGTGTAGTGGAAGACCCTTTACATTATAAAGTATCACGGGATGAAGCAGTCTTTACATTTACTGACTGAGCCCGAGGGGCCGGGGCAATGCGGCACTGGCCGCAAATGAGCACTTCTCACGTGCATAACAATATAGACGAGAAAGGGCTCCAGGGGAGATAATCAGGACCTTTTTGCTCGAGTTTGATATTGCTTTCCTCTCTGGGTTTTTAACAAGAACATATGAAATAGCGTGTTCGTCGGGAAGATAAAAAAAAGTATTAATAAATACGATTTAGTAATAGGTAAATATTTTTCAAAGATTTAATAGTATTTTAGCATGCTAACTAAAATTTAAAGATTAACTTCATTAGGTTGAGGGGAAAAAATAACGTTGCATGCTTTTAAGTTTGATAAGTTTTACTTTATTAGTTTAAAATTCCATTTTCCCAGAACACCGAAATTAAGATTGTGCCCCTCACCTTTGTCGCCAATTCCTGCGACTTCCCGACTGACGCTGTCCCCTCCTGCGGTCAGTAGCGCGACGGACCTTCAGGCTGTCTTGAAACTTTTTCATCTTGACCCACTTCCTCCCGGCCGTGTCGAATGTGCACCAGAGTGAGATGATGAACAGGAAGAACATGAACCAGTTGCAGATCATCACTCCTGTGGGCAAAGTCAAGTTACATCAAGTCTAATTACATCAAGTCAAGTTTCATCAAGTCAAATTACATCGAGTCTAGTTACATCGAGTCTAGTTACATCGAGTCTAGTTACATCGAGTCTAGTTACATCGAGTCTAGTTACATCGAGTCTAGTTACATCGAGTCTAGTTACATCGAGTCAAGTTACATCAAGTCAAGTTACATCAAGTCAAGTTACATCAAGTCAAGTTACATCAAGTCAAGTTACATCGAGTCTAGTTACGTAGAGTTGCATCAAGTCAAGTTACATCAAATCACGTTACATAAAACCACGTTACATTTAGTAAGGTTACATCAACTCAAGTTATATCAAGTCAAGTTGCATCAAGACAGGAACATTTTAATGATCACAACATAGGCCAAATAAAATGGAACCATTTCATGATCATAACATAAGACAAGTTATGTAAAAACAAAGGGACCATTTGATGATCAAAACATACGTCAAGTTACATCAAAGACAGGAAACATTTTAATGATCACAACATAAGACGCGTTATGTAAAAACACGGGGACCATTTGATGATCAAAACATACGTCAAGTTACATCAAACACAGGAACCATTTCATGAACACAACATAACAGAGGCGTAGCGACCCTTCCCGGCGCCCGGGGACATACTTTCAATTTGGCGCCCCCCTCGGGAGCAAATTTTCGATTTGCACCCCCCCCCCCCTCGAACTTTTCATTTGCACCACCCCCCTCAAACTTTCGATTTGCACCCCCCCCCCCTCGAACTTTTCATTTGCACCCCCCCCCCCCCTCAAACTTTCAATTTGGCGCCCCCCCTAAGGTCGGCGCCCGGGGATATATGTCCCCCCCCCGCCCCACCCCTCGCTACGCCTCTGCAACATAAGACAAGTTATGTAAAACACGGGGCTATTTGATGATCAAAACATACGTCAAGTTACATCAAACACAGGAACCATTTCATGATCATAACATAAGACAAGTTATGTAAAAAAAAAGGGACCATTTGATGATGGAACACAGGAACCATTTTAATGATCACAACCTGAGTCAAACTACGCCAAATCGGGACAAACTAAATAATGTACACCAAGATTAACCTTTTTAGTTAAACTTGGTTAGAAACAACCCCATAGGACTCTTACTTAATTCAAGAGAAACGCACGGATTACGCTCAGCAGGATTACAAGGACTCAAGAAGTACTTCAACCACTTTCATTTGACCGAGAATATGTTGTAATATATTCGTCCAGTACCAGTGATGCCATTACACAATTCTCGGTCAGACTCTGAGGGACTGTATAAACAAAAGAACCTGCCAACTTTACAAAACCTACCCTGCCCTGAGTGACGCCAGCACGCGTATTGATTATGCTAATCGTCGAGGGGCTTGTATGGTGGCAGGGTATGAATTTGCATCAGAAATCACAATTTTCGGACGCTTTAGTACAGCTATGGAAGATATCAATTTCACGGTATTTTTGTTTTCTTTACCACCACCCCCTCCTCTAATCCCCCACCCCCACATTTTAGCGAGGCTGGCAGACGGTATGCTGAAAAATGTGCAATTTCCTTAACGATCAGTCCGCAAATAGACCACGTGACCCAATTTGAGGTTTTGTTTTCCCAACAACATGCACAGGAGTGACCTAGTTAATTTGGTAGAACAACACCTCACGCAGTTTGGTGCTCAGCGTTAGCTGTATGAGTCTTCGGCTATTAATCATCCTCTAAAGAAATAATTCACTTCGGAGAATGGGGGAATGGGGGTCCGGTGGTGTATTGTTAATGTTCCAAATGTAAAACATGATAAATGCAATCCTCAGTAAATGTAAGAGATAAATCAATGAAATGTATATTTTACGGTGTTGGTATTGTGAGGGGAGGGGGGAGGGGATGACACCATTTGCCAATAACAATTAATAATCTTGTCGAGTGAATCACGAAGTATTGTACTTGCAAACATAATGTGTTGATTTTTTATTTATTTTGGACGTCATACGAAAATGTTTTATCAATTTGGAGGGAAAAGACAATCACATCCACAGAAACGAGTTTATCAGAATAGCTGGAATGTTACTAATTGGCATACACAAAAAAAAAGTAGTGTGTAACCGACTTCATGCTGAAATAACCAGAAAGACTGCATGTAGGCAAACGTAAGAATGTAGGTTAGAGATGTGTATGTGGCACCTTTCCCACTATTTCATAACTCCGTAGCACAGCGACCTGAGCGCTACCTGGGTTCACACAGTGAAGAAGTGGAGACTGTTGTTTGCGTGTGAGTAAACTTCAGCCTCAATATTAACCACAGTCGACATCTATTTTTGTGGCACAGACGTAGGGCCGAACGTTTTTTTTTGCAAGGGTGTAGAGTTAAGACATGCAAGCAAAAGTAAGAATCTAGACCGGTGTGCTGCTCCGCCACTTTAAATTGGACTGTGTGTAGTACAGAGACATCTTAATTAGCTGATTACTCTGTTTACTATGTGTATGCAGAAAACTGGCTCGAGGGTTTCAGCTATTGCCAGGTGCACCACGCTTGTTTTATATGCCGGAACGTTCGCGTTCTTTGTGCACATTTCCTTTTAGGCTATTGGAAGCATCATTTTCTTTTAGGCTATTGTAACTTTCATTTTCTTTTAGGGTACTGTAATCGTCATTTTCGTTTAAACTATTTTAAACATCGTTTTCTTTTAGACTATTGCAACTATCATAGACTATTGTAATCATCATTTTCTTTTAGGCTATTGTAACTTTCATTTTCTTTTAGGGTACTGTAATCGTCATTTTCGTTTAAACTATTTTAAACATCGTTTTCTTTTAGACTATTGCAACTATCATAGACTATTGTAATCATCATTTTCTTTTAGGCTATTGTAACTTTCATTTTCTTTTAGGGTACTGTAATCGTCATTTTCGTATAAACTATTTTAAACATCGTTTTCTTTTAGACTATTGCAACTATCATAGACTATTGTAATCATCATTTTCTTTTAGGCTATTGTAACTTTCATTTTCTTTTAGGGTACTGTAATCGTCATTTTCGTATAAACTATTTTAAACATCGTTTTCTTTTAGACTATTGCAACTATCATAGACTATTGTAATCATCATTTTTTTAGGGTATTGTAACCATCATTTTCTTTTAGACTATTTTAAACATTTTCTTTCAGACTATTTTAAACATCATTTTTTAGACTGAAACATTTTTTTTTTAAACTTTGAAACTACAGCACGGAAGAAATAATGCTTAGTCACTTAGTGTATTGTTTAAAAGCCTAAAGCCATGAATACGACATATATCGTAAACCATTAAAACCGATGAAACTTTTGTAAAATGTAGATCTACTAAGCAATGAGTGTCAAACAGCTTTGACGTTCTTAAACAATTTAATGAACAAATGAAACTAAGGCTAGAGATGTGGCAAGAGGATAAAAAATAAAACAGTCCACGAAGGTTAACGTCAAGTTAAAAACACATTTTTCTTAACAACACCACCCTTCTATTCCTATCTTCGCAACATAAGAGTTATCAGCTCCTTGCCGACAATGAGGCGCTGTAAAAAAAAAAAAAAATCGCTGGTATTTTCTTAAAATCAGTGCAAAAAAAACTGCATAAATAGGATGGATAAAAAAAAAGCAGCCTGCAGTCATTGGGTTTTCCCAGAGTCGAAGCCCCACAAAGTAGGTCAACTGTCTCCGCGTACCACGCAACAATCATTTCCAGTATTGATGTCAAAGAAATAATCAGTCATGTGACTAGACGGGAGAGATCTTGCCATCTGTAAAAATCGATTCTCGAACAGCAAAAGGGGCCAACTGACCTAATCTAGGATCTCAGCGAGAGGAAAGTAAAAAAAAAAGTTCTATTGTGTGCGAATGTCTGGGGAACAAGTTGCGAGAAACATTGCTGATACATCTGTTCTTCAAAGCTCTTCAAATATAAATCAGCATTTTTTTTTTGGTCGTTTAAAAAAAAATTGTGCTCCGGCTTTAGAATTATTTTTTTCAGTCCAAGATCTAGTCGGGTTGTCAATACACGTAAAAGACGGTATTGCCGAGGTAAGGAAGGTATGGGGTGTTGGTTTAGAACACGGTCGTCTCACGGCCTGAGCTTGTATTCGAGTAGGTATACAAGTCAACCCAGCTTTGGTGTTGGAAGAAAAGCAAAAGGCGGCTGGGCGCTGTATTGGTCACACTTTATACGCCGTGACTACAGAAACGAAGGGGCATCTTCCGCATCTTACCCAATGACCGTCCGAAACGGTTAGTAACGTGTTGATGGATATTTATTTTTCAAACGAAATAAAGCACAATCTTCGCAAATAATAAAGTCAATAGCTAAAAGGAAAATAATTGATTCTTCATTATTTATCCAGCCTCCAGAGCAGAGTTTGGAAATAAACCTTTTCAATATAAATCGGTGAGGAGGGGGGGAGGGGTAGAAAAACCGAATGGGTAAAAAAATGTAAAAGAGATGCGAGAAAAAAACTTACCTAAAAGAGTTCTTTTAGCTACCTCCGATGGGCAGTCGTTGTAGTGTCGAGACGCCCACACAGTACCGAGGATTAGCAGGGATATTTCTACAAGGCCGACCACTGAAAAACAGTATCAGCACATCAAAACTATGTTACGGGAAACTACATCGGTTAATGTCATTTATTTGTAGCAACAAAAGTTCTCAAAACGATTCCTGTAGTTACTTTCATAGTAGTAATATTTATAAAAGTTATAGGACAGATAACAAAAGGTTATAATAAAAATGTCGCCAAAACAGTATTCAATCATGTTTTGTGTGTCTGACAGTATTACTGCTAGGTCCATGGTTAGGATTAGGGTTAGGTTCATTCGTGAAGTTACGTCATTTTAAAATACATTGTATTCTTCCCCTATCCCAGGGGTCGGCAACCTGCGGCTCGCGAGCCGCATGCGGCTCTTTTGATATCAAGATGCGGCTCTCCAGCTCCTTGCACATATAC